TTGGGGGGAAAACTTCGGCCATCATCAGCGGCCAGCCCACCCCCAGGTTTGACATGGACTGATGAGCAGCTCGAAATCCACCTACCTACCACTCTCTTACCTCGTGGATGAAACACCCTAAACCATCCCGTGCCCCCGCTGGGGTCGCGGGGAGTCGGCACGGCACTCTATACGTGCGCATCTTATTCTAGCGAAGTACCCTCCAATGGCCGCGCATCTCGGCACCAGCATGCGGGGGAGGAGCAGCATGAGGAGCAGGGTATTGGGCATCGCGGGATCTCAGACCTGCGACTATTCACGGTGTGCGGGCGCACGAGGAAAGCCTCCCGCGACTCTCCACCACGGGTAAGTGCGCCATCTAGCAAGCAGGCAGGCCCGTTGCTGCGTAAGTCGGTGACGCAGCCCCTCTAGGATCGATATTGCTCTGGTGATAAGTTTAGACCGCCTCAAAGCACATCCTCAGTGTGGTTGTCCCACGTCCTGACTACGCCGTTTGTGCAGACACGGTCATACCAAGAGGTGCCCGAGCGTACGCAATGTCATATAAGCAGCATGCGAACAAGCCTCCCCAGAAATCCAAAAATGGAAATGTTGTAGTTCATCCTATCTCTCGAATCTCAGGTCGGCGAGTAGCATCGCAGCTTTCCTTTAGCAAAAGTGTGGGGGAGCTGCCTTATCTACAATATCAAGAGTTTGATATTAATTAATGACAGGTCTGCGCACCGGGGACGCTCGATCAGGGCAATATGGTCCTGGGGTTATCTGCATCGTCCTAGTGGTTGCCAAGCCTTTCCCAGCAGCGGAAGATTCGGTACAGGATCAATTGCCTGTGGCTAGATGTGGCATCGACGACCATCAAATGTGCCCTTCGACATCTACAGTACGGTCAGTAGGGACAGAGCTACTGCAGGCGTGTTGCCTTCGGGTTACAACTTCAGCCGCTGAGTAAGTCTACGTTGGGATGAAAGGACATTTGCAACGCTGTGCAGTTTAGTTGTTAGTCGGGGCGTTGTATCACGGAGAACGATCTCCTGCAGTGCAGAGCCGTCAGCATCGACATCCGCTTAGCCTTTGTTAGAGCAGACATTGCTACGCTTCGTCTGACTGATCGTCGTTGTCATCACGATCGATGAGGTGCTCGACAATGGCTGGTGTAAGTCATCGGCAAGCCGGCCGTTATGGCCAGCTCTAGCGTTGACATTCCAGTACAGTGATCTTCAAAGCTAGCAGGGGCTGTTGCTAACTGCGCGCGAGTTGCGCTTACTCGCTGTTGTAAGTCAGCCTTTGGGATGGGATAAGACTTCCTGCCCTACATCCGGCAAGAGTACATGGAGAGCGACAAAAATTGAATATTGGCGAAGTACAGCTTAGCAGGTCGCTTCTGGGAATCACTTCAGTGAAGTTAGAATTGTCGTGCTTCTCCGCAGCCTAGTTGCCTCAAGCTACTGATCACGACATCCAACAAGTCAACACCACCTCTTGATCCAGTAAGGGACTGATTCTGGATCTCTCAGGTTATATCCACTACGATCTAGACCTTGCTATGGGACTAAGTGGCCGGTTAAATCCCAACCGACCGGAGACCCGGGACGCAGGAAGTCGACTAGCTGACGGGTAAAGGCCTACCCCAGGATTCTACCGCAACAGGCGTAGTCTACTAACCCACATTGCCCTTATCTTCAACTAGAACCACTAACTTGCCTGTTCTCTACTTGGAGCTGCCAATCTTGCTCAGATATCTGACTTTAACATTAAGTCGTGACGTCAAATGATAAGGGGTCCATGCCCATGGCCTACTCGTTCTCACCTAAGAAGCACTAACAAGCGAACTTCTCTCCGTAGAAGGAAGAATAAGTTCCGTCAATCAAACGGAGAGAAGATGGTCGATGGCGCCTTATCGCGTACACCTTGGCCAGATCTAGGCTATTACCCAGCCATACAGGGTTGGTCGGACTAAATATCGAGCTTCCAGAGACTGCCTAGTATTTTCTGAGCTATGGACGATGTTGCGGTCCTTGCAGCAAAGGACCGCAAGCATTAGGATTAGACATTTTCTTGACTAAGCTCAGCGCAGAAATCTGACCTTGTTGAATCTTCACTACAGTAGTTAATGTCTTAGTAAAGATAATCTGTTCTGTGATATTATCCATATGTATAACCTTCACCAATGTTATTAGTGACATTCGAAGACCGCATAATGAAGACTAGCGTTAGAATCAGCTTCACAGCTTCGCCAGATACGTCGCTCATGCCGTCTAGGTGAAGCGACGGAAGGGCTCAGCCTGAATCACTGCGTCGACTGTCCTGGCTAGATCCCTGATTTTTCCTGTATAGACGGCCGTTATCTGTCTGCCAGCGCCCCACGGGGTCGACGCAAACCACAACACCGGGACCTGGGGTACATCCATAGTACCAAGATAAAAGATAGACAGGGTTGAGAAATATTCTAGTTCATTGGGGCCTTAATACAGTTTCATTTGTCGTACATTTAATTTAGATTGCGGCTGTGGCTGCCGTGCACATGGCCTTATCAAGGCTGAGCGGCGTCGCGTCGCCGGGTACGAGGAAAGCAGAACAGATTGCGATCCCGTCCAACATCCTCGTACGGTTGTAAGCTGGTGCAGGATTCGGTTGAATATACCTTCAATACAAAGTACCTTGCTGAGCCGCACTTGCAGGACAGAGAATACGCTGCGACGAACCATAGTTCGTCAATGCATCGTGCCCTGTGTAACCCGAACGGCAAATCCCCTTTTTTGCCTTCCGTTATGCTACATGATCTCCCACTCGAACATTTGGACCCCTTTGGACGCCTCACAGACCGGTTCCCTACAGGATCTTCTATCCCATGCAATCCGCCGGACGATCACACCATGCCAGCCGTTGAGAGCGCCCCGCTGGCTCTACGGTCTCATCGTGCTGATATTGCCCGCGGCACGGTTCAAAGTCGATGCTAGGAACAGTAGTTTTATGCTGATAGATCCCATTTCACCGAGACTTCCCGCATACAGTCTGTCCTCATGGTGAAGAGAATTCGGCCCTGTGCTTGACTTGGACCGTTGGTTCTTCCAGGAGTTCTGACCGGCGTCGAGTAGACCGAGGTCGTACTATGACGCGCGTGGCTGTTGGTTATCAAATGCGACCAAAGGGCCAGGAATGCCTTGCTTGGAGACTCGGGCCGAACGCTCAGGTAAAAAGGACGATGCGAAGATTCTGCCGCTCAAGAGGCAGGTCAAACGCCGATGTCAGCCCGCGGCGCGGTTGCATTTGCGCTCTGTTCACCTGGGCTCGGCGTTATGGAAAGCTGATCGTTTTAGATTCCGACGTCTTTTTGATCGATCTTCGGCCTGATCAGAGATATGGCCTGCATCATGATCTGTAGACTCTCTATTAGTACCGGACCGGCTGGGTCCAAGTATACTGCGATCGCAGGTCGAACAGATGCTTTGCAGTCGATGTAAACGAGTTTCAAGACCGGGCAGAAGATTTTCATCTTGCTACATCTGATAATGAATGGTGTTGTCAAACTCTATGTAGGCGTTGTGACATCAATTGACTAAGCTTCCCCAAGATGCTTTTGTTTAAGACGCGGCTTCGCTCTGGATTATCTTACACTAAATGGCAAACGACAAATGACATCTCACAGGCTTATGTAGTTCTTTTGATAGATTTAAACGCATGATAGCATCATAGGCACATTTTTTCGTATGAGTCATCTGGAGACTGAGATGGATTAGATACTGATTTGTAAAGTATGTTTATCTTTCAATACAGTAGACAGCCTTGAAAAGAGCTTGAATCAGACATCAATCTCATTACACAAGCAGACCATTGAATCATAAATCACAGTTCATATAGTGATGTCACGACTATTACTTTTCCATTGCCTAAGATGAATGCATATCTTATAATAGACATACCTCACTTCATATATACTCAGAAGGTGTTGAACTCATGATCAACTAAACAGATGCGAACGTCAATCACCAGCAATGTCGAGAAAGGTTCGACCAGAGAGCGAGGGAACCAGCCCTGTTAACAATTAATGTTTGAAGAGAATCACAGTATAATAAAGGTAGGCCAGCTAAGATTATCCTCCTAAACAGGACCTCAAATTCGCTCTCGTTGCGCTTTGTCGAACATGTCCCTCAATGGCTAGTTGGAGTCTGCCACTGGCTTGAGTATTTACTCTGGACCATATCGATATGGAGTATAGATGGAGCTTCAGCAGAGCTCAACCTTCAGAGGATTCTACACCTGAATAGACATACAAGATAAAGCGGAGAGACATGATGATCCAAGGGACGACACTCTCAAGAGATTGACAAGGAAGTGCTGACCAGTCTATCGAGTATTTATACTCAATCACCACACTTCCTTTGACTGAAATGGCCAGATCAGAGGGATGCTACTAGAAAACATTATAGAGCGGACAAAAGGGTTATAGTAATACCCAAAACAAAGACCGGTACTTTCCATGGAGATTTTGCGCTTCATCTTCAACCCCGAACAGCTCGCCGTACGCAAACTTCACGAAGGTTTTATTTCAATATCCATCGATTGGTGGATCCTCGTCTTACCTCAGCTAGTAACGTGGTCTCTTCTTGTACCATCGCCACCGCGACTCCGCCTCCTTCTCATCGAACTATCATTCCTCATCCCTTCCTCACTTCTAGATACCAATGGCAGTCAGACCTATATTCTTGTCATGGTCTAAGATATATGTGATATGAGTCCAACTATGGGTTGTGTGGGTATCATAGCCAAGAGGGGGCATTTGCAGCACACTTCGAAAGCAACCGCATTAACCTGCCTGATGATTGAGAAAAATATGCAGGACGAGAGTCACTCATTGAATCGAAAACTCGATAGTATTTTGAATTGGACAGAAGGCTTAGCGCCCTGATATTTCAACATGACTCCAGTTTTTTACTATCCGGAAGTGATTGAGCCCATGTACACGCTGATATGCCTGGCTTAACCGCCTGGCGTCTTTTTCTTCAGCTCCACTGGATGCCAAGTAGTTTCGTCTTCCGTTTTCCTCCATCTTTATTCGATGCGGAGTCTGCATTCTCCAGGTATATCCTCTGGTGACCACGAACATCCAAAAAGAAGTACTTGTATTCGTAGTCGTGGTGGCCAACATACTTGATGAGATGAATGCTGACCGCCCCTTTGTTAAGGGGGCCTTGAACCTAAGGGGCGTTTAGCGATGGACGAAATAAACAGACGGGGAGAACCGTACGTTAAACTGTAGCATCAAATGGTCGTTCCCCTGAGGGTCTTTCCGCTCTGTTGACCTGTAACAAATCAGCACCTGTTGCTGGTAGTTCTGAGATGTGAAGTACATACGCAATAGGCCGTGCGCGCCTCCATTTGTTCCATGTCTCCTCACCGAATGCTGTGATCTTCTTGCTATCTCCGAGCAACTCCAAACATCGGGGATCTTTCTTGATCCGGTCGACGGCGCGATTGAAATAAGAAACCTTGCTATCCGGTGAGAAAACCTCTTGATATAAGAAGTAGCTGACTCCGCCCTGTATGGTATAATTGTTAGTTTAGAACAGGAATATGCATTGAAAGAGCATAACACACCGTTAGGACAACTCCTACTAGAATCATGCCGAAGTTGAAGCTCTGCTGCGCCGCGCGGGCAGTCTTCTCGCCCGCTGACAGCTGGGTCCATGGGACATGTCCATCGTCATTGAAAGGGGTCACAGTCTTCCGTTTTGGTCCAGATGCCGCAGCCGGCGCGGTACCTAAGCTGTGCTGTGTCGCATAGCTTCTCTGCAAGATCAACGGAGCAACTTGAGGGTGGCTGCCGAGCAAAGTGGCCTGACGTATGGCTGACAGAGAAATTGGCTTCATCATGGAGGCTTCGGCGCTTCCATAGCTCGCTGGCGTGGCGATCTGCTATAGTAATTCGAAACCGCTTTGAGATGGAACTGTAGAGCTTGGAGGAGCATTAAGAAGCACAAGAGCCAAACCTGAGCCTCAATGTGGTGCTGGGCGGCAGAATGACCAACAGCCCAGATTCACATGTGGGGAATCTTGCACTAGGCGTGAAGAGGGCTAGCGCAATTGCCGAGTGCCACCACATCAGCGAAAATGTGGCCGAACTCCTGAACACGGGAGACGGCGCCCTGGAAATCGTCGCTGTCCTTTCCCGCCCTTAAACTATCTTCGACTTACTCGTCCTTGATTCTGCCCCGCGTCGCAGACGACACGTCTTAACAAAACCCAACGCTCTGCGCGTAATCTTACTGAGTTACCTCCTCTAACGAATCCTACCGCCATCATCAGGGATAGAAGCAGCCAAGATGAGCGCCCTGGCGACGAAGCAGCAGTCGCACAAGATCTTCGAGAAGTTGAAGACGAAGCCTGCCAATAGGGTGAGCGACAAATCGTCTCTTCAGCACATGCATCGCATATTCCAGGGTGGTTGACTTTTATCATACTAACTGCATCTGGCTTTGTAGATCTGCTTCGACTGCGGACAGAAGAACCCGACATGGACATCTGTTCCCTTTGGCATCTATCTGTGCCTTGACTGCTCAGCTAATCATCGGAATCTCGGTGTCCACATCTCCTTCGTTCGATCCACCAACCTTGATCGTACGGGTCCCGATTTGTGATTTATTCAGCATTAGACTAACATCTTGGGCAGAGTGGCAATGGGACCAGCTCCGTGTCATGAAGGTCGGCGGTAACGAGTCTGCGACCAAGTTCTTCCAGCAAAACGGAGGCAGCGCTGCCTTGAACAGCAAGGATCCAAAGACTAAGTACACATCCAATGCCGCTACTAAGTATAAGGACGAGCTTAAGAAGCGAGCGGCTCGGGATGCGCAAGAGTAAGAGGCATATTCACGGTAATGACTGCTAAAAGCTAATCGCGTCAAGGTATCCGAACGAGGTCGTCATCGCCGATGCAGGAGAGGCCGGAGACGGCTCATCCACACCAGCCGGCGACCCAGACGACGACTTCTTCTCATCTTGGGACAAGCCCGCCATCAAGAAGCCCACACCGCCCATCTCGCGCACTGGCACACCTCCGGTCGTCGGACGCACACCCTCTCCCTTCCTGAACGCAGGTGCTAACGGCGCTGGAAAGGATATTGCGCGAACCGCCTCTCCGCTTTCCAGAACTGACTCGGGCGATGCGAAGCCTGCTGCTAGCCGGATCGTCCACTCTAGCGCATTGAAGAAGACCACAACTGGACCCAAGAAGGCAAACATTCTCGGCGCGAAGAAGGCCCCCAAACTGGGCGTGAAGAAGGTCACCGGTGACTTCATTGACTTTGACGAGGCCGAGAAGAAGGCGAAGGAGGAGGCTGAGCGAATCGAGAAACTTGGTTACAACCCCGAGGAGGAGGAAGCTGAGTCCAAGAAGCCGGCCAAGACCGAGTCCGCTGCCTCTATCATCTCTCCCACCCCAGTCAGTCCTTCTCGCGGAGGCTACGGCTCGTCCTCACACACGAGAGAGAAATCTGCTTCGGAGCTCGAGCGTCTTGGCATGGGCATGGGCAGACTTGGATTTGGTCAGGTCGGAGGTAATAAGCCTGCTCCTAAGAAGGCTGGTACTGGTGGATTCGGGTCTGTTGGCCCTATCAAGGCTGCTTCTGAAGGTATGACTTTAATTCCAACATGTGCCGTACATGACTTATTAATACTTCGTAGCCGATGAGGAGCGATACGCAAGGAACAAGTTCGGGACCCAGAAGGGTATCTCTTCCGATGAATTCTTCGGAAAGGGTGCCTTTGACCCCAACGCTCAGGCAGAGGCCAAGACAAGACTGCAAGGATTCGAAGGCGCCACTTCCATCTCCTCGAATGCATACTTCGGCCGCCCGGAGGAGGAGGGCGATGCTGAGGACTATGGTGACCTTGAGACTGCTGCCAAGGACTTCATCCGAAAGTTTGGCATCACCGCTGGTGATGATCTGGAGAACCTGACCCAAGTGCTTGGCGAAGGGGCGACTCGCCTGCAGGGCGCTATCCGAAGCTATCTCGGAAGCTGAGCAGATAATACTATGGGCGCAAGCCTACGATTGGACGACAATTTATGATTGCACAGCTAGTGGGATAGGGGGTAGGACAGTTGGGAAACAGTCGACTAAGCTCCAGCCTGGACATGAAGAAAAAAGAATGACACGATCTATCCATGTTGAAGGAGCTAGGCCGTGTGTTGTTGAAGGAATAAAGGCGTAATAGCAGACTGCGGTGGCATTACTTGGTTAATAGACAAGACAGTTGTGTATGAGGTGACTTATGTCGTAAAGGCCTTGTATGCAACTTTGCAAATTCACAGACAAAATACATCCCTGATATCATGTTAAAAGGGCTTTCAATAAGATCGAGTGCAATTGTTGACTCTACTGCCAACACCGAATGGATCATCGACACTGCCGAGGCTGAAATCAAAGACATGGGAATAGATCTTAGATGGGATGGTCAAGGTAATGAATTTCACACACCTAAAGCTTGGGTGATCAAGCCGGAGCTCTAACAGTACCGGTCGAAGTCAGCTACATACTGTACATGCCAACTATATGACTTATCCAATCAAACATCTTCCGTCATGCCTCTCCTCTATAGCTTGGATGAGACCTTGATCAGGCTGTTGCCCTTTTGTATCCAGGCAACGGCATCATTGACGAACTCATCCACAATCTCCTTGGCTGTCTTCTTCTCGTTACACACGGCAGCCGCCTTGCCCATGAGGAACGGCCGGAACTGGTCCATGATCTCATCGATATCGACGTCCTCGCCCTCCTTCGTGGCGATTTCGAGGCCCTTGGGCGGCTGGGTCATCTCGCCGCTCATGAGCCTGTCGAGGTCGACCTCGTAGGGGATGGTGCCCTTGGCGGTGAGCTCCTTGATCTCCTGCTGGCGCTCGTTCTCCCAGTTCTCGATGTAGGGGTTCTTGCGCACGCGCATGGGCCGCCCCGTGAAGATGATGGTGCGCACGTTGTCGTCGAAGCCCGCCGTGCGCACCGCCTCCTTGTGCGCCTCGGGCGCGCCCGCCTCCTCGGACAGCACGAACCGCGTGCCCACCCACACGGCGCTGGCGCCCATCATCAGCGACGCCGCCAGCAGCTGGCCGTTGTGGATGCCGCCCGCGGCGATGACCTGGACGGGCGCGCCGGTGAGGGGCGACTTGTAGCCCTTGACGGCGTCGACGACGGCCGGGATCAGGATCGTCGTGGGCACGTCGCCGGTGTGGCCGCCGCCCTCGCCGCCCTGCGCGCAGATGATGTCGGCGCCCAGCTCGAGGCACTTCTTGACGTGCTTGGGGTGGCCGATCATGTTCATGTAGAGGATGCCGGCCTTGTGCAGCTTCTCGACGACTGCCTTGGGCGGCACGCCGACGGCGGAGACGAACAGCTTCGCGCCGGAGTCGATGATGATGTCGATCAGCTCGTTTAGCTTGCCCTTGGTATAGTCGTAGCTGAAGAGGCGACAAGCGTTAGCACTTCTGTTGACTAATCTGCTGCGACCATACAGGTCTGCTGCTTACTTGGTCTTTCGCGCGCTGCCTCCGACCTGCGGTAGTAGCAGATCAACGCCGAACGGGGCATTCTTGTCGACGAGGAATGACTTGAGCTCGGTGATCTGGTCCTGGAGCATCTCGGGAGTGTAGTTGACACCGCCAATGACGCCCATGCCGCCGGCGTTGGTCACGGCAGCGGCCAGCTTGGGGCCGGCGGCGACGTTCATGCCTGCCAGCAGGACCGGGTGTTGGATCTTGAAAAGATCGGTGATCGGGGTTCGGATCTTCTCTGTTTGAACACCCCACCGTCAGTAAATCGTTATCTGGGGAGGGGACAAGAGGCGCAACATACGTGGAGATGCCATGATGACAGTAGTGTAGGAGATTAAAGTTGGAGAGGAAGACGGCGACGGATGCAATTCGAGACGCTGGGACTGGGTCGCTTTCCTGATCGTCAATGCGTCAACAGCAAGATTGTTGCGATATGAAAGGGGGAGAAGCAGGTGAAGAGGCAGTCAAAGGACAGGTACGTGAGTGTATGAATGTATGTATACAGGGTGGTGGTCCCCGTTTTCAGAGGCGCAGTTTATTTCTACTCTACTCTGGAGTCCGGGGAAGCAAGCGCCGGTGTGTTGTGCTAGCCACTCGGCGTCATCATGGGATGATGGATGGACGGGCATGTGGTCGTGGGCCGAGGTCTCACTTAGTAGCCTACACTGCAGGAAACTAAGCTGACTTCGGACTTGCAGGCCGTCTGGGGTCAGTTGAGGGGCGTGTGAAGTGCCGAGGCACGCCGCTTGAGAGCGGTAAACTCGACTCGTCGGATTTACAAGAAGCCCCGAATGGAATTGTGTCGAGACTAGGTTGAATAGGATGTAGTGTAGGAAACTGCCTGTTGATGATCCTAGCTTTTCAACTATATACACCATGATGTTTGACGCTTTGGTGGTGCTTCAGTCTTTGATATCTTAGCCTGTGCAAAGTGATTCCATCTCCAGTGAGATCGCTGGCATGTGCTCGTGGACGAAAGCGGATAGCGTCGCTATAAGCACAAGCACAAGCACAAGCACCCACCACTAGCACAGCGATGGACGGGATTAGCTCAGCGGTCAGCTCCCGTCAGCGACGCATCCAGGGATCTCGAGCCCCAGAGATAGTGAGGTCCGGTATGAACGTCAATCGCATTCTAGCCAATCACAGCAGCGCACTACGCCCGTCAACCGTCGACACTCTAAAAGTCGATGAGACACTATCACGACTTGACGCTTGATACTTGATGCTTTGGCATCAAAGTAATATGAGATATTCACTTCTCTCGTCACTGTCCGTTCCAAGATCACAACTACTCATCAGCGGCCTCGGAAATGTCCAGGCATGCCGTGAATGCTTCCTGCCGGTAGTGGTAGCCAGAAAATTCTTCTCAAGCGCATCGCGTCAGCACGGAGCTCCCTATAAGAGATACACGATGCCTCAGTCAATAAAAATAGATCGTTCTAGCGACGCTCCGGCTCCGAAAAGGAAAAGGACAGCGTATATTGCGCTGGGGAGCAATCTCGGTGATCGCATCGCTGAGATCGAGAGAGCTTGCAATGAGATGGACGCCAGAGGCATCCGTGTGAAGAGGACAAGCAGCCTGTGGGAGACTGAGCCGATGTATGTGCTAGATCAGAATAGGTTCGTCAATGGAGCATGTGAGGTATGTGGGATCGCTCGTTTTCTCTGTGAATGCCAGTCTCACATGAGCGCAGGTTGAGACAGACTTGGAGCCCCTTGCGCTGCTTGATCAGCTACAAGACATCGAAAACACGATGGGCAGGAAGAAGGTCATTGACAAGGGACCTAGAAACATTGATCTAGACATTCTCCTGTATGGGGACGAGAAGATTGATCATGAGAGGCTAACAGTGCCGCATATTGGCATACATGAGCGGGAATTCGTGCTTCGGCCCCTGACTGAGTGAGAGATTCACGAATTGTCAACGACCTCATCACTAATCTGTATCTAGGCTCATACCAAACAAGTCCCTTGGCCCCGATCGGCCATGGAAACTCACCCAAGACTATCTGAATGAGCTTCCGCCCTCAAACCCACCTCTCACTACCCTAACTCCCTTGTCTGCCACCCATGCTCCTCTTCAAGCCTATAAGCCCGACCGCAAAACTCACGTCATGGCCATCTTAAACATGACACCCGACTCCTTCTCTGACGGCGGCGTCCACACACCCTCGGACCCGTCATCCCTCGCTGAGACCATCCGATCAGTCATCGCCGCAGGCGCAACCATGCTCGACGTCGGCGGCCAGTCAACGGCACCGCACCGGCCACAGGTCTCCGAGGAAGAGGAGCTGTCCCGCGTGCTCCCGGCCATCGAGCTGATCCGCTCCCTTCCCGAGGGACAAAACGTCATCATCAGCGTCGACACGTATCGCGCGGGAGTCGCCGAGGCCGCTGTGAAGGCCGGTGCGGACATGATCAACGACGTGTCGGCTGGCACTCTTGACCCGGCCATGCTGTCGACGATGGCGCGGCTCGGCAAGACTGTTTGTCTGATGCACATGCGCGGCACGCCCGCCACGATGAACTCGCTGAACGACTATAGCAGCGACACCGATGGCGACAGCGGTCCTGCCGGCCTGACTGGCGATGGTCTTATCCCCGGTATAGCACGAGAGCTGTCAGAGCGCGTAGCCGCGGCCGAGGCAGCAGGCATCAGGCGGTGGAGGATCGTGCTTGACCCGGGCCTGGGTTTCGCGAAGTTGGGCGAGCAGAACCTGTCCATCCTGCGGCATCTGCACGAGTTGCGAAGCTGGCCAGGTCTGCAGGGGCTACCATGGCTGGTGGGCTCGAGCCGAAAGAGCTTCATTGGCCGGATCACCGGTGTGCCGAAACCGGCAGAGAGGATATGGGGCACGGCTGCAACGGTGGCGGCGGCCGTGGAGGGTGGAGCAGATATTGTCAGGGTGCATGATGTCAGAGAAATGGCTCAAGTGGTCACAATGGCAGATGCCATCTGGAGGTACTGAAGATCTTGGGGTGTCGCAGGGATTGATCTATGGTGCTAGACAAAATATACTTCAGACCCGATATTCGTCGATCTCTGTTCATCCTCCTTCATTCAGTCACCAGGGGAATCACGATATGTCTATGGAGACTCATAGATATGCCACTCAATCACACTGACGGCCATCATCATTCTCGACCCTTCCAATAATGCCCGTGATTACTTTATCCTTGAGCAGCCGTCAACATTATATCGCGATCTGCTAGTCGCGAGATGTGGGTTAGCTCTTTTTGTGATACTAAAAGGTCTGGGTCGTCGTCTGCCAATATCCTTTCTTTGACTGCCACCACTTTCTCTAGCAAATGCCTTGCTTTGCTAATTTGCCCCATGTCTGCGTATGCATACGCGAGATTGTGCTGGGTTGTCAATGTCTTCTTATGTTCTTCTCGATATATACTTTCCTCAAATGGCAATATGAACTCCAGCAACTCTATGGCTTTCCCAGGCTGCTGATTTTTCTGGTATAGAAGCGCCAGGTAAGCCATTGAATCAAGCCGTCGGATACTGTCGTCTGGCAGTGTCCTGGCTTCGACTGACACCTGTCCCTCAACCAACTTCACTGCCTTCCCGATCTGGCCATCTTTTACATATGCTTTAGCGAGATGGATGTGACATGACCTCCGTAGCGGGTGCCCCTCTCGCAGCACTTTCTCTCGTATCTCCATGACATGCTCTAGCCGATATATTCCATCCTTCGCTCGATCGTCCTCAATATAGGCAAGTCCAAGGATCATTTCTGATGCTAACCGATCAGTGTCGTCTTCCGGAAACATGGCTGCCTGTATGGCTGTAATGTAGCTTAATATTTTGATAGCATCTTTGAACTGTTTGTTCATCCAGTAGGCCAACGCAAGATGGTGCTCCGCATTTAAAAGATTAAGGTCGTCTTCAGGGAGTGTCACTTTCTGCATCGCCACGATGTTTTCCAACATTCCAATACCCTTCTTGAGCTGCCCATCCTCGATATATGCTTTAGCCAGTTCACGCTCCGCTTCCGTGCGACTATGATCATCTTTTGAGACCGTCTGTGTTTGTTCCCGTATTGCCACGATACGCTCCAATATGCTGATGGCTGTTTTCACCTGGGAGTCTGCAGAATATGCCACTGCAAGATGAGTTTCCATGTCCAAGCGTTTTGTGTCTTCTGCAGCGAGATGTTCCTCCGCCCATCTACAAGCCCGACTATGGAAAAGGAGGGAATCCTTGTACCGGAACTCAATGTATAGAAAGCTTCCAACGTAGTGAGACAGCTGGCATTCATCACGCGTTCGACACTCTTGGCTTCTATCAAGCACACGGAGCGCATGGGGAAGCAAGGACCTCCATAGCTGGCGGTTCTTTTTATCTAACGGGGAAATGGCCGTAAGGTGCGAGATGCTGAGAAGTTGCGCCTTTTGCGCACGCTGATGTCTCTCAAGCCATACGTTTATCGCCTTATGTACTAGGCTGTGCACATCAAACACATCCGTATCCCCACGCCTATTAAGAAAAGCGTACCCGCACAGAAGTCCGATGGCACGTGTCGTGTGCTCCTCGACCTGTGCTTTGGGTAATATCCAGAGCGGAATCGCCTTGGGCTCGATACACGATATGAAAGACAGTAGGTCGCCAGCAAAAGGATCGGATTTGAGTATCTGCTCGAAGGACACAAGCCAAGTGGCAGCCACGGAGTTTTGTGAATCGGCATATCGAGTCATATCTCGAAACTCTCGGCTTAGTAGGCTGATCATGTTCTCCTCGGCACTTCGTAGTAGTCTTAAGTACTCTGTAATCGATATCTGATTCTTGTTCAGATATGCAGCAGCCTGAGCGATTCCGAGTGGGAGGTGGTTCATCTCCTCCAACAGCTCTTTCACCGCTGTGTCATGAATCAGGTCTTTTCGAATCAGGCTCTTCTCTAGAAAACTCGTCGCCTCAGCCCAATCCATTTCGGACAGGTCGACCACATCACATCCAACAGTCTCGACAGCCACTTCTCGGGATCGTGTCGTGAACAAAGTAAGGCCATTTTCGCTCTCAGGAAGATATCTGCTGAGGCCATTCTGTGTGAAGAGTACGTCTCCGTCGTCTGCATTGTCTATAATGAGCAGCCATCGTCCAGCCTCGTCAGAGCTCAAATGGTCCCGGACTAGGTCTTTAGGATCATCGTCATCGCTGTACTTCTGGAGGGCGAGTCGCCTTGCTATCTCGACATACGCCTCCTCGAATGTGGCGGTGCTCAGTGCCGGAACCCAGAAGATGTCATATTCAGGTCGATGTTCCTTGACCCAGTACGCAAGCTGCAAGGCGACTTGAGTCTTGCCGATACCACCTAACCCAACAATGGCGGCTTTTTGGCAGTCCTGTGCGAATAGCATGTCTTGGAGTCTTTTCAAGGTTGACTCTCTTCCTACAAACCGTTTGTTCTTGGGGGACGGGATATAGTAGCATGCCTTTCGGACTGATCCGGGATTTGATCCGGAAGACACCATAACAGACGTTTGAGTCGTGGTGGTAGCTGGACTTTCAGCCCCTGACGCGCTCAAATCGATCCATCGTCTGAGTTCTCCTAGTACTCTCTGAAACCCGGTATCATAGTCAGACAAGAATCGGACCATGTCGCGGTGATTTGAATGAATGCTAATTGCCGTGTAGCCGTCAAGTGTGGCAGATTCCTTGGACACGACTCGCCCGACACCGGTCAAAGGCAGTTCTTCGAAGAAGCATGTTACATGCAGACATCTCCCATGCTCACGTACGTCTCGAACCATGGACAAGAACCGAGATTGTATGGACTCAAGCAACTGGCTGTCAGTTTCCAAAACTGTGAGCAGCTTTCTGTTGGAAGACTTCATCAGCCCGAGTGCAGAAGCGGGAAAGCGAGCCCAGTCGGCCATCCAAGAACCCTTGTGTGGCGTGCCCATGAACATAACCCCAATAACGTGATCGAAGATGGCACGTAGATGCGCATCATGATGCGTACGTGATAGCAGAATTGCCTCTTTACAAACAAGGCCACCGAGGCTATGTGTCACGAAAACCAGTGGGCGAGTGGATGCGTCCACCCTCGTCCTATCGTTCGTCAAGTCGATGAGAAGGTTAGTGGCATGATCAAGCAGCTTGTTAGCTGAGACACCAGAAGCTCGTACCACATAAGCATCATAGCCATATGTGAGGAGACGAGCTCTGGGAAGTTGAGATGGTAGAAGCGTCTTCGGCCAGGGTGTTGGCTGGCCGTGGGCAGTCCATGTTGTATCCCGATTTCCCGTCAGGCCATGGACAAAGCATATATCGACTAACGCATCAGGGCATTCATACCATACTTTGATGCCGTCCGGGAAGGCAGACGCATTCCCGGACTCACTGAAAGATGGTAATGACCAACTCCTGTCGAGATTCCTTGATGATGAAGCTGTCCCAGCCTCACGGCCGAGTTGGCCCTCCGGTAGGAACGAAGACGCCTGAGGCTTGTTTCTATCTCTGAAGACGGTTTTGATGCGTCTCATTAAGTTTCACTGGTGTGCAATAGCACGCCTATCATTGACTATCGGACATTAAAAGGGGGTCTAAGTCTTAGGGTTGCGGCATCCGGCCGGGAACATGTGGAACCGATGGGTTGGACTTCGGGGAGATGGTACGGCGTGGATGCGGGGGTGGAAGGCCGGTGTCTGACTGCGACAAAACGGATTGAGCCAGCCTCACTGTACCGTATCTAGTGGCCAGCCAGTGAGCGAATAGCATTCGGCGTGAGTCACGCGGCTTGCGCAGCCACTCTCTGTTCTAAAAATCAGTGCCCTATGTGCTTTGGTATTGCAATTTCCATTTAGTGAGAGCACGCAATGCATACTAGCGCAAGTTCTTAGATCGTGAGATACGGCATATAAATTGAAAGATTTAGCTCTACTTGGTCACGAGCCAAGCCAGCGTCGATTGCACGATGAAGTATAAGGGCAGCCCCTGAATATAATCACCCTGTGAAATTCTCACTTCGTCGCTTCCTGCCTAACCAATGTGAACAAAGAGAGGTGCCGCCGGGCAGCTGATTGTTCTATAACCTCAAATCGCGTCTTATCGGCTTCATCTTGCCCAGCCTACAATCCGTCAAAATGACATCAATTGCAGCAGAGTCCGTGTCAACCATATTGGTATCGTGCAAGCAGACTCGATTTCATATTGAAAGCCCCAATTACAGAGAGGTATTATAATCGGATGCACGTGGTGATGCTTCCGCTAAAACTGTCCTCAGCTAGATATCGAGGGCTTGAATATCACCGTCACGTCCGGCGATAAGCCTACCGGCAAAGGCAAAGGGAAGGCCAAGTCAGAAGGCACCGAGATCTTGTCAAATGCAAAACTGCGATTGAAAGCGGGCCAGAGATATGCACTTGTTGGTCGAAATGGCACAGGCAAGTCGAGTAAGTTGGCCTGAGAGTTATTCATGCCTTCAAGGAGGCTTATACCTTGACAGCGCTTCTGAGAGCTATCTCAGAGAAGCTTATACCTGGAATTCCTGAGAAGACCCGTGTGGCAATTCTTCAGCAGACCAATGCTCGCGATTCCAATACGGATGTGCTTCCAGAAGACGCCTTACCCCAGGGAAGAGGCTCGGGCACTGGCCGTACCGTGATCGAAGAAGTGATTGACAAAGCCACGGCGAGGAATGAATTGGAGCAAGAAATTAATGGTTTGTCGTGAGTTTGGAGAAGACTGGTTCATGGGCTGATGTCTCGTTCAGAGCTATCGAAGGGAGTTGACAGTGCCGAGGGATTGGCGGCCGTTCGGTCCCTTCGCAAGGTCCGTCATCAAAGGCTTCAGAAGCAGCTTTTTGTCCTCGACAAGGATGCAAGGTTACGAAGCGGAGCACGGGGAATGCAGGCCCGCAAAGCACTGCTTGCCTTTGAAAAGGAGGTAGCTGAGTCTGCCACGCTGTATGTTTCCCTCGCAACTGGCTTTGAGTTAAATAAGTACTAATGGTAAAACAGTCAAGATCAAGCAGATGACGAGATCAGTCCCGATGATGTCAAATCTGAGATGCAAGAGGCAATTGACATGCTCGCTGACTTGCAGCTCCAAGTTGAGCCTTCCAAGATTGCGGAGATCGAGTCTCAAGCCAAGAAAATCCTTACTGGCCTGGGTTTCAGTGAAGCATATATGAACAAACAGGTTTCAGATCTTTCAGGCGGCTGGCTGATGCGTACTGCTCTGGCAACAGCTCTTCTCCAGGAGACTGATATCCTAATTCTCGATGAACCAACCAATTACCTCGACCTCTTGGGCATCATGTGGCTGCAACGATACCTTAACTCACTAGAAGATACCCCTGAACCGCCCACTCTAATTCTCGTCTCTCACGACCGAGACTTCATCTCTCTTTGCACCGACCTCCTGATCCTAAGGGACAAAGACCTCACTTATTTTCATGGCGATCTTCCTCTCTATGAATCCACCACGGCCGAGAAGAAGCTGTATCTAACGAAGATGAAAGAGGCCAAAGACAAGCAGAAGGCTCATCTTCAGGCCACCATTCAGCGTAACATTAAGGAAGGCAAGAAGAACGACGATGACAACCGGCTAAGACAGGCGAAGATGCGCCAAAAGAAGCTTGATGATCGCTGGGGCCTGGAAGTCGGCGTCAAAGGCGGCCGCTTCAAGCTCAACCGCGATCTACCGGGCTTCCATCTGACGAAGCGCGATGATATTGACATTGCTCAGGACCAACGTGCCGTCAATGTGGCACTCCCACCACCGACAGATCTTCGCTTCCCAGGACCTCTGATCAGTATCGAGGGAGTGACATTTCGCTATCCATCGAAAAAGAAAGGCGTCCTCTCACCGACCGTGCTGACTGATGTGAACCTATCGGTCAGCATGGGGGACCGCATCGGCATCCTGGGACTGAACGGAGCCGGCAAGTCAACGCTGGTCAAACTGCTCGTTGACGAAACAAAGCCGACTAAGGGCACGGTGACAACACATCCTCGTCTCAAGCTGGGTTACTACACGCAACATGCTATCGAACGATTGCAAGCTATGGGACGCGAGGAGCCAAACTTGACTGCCCTTGCACTTTTGACCAGGGAGGTGGAAGGTCACTACGACGAGGGTGAGCTCCGCGGGATCCTTGGATCGCTCGGTCTGCCTGGCCGCATCGCATCTGACATCCCCGTCCGTAAGCTCTCCGGCGGGCAATTGGTGCGGTGCGAGCTGGCTCGGATCCTGTGGCAGTGTCCCCACTGTCTAGTCTTGGACGAGGTAACAACGCATCTGGACTACGAGACAGTCACCGCACTCCGGGAGGCGCTGCGGGACTGGGAGGGGGCAGTCGTCTTGGTTAGTCACGATAGGTGGTTCATGCGTGGTGCAGTCGAGGGGTTGCTTGATGAGGAAGATAGTGATGCTGAACCGGAGGAAGAGGAAGAGCCGCCGCGAAGAAGGCTGGTGTATCGACTTCGGGGCGGCGTTCTGACACAGCTAGAAAACGGCGTGCAGCAGTTTGAGGACCTGATGGAAAGGAGAGTGGAGAAGCTGTTGCGCTCCTAGGTAAAATCTTTCAGAACATTGTTGTGCGCTGATCATAGCATCCGACTGTGCTGGGCTATCTATAAACTTATCAAAGAAACCAAGCCTACAAGACTGATGGACCTACTAAAACCTGGAATTTCGACTCGGGCATCGTCTTGACAGTCATCGAACCTCCTTGAGGAATCTCGACGATTGTGCCATCAATGCAGACTTTCCTCCATCTATCATTATCCTCCAGTGTAGTGACCTTGACCTCATCAATTGCCTCATACCCGACCTTATCCTCCGTCCCGTCCTCCTTCGTCCAGGTCATTCCAACATGGCTGCCATTGTTGTAAGCCTGCATCATGATATCCATCGTCTTTGCGCCCCCAACATCGCCAAAGTGCACCAGACGCAACTGCCCATCTAATGGTTTGCTTTTAGGGGAGATAGCAAATGTCTTCTCGAGATTTGACACCAGAGTAGCAAGTATGTAGTTGAATTTTGTATTCTCGAATGTCACAAGCTGAGACTTGCCTCCTGTCAACGTCTCAACAGTGGCATCGTAGACATGGCTTTCCTTCAGAAGCTCCTGTGCGACCATACCGAAGCGCTTCTCGCCGTGCTTGCGGTATTCAGGCGTATCGCTCTCCCAGACCAGCTGGGAGTGAAATCCGTAGCTGGCAACAATAGCACCGTACAATTGATCTACACGCTTCGGCTCCTTCTGCAGTCCCACCTCTGGGTCCGCATTCACTGCTGCCGGCGGTGGCGAGTACGAGATGATGTGCGATCCGGGCGAGAAGGATGCCTGGAACGTAGGTAGCGGTGCAGACACCCCTTTCAGAAGCGTTCGTAGAGCTAGGACGAACGGAGACGGAACCGGAGCATCGGTTGCCATGTATTGTGGCTTGTGAAGAGAGTGGAAGAGCGCATTACCAGTGCCCAACGGGAGAAGCGCGATAGTAGGCCGGGGCTCCCTATAGACAGGCTCATCGCAGCCATTCAGGAGATCAACAACTCCACCATCGCCACTCAGGAGTACGATGGTCTCGCTGGAGCCAGCCGCATCCCCTGAGACTGAGCGGCCGTCATTGCCCCATCGGGCCTGTGCAAATTCTCGGATGGTTTGCGAGTCCTTCGTGACGGTAACATGATAGCCCTTTGTCTGATGTGATGGCGTTTCCGCCGATTCCGTGGACGTTAACGCCGTCGCATCCTTCAGACCAAGCACTTCCAAGAGTGGTTGCAGCACTGAGTTGTAGAACGGCTCTGCTAGACCGGTTCCCGACCGTGTGGATATGATGACATGTAAATCAGATTTACCATCAACTCTCAAAGAATCCGGGAGGGTCTTCAAGCGATGTTTATCTAGTACATCTTGCGGCAGTTTCTGTGCGGAGAATGCTGACAATTGGAATGGTTCTTCGACATCTCCAGAACCTTGCCGCAAGCTGAATATCGAGTAACCTTGGTCTTCGGTGGTTGAATCTAAAATTGCTATGATTTCTTCATCCTTCAGATGACCAAGTGCATCGTCTGCCTTTCCATTTTGTGACGACCAGGTGAGCTCACCGTCACTATATCTGATATCGTCGGGGAGTTGTACTTGGTGGATAGAACCGGCATCCGGCGGCATGTGAACGGCCATTTGGTGGTGGGGTGAATTACTAACTGAGAGGAATATAGGTACGGCAATGATGAAGAGCAAGACTCGGGAAAATGGCAACGAAAAGATGAAGTTCACAAAAGATTCAGGTTTAATACAGTATTATAAGCATTCAAAGTGTTTGATCTGTATTCTTAAGCTGCCGACGAGATAAATGGGGTTCCACCGTTGGAGCGGGTTGACTCAGGACGGCTCGCCCGGCTACCTTAGGTCATAAGCCTTAGAGCGACCAGACAGGTTGCCCCCAATTGCGTTATTTGCTATCCACTGTATCTGGAAGCCCATCAGGGTGGGGTGGCCCGCGAATTCTACCTAGTGCACCGCTCACCAAGCAAGGTTCAAATTCCTAAAGGAACAGACAATGGGCGCTGATTTGCGGCTTAGTGGGTCATGCAACTCTGCAGTTCGTGCTTTTTTAGCGTTAGGAGTATACTGTTAGCGACCGGGCAAAGGTCCCCAAAGTAAGCACTGCTCCAAACGGCTTGTCTGTGGGTGGGTATATTGCCATCAACTTAGGGACGAAACAGGGGCATCAGCTCAATGACCGCGTGCCCTGTTCAGCGGTCCCCAATTCTCTCTTGGATTCCGTTGATATCTGACGAGTTTCTCCTTGGAAGTTTCGCGTCCAAGCTTCTCATCAAAGACAACCTCAAATTTCTTCTCTTCTTCAGACTTATCGGCCTCTTCTGTCTTTCCTGTCGCTCCAGTGCCGCCCAAGCGTAGCAGGTGGTAAGCTGATGTTCCAGGCTTTATATTCTCCTCCTTAATGGGCGACTTCTGTCGGATCCATTCTCTCATGACGTCCCAGATGACCGTCCAAGGGGCATCAGTCTTGATACTTCCAGGTTTGCAATGGCTTCGTGTGACTTGATAGCCGAGGTGACGCAGTGCGCCACGGAACGCATCGTCACCCGGCGTTGCACAATGGAGTGCTCGCGATATTTGGGTTGGGAGGAAGAAGAACGGATACGGCTCAATAGCGGCTACCGCGTCTTCCTTCGACGGTTCCAGTCCCTCTGGAGACGGCGCTTCCAGACGCTCCTCTAGAGCGGTCGTCAGCATACCTTTGACTCTGTCAAGAGTGCCGTATACTTCTCTGGGTGCATCTGCAACCTCATCGAGCATCTGTTTGATAAAATCTTGAGAATGCAGTCGACCTGCGTACATTGGGCCGGCAAGGTGCATCTTATAGCCACAATGCTCGCAAAGATGGTCTGTACTCGGAGCAGCAGACATGGTGTGTTTGTAGAAAGTCCCCGTTCCAAGTTTATTTGCTGCAGCCTTGTTCCTCAACAGTAACTGTGTTGTCCAGGCACCACACCCTTGATCGCAATTGTATACCACCATCGTTTTGCCAGCCTGGAACTTGACACTTGCGGCCGACTTCCTGACACGGACAAAGACACGGGCGTAGAAATCGATCGAGAGTGATAGGAGAGGCTCGATCGTTAGGCCATATCGTGAAGCAGATGTCGCAATAGAGTGGAGAATCAATCTCAACCCTGCTTCATGAGAATGGTTACCTTTCATGGGGATGCCTCCGTACAGAGCGAATGCTTTCTCCGGATATCCGTTAGAAGCCCATACGCCGGCGTCTGTACATGTGACACAGAGAAGGCCACCGTCATCTCGTACAGCTTGAACTGCAGCGTCGAGAAAGACTGCTGCTGTTCCATACGGATCCAGATCAATCACGTCGTATTTCTCAGTCTTCTTGGATGGTCCCTTGCCTGAGTTGGAGAGTTCTCTTGCTATCAGGCTGTACATGTGAGCTAGAGCATCGCCTTTTATTGCTGTGATCTTGTCTTCAAGCTTATTATGCCGTACGTTGAGCTTGATTGACTCCACTGCAGAAGATAGAAGATCGTTTGCCGTGATCTGTGTGATAAATGGCAGCTCGTGCGCATAACGTAGCGCGCGAAGCCCTGTCGCTGACAATGCATCGAGAACCGTAAATCTCAGGCGATTCCCGGTTTTGTCATCACCTCCAGCTGCTTCTTGTACATTGTCGGCTTCCTGTTTTTGTGTGGCCTGACTCTCAATATTTTGCCCATTCTCTATAGCTGGAGGATCGGATTTGGCGGGAATCTCGGTGGCATTAAGCATAAGTGTGTCATCGGTTGTTGCAGCATCGCCGCTTGTGCCTGACTTTGGGACAGATCCCTCAGCTGTCTTGAGAGCCTTCTCGGATGTTTGTTCAGATTTGTTGTCCACTCGCTTCCTCTTCTTTCCTGCGAGGGACTTTATCCTCCTCTCGTAGGCCTCTTTTCTCTTCTCGATGGTTTCCTTCCCGTATGCCTTCAAAGCGAGGACGGTCAAGTCCCTGTTGAATTGCTGAATCGGGTTGTAAAAGACTTGTTGCACAGCTCCATCGCCATTGGCCTTTGCCTTTTCGTTTTCGGGTTTCTTTGCTGACTCTGGGACCAAGATGAAAGCTTGCCCCTCTCTCACAGTGGTAAACCGTTTGCCGTCATGGGCAATCACTTGGTTTTCGGCGGGGGCAGCCGAGATTGACACCGCCTCGGAGGCCATGGTTCGGGCTCGGGTTGCGACAAGAATAGGATGGTGTATGCGAGACAGGACGCTCACGGGCTTCGAATAGCCATTGAATAGGGATCGCAACAGGAGGGAAGGCATGCAAGTCTACTGTTCGGGACTTTATGCGAGCACCTGAGCGTGATTTCGAAACCCTGTCCTTCCATGAAGATTTGGATGTGAAAGCTCTGGGTGACTCGCAGGGAAATTTAATTATTCTGCCGAGCGGTCAATTTAGTGTTGCAGGACTCAGCAGGGGCCAAACAACCCCACATGCACCTGTAGCAATGCCACAAGAGCGCTAGTATCCACTCAATCCAACCCCTGGATCTGATATGTAGCCTGAAGCTTCCAAGGTTCTCTTCGATGCTGCCACTATCATGCTATGGATCTATCCTAGAGCGTTCAAATGCCATGACCTTGTGCCAGGCAAGTGTATGACACAATCTACTAGTATGCGTACTTATTGTAGCTTTGACATTGCTACCAACCTCCAGTGATGCGCGAGAGAAGCTGTCAAACTCAACACCAAAACAGGTACTGCACTAGGTGAGGCTATTTGAGGAGGTTGTCTCCGTAACACTCCTTGGTCTCTTGATTTTGGCGAACACGCAATGCTTCACGAAGCTTCCTCTGACATATACCAGGGATCATCACTCGGGAAGATAAATGTGTAAGATGATATGTGAAGAAGGATGGTTTGCTCTATGAAGTGATGGATTGTTGTAGTAGGGGCTCGTTCAAATTCGTAGAGGAAGGTAGGACATATGTGCAAACTCCACAAGGAAGGAACGGGCGGGAGCTCGTGTATCAGACTACAGGCGTCACCTTCCTCTCGATACATAGCTAGGAAATGGCAAGTGCCGTCTACCTTATGACAGGCAAGAAAGACTGGAGGGTTTGCAAGTGCGACCTATAATTCCTCTATCCGCAACTCATGAATCTGGAGTCCTCAATGCGCAGCATCACCGTTGCGCCCAGTAGCCCAGTTCTCTTCTTTCTCTTTAATGCTACCGATCAGGAGAATCCTGTCTCTACCATTTCAGTCAGGTTTCAAAGACAGGGCTAGACGGCCATCGTATATCACCTCACTCTAGAAGGGGGCCTAATCCCTCAGTCACCGAAGTGGTACCCTGGATGTTGACCTTCCCCAAACATCCTTTATCGAGCGCATGTAGTGCTTCTTCACACCACTTCATCTCGTGTCATTTTCTCTTCGGTCATCAGAACTAGCTCTTAGCGAGATCATGGCCATCCCCATCGCCACTGGTTCTGCACCGCCGTCTCTGCCTCCTTTAAATATCGACAAACAGTCCGGCCGGGCTACTCCTCCAACCAGAACGCCCATCCAGAAGAAAGCAACGTCGGCCGCGGAGTCTAATGCACAGCATCTTTCGCAGTATCGCTATTTGACACCGAATGAGTGGGCTCGGCTGGCACACGGCCTAGGTGCTGTCAAAGATGGTGAAGATAACGCTCTTGTTCACCCAACTTGTTGGTACTGGCCTCCCAGAGGGATGCCGAATGGCCTGTACAAAGATGTCGTCTTCGAGAAGACCAAGAACTTCTACCACTTCCACATGATCTACACCACTCAGTGGATACTCCTCATTCTTCAAATCATGCTTGGAGCGGTACTGACGGCACTTGGCGCTATCTCCATGAAGGACAAGATTCCCATCACTGCTCTTGCAGCAATCAATACCGTTGCCGCCGGCGTTCTCGCCCTCATGCATAGCAGTGGTGTTCCTGACAGATTGCTGCGCAACAAGAATGAGTACTCGAATGTCGTGGATTATGTAAAGGTACGTAAATTGGCCTCCTCCTACTTGGCATGATGATCTTGCCCTTTGACCATCTCGACAGGAATTGATTGAAACTGCCATTGTCGAGAATGACATGACTGTCGACGATGCGATCGCTCATTGTTTCGACAGATATCATGCCGTGAAGCAGACTGTTCAAGCAAATCAGCCAGAGAATTATATGCCGAGTTCCTCCATCACCCCAGCAGTTAGAATGTCGGGGCTAAATCCACGCAGTAGTGCGTATTCAACCCATTAACTGCTTGACCAACTGTTCACTTGCTACTGTTGCGCCGAAGACACGGCGAGTAGCTTGGGACAGCATGTTTGAAGATTTACCGTAAGGGCTGTGTGGGAACTTTGGCTTGGGGTTGCAGACTGCGATTTAAATCATGTCGAAGAATCGGCAGGAAGAAAGTTTGACTTCAAAAGAGCTGCAAGTTAAGCAATTACAGTGGTGATGAAGACAAGATTTGTATTATTGATGTTTAGGGACGTTCACAATGTACGGACTCTTGTGAGCTTTTGATTCACACAGACCTGTTTCTGGTACTGCATTTTCTCGAGAGAGCGGTTGTTCAAGTGGCCTTGGTACTCATTATCACTTAAAATGATGACCGTTGTCGCAATGCGACTCTGTGGGGGACCCGGGGCAATTCGCACGAATCAGGGGAACCACGTTTCACCCACTCAGGAGACAATTGGCAGGGGCATCAGCCTGATTTGACAAGAAATCGATATGGACAGCATTGATTCCTCCCGCACCTCCCATCGTTATCACATCCCAGTCTGCAGCTTGCTATTATACCTGCCGTTATCAATTAAACATGTCAAGGTAGGTACGATGGATAGCTTAGCACCGCCAAGTGTTTGGTATTCGCTTGCTCCTCGCCGGGAACTTTGGCCCGGTACACCTATCCATACAATCTGACATCCCGCAGGTGATTATCGCCCGCATCTTCAATGCAGATTTCCCTCTTTCATTGTTTGTCGCGACCGTCATTTCTCGCAATTTCTCTGTTCCATTTCCCTCTGGTTCTCTTTTCGCGCGTTAAACATGAGATCAATCGTGTCAAACTCGATGACAAAGTGAACAAGCTGTTGCACTTCCCACTTGATAGCCGAAGTCTCGCGAGTTTCTGCTGTATTAATATGACCTGTCGATCATTACATTGAAATCGCGTCCAATAGCTGGGTCGCCTCCATCGAGACCTTCCCGACACAATGCTGCCTCCTTTGATTCAGCGGGCACTGAATCTCGCGAGCTCAAGGATGTTTCTCCCTCGGGTGCCATACGGCCAAGTCAAGGCCTTGGTCCTAGTCGTTACTTTCTTGGCGATGACTCTGGTATCACTGATGTATAGAATGTACAAGCAACCGGCGCCGTACGAGTTCACGGAAGGAAGGACAAGCCCCTGGCATGAGTGGAACAAGACTGCTCCGCGAATACAGTCGGAAGAGGTGCAATATCTGAAGTACCTCGTCCAGACATACGGTCTTACGAAAGATGTTCGGTGGCACTCGCGAAGGATGCGCTCGACGTATTCGGCTTCGAAGAGACTATCCATGACGGATACTACATTGCGATTCATGCCAGCAGGCGATTCGATAAGAATTAATGTCGATGACGAGAATTTAGATCTTTCATCCGAGCAACCTGTGAACTTGGTGTTGCACAGAAGTGCCCGACCTGACGAATTGGACGCTTCGGCCTTTCTGTTTGGGATATCCTCAACTTATTCACGCTTGATCTACGCGAACCACTCGTTAATCAGGGACTGGCAGAGATGGCTCACTGACGGCAAAGGGACCTCGAATGGTGCACAAGTATTGCTGGCGCTACATGATGCCAGCAAGACCGAAATCGATAAAATCACACGGATATTACAGAGTGCTGGGATTGATGTGGCTGTGACCTCGTCCAAACCTAGCTTAGACACGGCATCTCGGTATATGGACCTGCTTCAATCCTTGATGCAAAATCAGGACAAGGGGGAGAAGAGAAGTAGTATGCAAAGGAAATTCCTCTCCCTTATCGATGACGACACCTTCTTCCCAAGTATGGACAAGTTACTGCGAGAGCTGGCAAAGTTCAAGAATGACGAGCCTTATTATATCGGAGTGCCTAGCGAGCGGTCTGACTGGTTCGTTGAAAGGAATGAAAGTATGACATACGGGGGAGGTGCCGTGTTCGTTACTCAAGCAATGGCAGAGATGGCTGCATCCTGTTTCCGAAAAGACAAAAGGGACAACGAGTTCGGTTCCGGGTCCGCCTGGGATGCGGTGCTTTACGACTGTATTTCCAAAAACACCGAGGAGAACCTGCACATCCTTCCAAGCTTCTACTCACCGGAAGATGATCAACGCTATGGACAGGAGACTATCAGCAATGAGGGCTATGGCGGTGGTATACAACCTCTCACACTCCACCACGCTCGAAATTGGCATCGGTTCGAAGCAGGAAAAGGGCATCTGGTGACATCCGTGTGCGGAGAAGACTGCTTCTTGCAACGATTTCAATTCAAGGATGACTGGATCCTCGTCAATGGATACTCCATCACAAATTTCCCCGACGGCATGGATGCGATACCGTTAAAGAAGGGCTCAAAGCTGCTTACTCAAGATTCGCGCGACGCAAAGCCAATCAAGATCCACGAGAGTATAGTCCTGGACAGCACCGAGCGCCTAGCTGAGACCGCAGACATGAAGATGATCGTGTGGACGGGGAGGAAACGTGTTTGGAGGCTGGCAGACTCGAAGCTCCTGGACAATGGGGAAGTCTGGCAGGCTTATATCAAGAGAAAGGATGGAGGAAACTGGGACGATTATGTTGATAGGCGGCTATCGGGCGATAGAATTCACTCCGATGAGGAGAGGACAGATAGAGATTCTGTCATTGTACTAATATGGGAGCCATGAGAAGCTTAGAGATGAAACTAATATACTCCGTTCGCGTGGCCGCTCAGGAGGGATAGGTGGTTTGAGGACTTTGTGAGTGGCTACACAGAGGAAGGTGAGACTGAGCACCCCAAAACCCAGAACAAAAAAGAAAGGGGCGAGAATCGTGGCGGGACTCGAACGAGGCTGCTTTGAGCAAAAATTCAAGGTACAGGACTGCCTTGAATCGAAAATCGGGCCATCGTTTTCGTTGGTAGATGGTGAGTGTGTTGTTTTGCAGGTCCTGTGCTGCCACTGCACCACCAACCGGGCTTTTCGCTTGAGAGATTCCTCTCTTGCACCGGTATATATGGTTTGTACGTGTTGAAATCACGGGATCACTCACTACCATGGGCAGATATGGGATAACATAGCCCTCCTTCACTGCAATGCCTTGATCCGAGAACCGGGTTCATAGTGAATTGCTTCGAATAGCCAATCGATGAACTAAGAGTGAGGCTTCCCTGATGCTTCGCCTCATCCAGAATTCTTCATTTGTTCCCCCCTTATCTCCTTAGATACCTGGAGGCCATATCTCATAAAACATCTCCTCTTTGCCCTCCTTCACCTCACTCGCCTGCCTTATCCCCTTCCACCCCAGCTTCTCCTCCAAAAGCTTCACCATACCATCGTTCTCCACCAACGTGCCCGCCGTGATCTTATCCAGCTGCAGTCCGCCCTCGTCCAGCTTCGCAAACCCCCACGCCACACTCAGCCGGATCGCCTCCGCCGCGAACCCCCGCCGCCGGTAGTCGCTATCCAGCATCACGCCAACGTCCCCAACCCGGATCTTGGCCCCCGTCGCCGCATCGTCGAGGTCTTTGATGGACCCGAACCCCGCGAGGCCAATCATCTTATCCGTGCTGCCGTCAGGGGAGACGTACACCACCGAGAGGTTCACCCGTCCCGGGCCGGAAGTCACCCTGCCGTCCGCGCCGAGAACACTTGGCGCGGCGGCACTTTCGCGCATCCGCGTGATGACCATCTCTGCTGTGGAGACGGGCATCTGCGGCGGCGGGTTGGGGCTCTCAAAGAGCGTGTTGCGGTGGTCTGAGAGTAGTGCGGCTAGTGCTGGGGCGTCGGACAGGGTGACGTTGCGGAGGATGATGGGATATGCCTGTGATTTAAGGGATGTTTCTAGATGAGAAGGGGGCGTGGTTGGTGCCATCTTGGTTGATCTGTGTGTCTGATATGGGCAATACCATTCAGGGGCAAAGTTGGATTCTATGCGATAAAGGGTGTAAAGCCACTTGCGGGAAGGGCTCGAACTCAGTTCCAATGTTGAGTCGTTTATGGCGAATGAAACCCCGTCCTTTTGCTCTTCAACTTACTTCAATTGACTTTAACCTGGATGTTTTTATATCAAAATTGAATACACTTGATGGGACATACCAAATGGGGTTGAGCTGAACTACACCACCCCTGCAACCGTAATTCCCATAGCCGAGACTCGAATTGTGGTTCTTGAGTCATTGGTGTGGAGTTGCAGCGAGCCATCAGATCCTCCTGCGCGACGAACTTGGTTGCTTTCGGAAGGTCTTTACATGCAAAAATGCACCTTAGCTGCAGCTCTGGAGACGCAAACCCTCAATTGCCGTTCGCATTTATCCAACTTGTTATCGAAACTTGGGTCACACAGCGCAAAGAGTCTCGAGATAACACATCTATTCGTAGCACATGTGGATTTAGTGACTCATGGGCAAGACTCTGCATTGAGTATTTTCAGGCTTGCAAGGTAACTTGACACAGAAAGCTCGACGGCATAGGTCGAACATTCGCGAAATCTAGACACAAGCAACCAAGACCTTGTGTATGTATGTGTGTGCACGCATCCCTCAAACAGCGGGTATGGTATCCTCCCAAAAGCGATATTCAAACACAAGTCAGCCAACCCGGCTGCCAAATCATTGTATTGTAACCTAAACGCCCACATGCCAATTCCCTTTCCCAACCCTTCGTAACGCATGAAATTGCATCCTTGCAGACGCAGATAGCTTCCTATGTGTTGTCTCACCAAGTGTCTGGTCCGAAATGAGTGCCCTCTGGCACGGTCTTGTACGAGCACGCCTGCCAGTCGCAACCCTGTTTGTACACCTCGGTCCCCCACCAGCTGAAGTTCTTCATTGCTCCGGGGTAGATGAATCCGAAAAAGACGACCACAATGCCGAAGGCAAGTCCTGAATCCAATGCCGCGCTGAGCGTCATGGTGTACTTAGCCCACCACGCTTGCGCACGGTTCTTGACCAGGTAGTTGAACAGGTAACACACGAGGGCCCAAACGGAGAAGTTCAGACCAGTGGCGGGCGGAATCCAGGCGAGCGATCCAAGCAAAACAGGCAAGTTGATCTTTCTGACGATGCTCTCCTTCTTGTGTCTCGAGTAGAGCCACAGAGGTACCGGGGCAATCGCTCCAACAAGGAAACACCAGACCAGTGGTCGGTAGATGGCGTTCGGCCCAAAGAACTCGGCTGGACCGACGACACCCCACAGTATTGAACCATTGAAATGGACTCGAGCGATGGGGCACGTGAACCCGTTGATCGCTTCAGGTGTGCAGATGCCAGGCACGTTCACAAACATCCAGTTGAGCACTCCGATCTGCGTGAGGGACGAGACAATCGTCGCGACCATCTGCACCCAAAAGAGCGTCCTTGGTGGTATTTTCATGTAATGACCCAGCTTGAGGTCTGCCGCGAACTTGATGCCCTGTGCAGAAGAGATGTATCCATATGTAACGAAAATCATGTTCGCCACAGGTCGTCCGGGGAAGACAGCGCCACAAACAAGCTGGCAAATCAAATAGATGCTGCAGTGCTGATTCGTGATGGCCATGATGATGCCGATGGGAATGAACAAGATCGCACATATTCCAAGAGCCAACAGCAAACCATACCAAGGCAGGTGGATCGGGTAGTACTCCACCACGAATATGCCCACGGTGAGCATAGTGACGAAGGTACAAAGATACCAAAGCATTGGAGCATCCTTGTACTTCTTCATCAGACGATTGTGAATATCCTCTCGGGTCATGAGTCCCTCTACTGTGGGATTCGAATCTGCTCTTGAACGCTGCCTCCGCATGTTCAAGTCATTGGCTCCCCCGGAAGTGTCGTCCACTCCTCTCGAGACAGGCTGGTATGCTACCTTTGGCTCATCCCTCGCCTCCTGTAGTGATCTTTTCCACTGTGTCCAAATGTCGGACCCATGCCAGCAAGCAGTGTGCGTTAATAATGACGCTAGGCCAGCAAATTGGACACCGTAGCTGAGAACATAGGTAATTGGAAGAAACACTCTGCTGTAGTTCTTATACGCTTCTTTGTCGAAGACGAAATCTTTCGTCAGGATTTTACTGACGTCGTATATTCCGCCGGTGTTGTCAAAAACTGCCGCCGAGAGTATTGGCATGTATGATGAATATAACCAGTTGCTGTAGTATGCAATAGGCGCGACAATCCACATGACTATGACAAGTCCGCCAACCACATTCATAGCAGCCCAAAATGGCGTCAGCAGGGGCGAGCCAATGTAGGCTACTTGTGCCCAGTCAAAGGTTAGGGGGAATAAACCCAAACCGGAAACGACACCGAATAAGTTGGCAACGACAACGTTCTTTGGCGCGAACCAGGTAACGACGTTGAAGTAACTCAGCGCGGGCATCAGAAGCCCGGGGAGGAAGTAAAAGGCGAAAGCTATCGTCCAGGCGGCGTAGAAGAACTTCCATCTGCTGACAGTCCAGCCATTGGCCGGCTTGTTCTCCTCTTTGTGAAGTGTGCCAAACATGGCTGCTGACATTAAGGTGCCGGGCCATATCATACCGCTGGGACGTACCAAGAAGCGTCTCGTAAGACCTGCAAAGGTGTAGCCGAGAATTTGTGTCGATAATGTGAGGAGAAGTTGGTATACGATACTAACGTCTTGCTTATAATACTGGGTCTGCTCAACGATGACATCTGTAGCAAATGCAAAGCCAAAAGAGACGTTACTGCTGACATAGACACATGCATGCTCTTTCTCGTTCCAGCGCCCCTGTGCGAGCCAGAGTCGCAGGCGGCCCAATCTGGTTCTTTGAGAGGGGTGAAGTATGTGCCGACTTCGTTCTGAAGTCGGGCTTGAAGTTGATGAATCGCTGTTTCGAACTCCTTCTATAAACTCTTCGGGCGGATCATCGTGTCTCTTGAGAACAAAATCCCATAGCAAACCGAGGGGATGCACAAGCAGCAATGCGATGACTGGTGTAATGCTAACACTGGGGTATCTTAATGAGAAGAACAGATTCGTAGATGAGCCTAGGATCGAGAAGATGACACTCAGCACCCACATTCGGGGGGTCGATATCGATAGTGTGGTGTTGTCGGATGGTGCCACGGAGGCACGAACTTGGGCGTAAGGAGAGTTATCGGGCGGGTCTTCGTCGTCTTCTTGGGGTATGCTCTCGCCAAGCAGCCCTTGTGTATCGTCGATTGCGTCTTCGTCATCCTTGGGATCCGTGAGACCATCGAGTACATCGCCGGGGAAGGTTGTCTCCGGCCCAAAGCGCCCGTCAATTCCAGGCAATATAGCAGAGCTTCCGAAAGTGTCTGAGTGGCGGACCGACCGCCCTCCAGTCGTCGTGGAAGTAAAAGAGTAGCTCGATCTCCTCGAAGTAGTCCGGCTGATATTATCTGCCCCGTCCCCACCACCGTTGTCCGTTGTCAAAGGATCTTCTTCATCACTGCTCTCTAACGCCGCGCTGCTGCTGCTCGTGGGTCGTAGTTCGGTAGAGCCGTAGGAGGGGCTTCGAAAGCCGGGCGAAGAGCGCAGGAAGCCCTTGCGCTTGAGCTGCCTCATTGGAATGGCTGAGGGAGAGGAAGGGCCCTCTTCTTGGTGGTCGTCGTTGTCGTTCTCGTCGTCAACAACGTCCGTCTCCGCGCCGAGACCAGTACGCGGGCCATGTATGGAAGCCTCTTCTTGGGGGTCTTCTGGAACAGACGGCGACCGAGTAGACTTATAAGGATCGGGAGAAGTATCAGGACGAGGGCCAGGACCAGAAATAGAACCGGGTATGGGTGCAGGCAGCGGCGTGGGGTTCAAGGTACTAGATGTAGTGGGACCAACGGACACTACTACACCGCGCAGGGGATCAGCCTGACTAGCCTGGGTGTCATGGGGGTCGTCGGATGGGCTTTGAGAGCGCCGGGAATAGGACTGTGTCATCAGGTGTTGGGAAGACGTAGATTGGTCGAGAGGAAGAAGAACGTGTTTGATGCGTCCGCACACCGTCCACCCGCATCGACGGGACTGATAGCGAATCACCTGGGGCTGGACGACGAAACGACCTCTCTGAGAGGGCGGTAGACCGGTGGAATAGCAAGCCCTAGCTTACTGTCTCCAAAGAAGAGAGAGAAGGCCCTTCGTAAGAGAATCTGTACGGACGGGCTGGCCACGGCAGGGAGGAAGGACAGGGTGGGTGACCGGGGGGTCGGTGTGGGTGCGTCGTGGGTGTGCGTGGTGACCTCTGTGGCGTGTTTGTACAGCAAAGCACAGCGCAGCGCAGGGCCAGTAGCGTGGCTGGAGAGCACACGCGTAGGGTGCCACAGTCGAGCAGGAATGAATTCGGTCAGAGTCACCGCTGCAGCAGCCAAAGTAGCATGATTTCATGCAGTAGCAGCAGCAGCAGCGTATGCGGCGCCGTTCGTGAAGCAGGCTAAAGACAGGTCAGATCTCCAGCCAGACATGCAGATATCGCTAAGAAGTGGTGTATGTAGTGTAGTGAAGTGATGTGATGTGATGGGCTCCACGCTGGTGGGACGGATGAAGGTCCAGTCCACAGTCCACTAATGGATTGATCTCGGTTGATTGATTGATTGATTGATTGATTGATAGCCAAACGAACCTGGGAATTGGAAGGCCACATCCGATAGCGTCCGTAAGTCAAGATGGATCTGGTCCAAGCCTCCAAGGGTGGGTCTCCTTCCGCTTAGGTATCTTAGGTTGGTGGGAACGGACGGGCAGGGCACCGCTAGGAGGCTTATAGTATCATTAATGTGGACTTGGAGACTCACTACACAGCACATCCCTTGCCCTTGCGCCGCAAGTCTGACGGCAAGCAGATGCGAGCGCGGGAAGGGCGGGAATCTGTGCATGTTCCGGTCATGATGAGATTCTCCAGAATATAATTGCTCATTCAGAACAAGAATTGCTCAGATAGCACCATGCACTTTGCTGTGGTTCCAGTCTCCAGGCTTCCAATGACGGATGGACAGTGCTCTGCCAATCCCACCCATTGATTGATAAGATGGCCGGTCGCTCACTCGATAACCATAACTTACTTACCTACTCCCACGTTCCCGGCCTGCACGTAAAACTCCCAAGAGCACACCGCATCCTGCTGACCCGGAGAGTGGGGTCCTCGGCGCTGCATGTACGCGATGTCGCGTGCTTTGTACCTACCTGTATCTGTCTGCACTGGCACATTGTTGGACGTAAGAGTTACGACGTCGATAGCACGATTGCCGGCCGATTCACTCGATGCGATTCAGTGGATCCCCCCGCTAAGCTCTACCGAGAGTACTGTGCCTTAGGGGCGCTCAAGCCTCCCCGAGATCCTGCCGGCCTGCCCTCTTTTCGCTCACATCCCTTCCACGGCTGCCACCTGATGTGTCTTAGCACCACCTGCACTGCATAGCGGACCCCGTGGGCTCGCTTGTCTCAAGATTGGGAGGCCACTCCTGGCACGCCAGTCAGCAGGGAGGCCGGTAGAGAGCCAGCATGAGCGCAGAAGAGGATATCATGATGAACTTGCCCCTCTACGCTGCAAAGCAGCAGCTCCGCGCTGTGATTAAGCAGAGGCTGGCCCTGCTCTCCAGCGAGGCGATATTGGATCAGAGTATGACGGCTCACTTCTTGGCTAGCAAGTCCATTCGACCAAAGGCTGACCTATAAGTGTAGGTTGCACAATATTCCACTCACTACAGGGCTTCAAGCCGTATCAAGATGCTCAGAGTGTCAGCATCTTCCTGTCCATGCCCGCCGCGGAAGTCCAGACGGATGCCATTGTCAAACATGCGTTGAGCGCTGGCAAGCAGGTCTATGTACCTTATCTTCACAAGAACCCAGTTCCATCGGCAGACACTCCAGCCCGGGTGATGGATATGGTCCGCCTTAGGGATGTGCCGGACTACGAATCTCTAAAAAGAGACAAATGGGGCATCCCGAGCATAGATCCAGGAACTGTCCACGAGAGAAGGAGGATTCTAGGAGGCCCAGATGCACACAAGTCCGACCAAGCGACCCTGGACCTCATCCTGATGCCCGGCGTTGCCTTTGACATTGACCCAGAGAACGGAGGTGTCAGGAGGCTTGGGCACGGGAAAGGCTTCTATGACTACTTCCTCCACCGATATGCGTTGAAGGCATCTTCGTTACAACCACCAGCTTCGCGAATTCTGCTGTACGGATTGGGCCTAACAGAGCAGTATCTTTCAGAGTCCGCAGATGAGTCGGTTCCCGTTGGACCTTATGACCAACCACTGGACGGCCTGCTACTTGGAAACGGAGACGTCAAGACCGTACCCCCGCCTGAAGTTGACTGATGCTATCGCTACTGAAATACTCGGGAACCCCATTACGGCGTTACATGGTGGATCGAAATTTCACGAGTGGAAAGCAGTAGATTTTTCTGGCCAGGCTCGTTCCATAAAGGCGAACAGAAGTATGGACTCTCGGCTCAGCTCGACACTTTACTTGATCGCGGGTGACAATTCAAACGTTGAGATGAATTCTCACAGTACAGGCGTTGTCCGGTGGTGAGTTATCGTTTTAGACCATTGATTCAAAAGGCACCACAGCGCAATAGGATTCCCATAGAGTTCGAGAGGGCCTCAAACGGCCGTGGAATGAAACAAAAATGTCATCATTCACCCTCAATTTGCCCCATGTTATGTTATCGATTTTGACCTCATCTGAAAGAGCCTCCCGGGGTCCTGACCGACAGGCACTCTCTTCACCTATGCACACGTGGAGGTGGGTCCTGTCAAGTGGCAATTGGTGCAAATGGTCTGCAGAGTCAAGGGACGGATGAGTGAAAAACTTTTGTCCGGGTGTAGACAGTCCCTGCTCCCGCTCCCGTTGAGCAGGGGAGGGGTCCCTCCTGTCCACTGGTCGGCCTCTTCCAGGCTGTCTGAGTGTCTTGTCAGCCACACAACCCACCCCATGCCCGCCTAATTTACCGTATGCTGCGACCGCATCACTGGGCCGGCAGGAAGCCTGACGTTTATTTTCTGTGACCGAAGTGCATCCACACAAACTCCTTTGACTCCCCGCCAAGGGCTCACAGCACACGAGCAAACAGGAACACCACGATCCACCCGGGCCCTACCGACAACGCGGTGTTCAGCAACTGCAACTGGAGGAGCTCTTCTCTTTTATACTGGCCAGACCTTCAATCGAGCCATCATTTTGCCGCACGGCAGTCCGCGCAGCTTAGCTGCTTCCAAGCTACCCCTCCACCCAGCAACCACCGACTTTGGCCGATAGCTCCTCGAGCAGTACCGTGCCAGACCGACCATGGCTGCCAACGGTGCTCACCATGCCTTTGACCCGGCGCAGGTCCTCGCCGCCTATGGAACGATGCGTGGCGGGGAAGCAGACAACAAGAAGAAGGCCGCCATGGACTATCTAGACAAGTACCAGAAATCAGTCAGCCAGCCTTGCCCTCCCCCACGACTTCGGATACTCTTCTCCACACAAGCCCGGCGCGGTATACTGACACTCTACTTTAGAAAGATGCATGGACAGTAAGCTTCGCGCTTCTAGACGCCTCTGACGACGCCGGAGCGGTCATGTTCGCAGCGACAACGCTGAAGGGAAAGGTATATGATTATGGGTGTCCCCAGCTTGCAGCAATGGCTGATGTTCAAACTAGATAAAATACGACCTCATCTCTCAGGTACCCGAAAGCGACCATGCGGCCCTACGAAACCAGCTTCTCCTTCTCCTCAAGAAATTTGCACCAGGCCCAAAGCCAACTAGAGTGCAACTCTGCGTTTGCCTCGCCAATCTTGCGATACAGATGAAGTCGTGGAAGGACGTGCTTCCATCCGTTGTGTCTAGTCTTGGGAACGATGTGGAGAGCCATGCAGCCATTCTCGACTTCCTCCGAGTGCTACCCGAAGAAGTGACCGACGGCCGCAAGCTCAACTTGTCTGTATGTGGAACGCCAGCCATCGACCTCATTTATACCTCTGCCGGCCATCCTGTCCTGGTGGAATGAAGTAGGAACGAGAATCTAATCTGGTTTTGGATAATAGGAAGAAGAGCTCGCCGACAAGACGTACGAACTACTCTCAGACAACGCAGAGCGGGTAGTTCAACTCCTGATCAACTATGCGCAGTCATCTGGTAAGCCTCTTCGCAAGACTCACACCGAACTCCGTCACTGACTTTCCTAGTGGCTGCTGCGCAGAACTCCCAGTTGATGGAATGCATCAACGCATGGTTACGTGAAGTGCCGGTCAACGTGATCGTGAAGTCGCCCCTTCTCAATATCATTATCAATGGTCTTTCAAACGACAGCTCTATGCAAGCTTCGGCAGAGTGCCTTGGAACGATATGCCGAGAGACAAGAGATGTCGACGACAACACCGAAACTATCCAGATCCTCCTACCCCGGATAGTGGAACTTAGACCGCGCATTGCCAAGGTAGTCGAGGAGGATGATACCGAAGCATTCAAGTATCTAACGAGACTGTTCGCCGACGCAGCAGAGTCATGGTGTGTTGCAATTGCCAGGGAGCCAGTCCACTTCCGACCGCTTGTCGACGCCCTTTTGGAATGCGCCGCCAGAGACAGGGACCGAGACGTGATGGACTCAACGTTTGGCTTTTGGTATGAACTTAAGCAGTATATTGTTTTGGAAAGATACGTGGAAGCCAGAATGCAGCTCTTTGATGTCTACTCTAAACTCGTTGACATCATGTTGAAGCATCTGGAGTATCCCCAGTCAGAAAGTGGCAACGAATTGGACCTGTTCGACGGCGATCGAGAGCAGGAGGAGAAGTTCCGTGAGTTCCGACATCACATGGGAGATACGCTGAAAGATGCATGCGAGGTCATGGGGGTGACAGACTGCTTGACCAAGGTGCTGGAGGCTATCAAGCTGTGGATGCAGAAGTACGCAAGCCAAGCCACCGCAACCTCCGTGCCGCACTGGCAAGAGCTGGAAGCCCCGCTCTTTGCTATGCGTGCCATGGGACGCATGGTTGAAAAGGATGAGAACATTGTGGTGCCGCAATTGATGCCGCTGCTGGTACAGATGCCGAGCCATGAAAAGCTTCGATTTGCGACCATCATGGTTCTGGGGAGGTATACGGAATGGACATCGGAGCACACCGAGTTCTTGGAGCCCCAGTTCAACTACATTGTGTCCTCGTTCCAGACAGATTCGAAAGAGATTGTGCGGGCGGCCGCGCAGTCGATGAAGTACTTCTGCACGGACTGCAAGAACCTGCTGAGCGGACAGGTTCTTCAGCTTCAGGGTTTCTATGATTCTATTCTGGACAAGTTGCCCGAGCAAAGCCAAGAGGAGATTACGGAGGGTGTTGCGAGTGTTGTTGGCGTTCAGGATTCAGCCGAGATCTACAAGCTCCTGAAGCTGTACTGTGATCCGTTGGTAAATCGACTAATGACCAAGGCGAACAGGGCAGTCGACGACAAGAGCAAGTTGGCTGTTGCTGGTAAGTCATTCCGAAAACTTGAAAAGTCTTACAATTTTGTTGACATAATTACAGATCATCTTCAACTCATCACAATCTTCGTACAATACGTCGTACCGTCGGTTCCAGCGGGCCAGGAGAACCCTGCAGTACGATACTGGCAGGAAGTCTTCCCTATTCTTGCGACCGTGCTAGACAACTTCCTAGACTTCATCCCCATCTGCGAAAGAGTGTGCCGATGCTGGCGTAACATGGTCATATCGTACCGAGCAGACATGACTCCTCTCCTGGGGCCTATGGCCAACAAACTAGCCGATGGTTTTGTTAAGTCGCGGCAAGGCGCCTTCCTCTGGGTCACAGGGGCTATACTAAGGGAATTCTCCGACGACCGTGAGCACGTCGACGAGAACATCTCTGAAAACATCTACGCATTTTTTGACACTCAAGCGACAAACGTTCTTCGAATCATGAGCGACCTCCCGGCCATCGAGTTGCCGGACGTCATCGAGGACTTCTTCCGCCTTCTTGCTGACGCCCTCCTATACTACCCTCAAAAACTCATATCTTCCACGATTTTCACACCTATTTTCCAGGCAGCTATCTCGGCACTGTCATTGGAACAGCGGGATCCGGTATCGCAGACCCTCCGTTATCTACGTGACCTTGTCACTTACGGCGGAGGCAACCCAGCTGCGTCGAATGTCGAGTTCGGGCCTGCTACGGAACAGGTCCGACAAACCATTCAACAGCTACTGATCGCCCACGGAGAGCCGCTGATCAAGCAGGTCATGGCTGGCATGATGATCACCTTCCCCCCAGACTGCTTCGCAGACGGTAGTGGCCTTCTGTTGGGCATGTTTGAGCTCCTTCCCTCACAGACGGCGACCTGGCTTGAAAGTGCTCTGAAAATGCTTCCGCAGGGCACCGTCACGCCCGTTGAAGCGAACCGGCTCATAAGCAAGATCAGGGAGAAGTTGCAGAGCGAAGACCAAGGCGGCCTCCGCCAGGTTCGCGTGCTCCTACAAGACTTTGCCAATACCTACCGTCGACGGTATGTTGCCCCGCGAGATGGCCTTGGCCAGCTTGCGGGCACACGCTTCCACTTCGAAGGCTAGAAGGGTCTGAGTGGCGTGCCGCAATATTCTCCGGTGGATGGGTTTCCAGTCAACTTCTGCGACTCAATTCGCGCCGCCCTGCTCGGGTCGGATTGGAAGTTGTCCAGGTAAGAATGATGGGTTAGCATGAAAGTTGTTAAATTGTGTAGTGAAAGGGAATTCGCATAGTTGAGGGAGCGGGAAGCGCATGGGTGGTTAATGGGCATGTGAGGGAAGTTTATTGAGGATCTTTCTTGGAGTGGACACCAATTTTTCTATTTTGAAGACCGTGGCACATATTACACAGACAGGTTGCTTGAAGCGACGAAGCGATGTAGATATTATGTAGACATTGAAAGAGGACGAATGGATCGATGGATGGATGGGAAGTCCAAGCAAAGGAAGCTTAGCTAAATGACGGTAGATCTCAAGACGAGGGACGGGAACCCACTCCGGGGCAGTGAGGAGCATTGCACCGGTTTGAAAAAAAGTTTCACAAGCAAGTAAAATACAGCTAGATTGCAAGCTACATTCTTCCGCGGCGTGATCGAGGGGTTTCTACGCCTCCGCCAGGGTAATATATGTTAGTTCGCCAAGGATATCACTACCTCTTTGACAAGGGGTTACTACTGTTGTAGAAGTTAATAGACCTACAGTAAGAAACAGAATACCCGAGAGCTTGATAAGCATTGCGACTCTCAGCATTGAGTATCTTCCACCTTGAAGCATTGACGTTTATTATCCTGGCAGAGGAGTAGAAAATGTATGCAAAGTACTTTCGTCAGCACTCAAGGGGGGAGGAGCGACATCGCCGTGTTCGATTGCAGATCGGCTCTGACTCCGCCCGACCGTATCGTGCGCAAGTGCGAAATAGGCTGGGCACCCCGGGTTCGGCTGACGGGGGGGGGATTGGCCCAACGCTGGACTTTAACGTGGCCGTTTTGGATCTGCCATACGACAATCCCGGCATGCCGTGGAGATCCAAAGGGCGTGAGAACCTAAACCTCACCTCGGGCTGGCCGCGGTATTCCGCGATTCCCACTCCCCAGTCGAGACGTACGTGTACGTACTGTACATCCCGCTGCTAGCCAGCCAGGCCAGCCCCAGGGCTCGCTCGTGTCGCGGCACAGCGCCGCACTAGAGAGATGCGGCTATCCTGGAAAGTAGAGACGATCCGGTCAGGGTTGAGGATGCCCCTAAATCGTACTTAAAGATGACCACCTCGGACTCTACGCAGACTTCACTTCATGCCCGTGACTTCCTTGGACCTGTTGTTGATTTTTCTTTTCGTTTTGATTTGAGCAAGGACTAGTTGATTTGCACATGATGGCCGTCACCGACTCGAAGCCGTCTTCCAAGGTTACACTCATACCGTGGGACTATGAGTCAGAGCAGCATGCCGAGCGGATGGTGGCGCAACGCATAGCTTGCGGATGGAGATCAGACGAGGTTGAGTTGTGGAGAGACCTTGGCCGTAAGGGAATCAAGGAGTATTATTGGATTGTAGGAAGACACTTCAGATTCGCTCTTCACTTGTACAGGCGTCGTAGAACTCACACAATATTGTCGAACAGACATTGGGAGATGGGCTTGCAAACAAAGAGGCCCTACTCGCGCAGCACACGGCCAAATTTCCTCAGGCACGTATCCCAAATGTTGTCAAACTCTAGAGAACCCCTGTTTCTGACCGTCACAACAGGAAGCCTCTCCCATCAAAGACATAGCAAGCATAGAGTGGCTCAAGCCGCGCGAGCCCTCAAACGCTGAGTTCATTCCGGTAGGCCACATCGCGCTGGACATCCGGGAAGAGGAGAATGCGCACCTCGGCATCACCGACGAGGGCGTCGTCTGGGTCGCCGGGCTCTACATCTCCTGGGTGCTGCAAGGAGCCGGCATCGGGCGGGCGGTGATGCAGGCGGCAGAGGACCGCGCGGCCAGCGATATTCTCAAGGCAAAGGTGATGGTCCTCGACACCATGACGACGGACCAGCAGATGCGGCCCGTCTTTATCGAAAAGGTGTACACCCAGCGAGGGCTTCCGGCCCCGGTGGTTTCGAACCAGTCTTGGTACGAAAAGCAGGGATATGTTGTTTTCAAGCACCAAGAGGCAGGGTATATGTGGCCAAACCCTGCGACGGGAGAGAAGGATCCGATTGACTTGATGTTTCTGAAAAAGGCACTGGTTTGAACAGACAACTGTCACCATTAGCGTGCCGATTTTGATTGATAGACAGATGGCCATGGGGAGTTTATTAAAGATGAGTGATGGAATAATGACCTCTATAGACTAGATCAATCAGATTTTCACATTGCATAGTGTGCACCATTCGAAGACAAAATCTCATATTTGAGTCATCATTGAACGATCTAAAATGTTCATATCATGCAAATGGTATCTTCAGCTTCTAAATGTAACCTGAACCGTCAAATCCCAACGCCGGTAAATGCTCTCATGGTGAACGCCAAAACATGCTAGTCATCAATCAAGCCTTTCGCTTCGTCTCGGTCCACTCATCCAACCAACCGCGCATGACCTCGATCTCCTGATCAATCACAGCCATCTCGTCTGAGATGTCATCGATGGTCAAGTCTGGAACGTGAGCGCCAGACTCAATGATAAACACAGGGGTATCGGCCGTCGACTCGAGCGGGCCGTCAGGGCGGTAGCTTGAGGATGGCGTGGCGTGGAGCCAAGGATCCTTGCGTCCTCCACAGAAGAGCACGCGCTCAAAGTCGGCGTTCCATCCGCCGGTGTAGTAGTTGAGGTGGTCGACAGTGAAGCCTAGTACGCTGCCGGCAACCTGACCGTTGACCTCGGGGAACATCAGCTCGCACTGACGCTGGAAGTGCTCAGGGGTCAGGAAGGTGGAAACAACGTTGGTGCCGTCAGACTCGGGAGGACCAGTCTGCCACCAAGCGAAGGGTTCATCGCAGAGCATCCAGTTCCACTGTCGCCAGCCTGACTCGAGGTCTTCTGGCTCGTTCCACTCGATTGAGTCGTCGTAGGTGCTGCAGTTTGTTGACGAGGCGCGGCAGTTTTCACCGGCGGTGGCGTTGACGTAAGCAGCGAACCCCTGAATGGCGCCTTGGAGACCGATACCGCCAGGATGATCGGACACGACAATGCCCTTGCTGGCATACGTCTCAACGTAGTCACAGAAGTCGAAAACGGCTTGTTCATCTCCTTGCCATTGCCATATCGGTCCGGTAATTTGTTCAGCGAAGTCGTCATTATGCTCGACCATCTCCAGACCAAACAGCTCCTTTAGCTTGCAGACATCATCCTCCGTACCGCTTGCCAGGACATAGTCGACATAGTTGACCACCGCCTTGATGTCGCTGCTGCAGTTGCGAGGAATACTCTCTTCAATTGGAACGAAGTACTGCCAGAAGTTATATATGGCTTCTACCACGGCCGAACTTGCGTGATAAGCCCAGTACGTTCCGGGATCAATTTGCGAGGTCCAAGCAGCGAGAGCACCGCTGTATGATCCTCCGACGAGCACCCAGGGAGCATCCTGGGCGTTAGCTCCGCCGTTATCGGCAAACTCGAGCTTGACCTTCTTGGCAAAGTTGGTCATGTCGTATGCGGCTTGCATGATGTTCAGGTCTTGAAGAGTTTCTGTCGTGAGCTCGTCATAAGGCGTCGAGTTTCCCCAGTATCTGTGCTCGATCACAATGACGGCCCCACCAAAGGTATCGGCGTAAAGGCCGGGGACGGTATAGTTCTCGAGATAACTGATCGTGTTAGTCCATCAGGTCCTTGTATTGTAGAAGTTATGGTACTTACCCAAGGTAATTGTCCGCAGCTGTCTCACCAGGGTTGAAGACAAAGACCGGACTTCCGGGACCCTTCCAACTCCTCGCATCCCACCAGTACCGTTGTAGAAAACTACCTTTGCTTGCATTCTTGTGATCGATCGGTTGCTCGAAGACGCCACTTCCAACGACATCAAGATTCTGATGTGGCCGTTGCTTCACACCAAAGGGCTTTATAATGGGTCTTGTTGCTAAGACAGGTGCCAACAGGGCTGCGAAACAAGCGAAGGCTGCCCTCATATTGACTATGGGTGAAGAGAAACACCGCCGACAACCTGATAGCACAACAAAGAAACACACAAGGAAACGCTGAAGGACTCTTGAGGATAGTCGATGATGAGATAGATGAGAATAGAGAGTAATAACAAACCTTCCTCACGAACGACGCCATTTCTTTATACCAAAGCCCGTCGCAGGACTCTTCACCGATCGGGAGGAGGATTCAGCTCATTTCCTCGAGTGCTGCGCAGGAAAAACAAAGAGGCAGCGCCAGCCACGTTTACGGGGTCTCAGAGACCTAGGGACCCTCAGCCTCAGCCTGGGAAGCCAGATCCTTTTTGACAATGGCCATTTCGGGTGACGGGCTAGGCTTCAGAAACAGAGGCTTGCCTGGAAGGAGTAAAGAGCAGGGCTGTTTTCATGCGCCGCATAGAACGGGGGACCTGGTGTCTGCCGGGTCCCAGGGTCCAGCTGGCAGGCGATTGGGGATGCATCGCTTCCTTTTGTTCTTGGCACGCCGGCGTGGCCAGCACATCTTGAATTGTGGAGGCGCAGAGCGTAGAAGGCGCCAGTAGAGGGTCTGAGTGTTCTCTCCCGCCTCTTCAACACATCTCTACTCCTCCGCCAGGCTAATAAACGTTAATCAGATATGATTACCTTTGTAGAAATTGGTAGACTTATGGTAATAAACAAAAGCTGCGAGAACTTGATGACGGGTACCACTCCTAACAATAAGTGAGTATCTTGACCCTTCAATGAGTATTGTTTATTACCCTAGCGGAGTACAGCAAGGGCCCTTTTCCTCGCCGCTCTTAGCCTCATGTGCTGAACAGCTTCATCCAACGGTCTTGCTCTTGGCATTTGTGCGCGGCTGGCCCAATCACTGCTGCGCCTTGACACTGGCCTGGTGGAGTTTTGGTGAAGACGGGGAATTGCATGCGGCGGGCAGGCCAGTGAGTCCACTCTTCAGCCTGCGAAGGATTTCTCGTCTCTGTCGGCACCGTTCCAATTAGCGCAGGGCCGATCTATTTTTGTTGCTGGCCCGTGGGTTAGGCGTCCCCGGTTCTGTTTATTCCTGGGTCCTGGCAGAGGCTCTGGAGAATTTGTTGACACAAGATGCGGCGAGCAGTGATTTGTTGTTCCGTTCTTCTTGTTACGAGAATAACTGACGCTTTTTCTGCGATGCACTCATCCGTCCTGCCTCAAGAGATGCTGTTGTGCAACGTACAGCCGCCGAGCGCCTTGCGAGAGGGCGACTACGGAGGACCACAACATCCCGTATTATATCCAATCAGCCCTAGGTCGAGATACCACTGATACAGTCTCACCAATGTGTGATGATGATAATTTGTCCTTTCGTTGTAAAATCACGACGGCGGTACGGCAGTACGGCAGTACTACATGGAAACGGGCCGTCCCGATCCAACAACGCAAATAAACCGTGGCAATCCAAAGAACATTGTGTAAATGCCACATGGTTTTGATTAGTATAGCGATTTGCCACTTGGTGAGCTTTTAAAACCTTATTGCTAGAATAAGCTTAAAAGAGCCTCCATCAGGGACTACGCCGTTCGGTAAATTATCCGTGAGATTTTCATATCAATCGCTCATGGTGGTGGCATCGGAAGATCCTCCAAACCCGCTGGTGCCTGTCAATCTCTTGATGCTTACGCTCAACTTAACTCAATGTACATACGGCGCAGTCAATTCTTTTGCTCTTTCATCACCAACAATGATGATACACACGAGGTTATTGAACAGAAATTATAAAACTTCAAATTTTGGGATATCGCCAGAGCGTATGCTCCCACCAGATAACGCCTGGTCATCATAAGGCCTAACTAGGCGTCAACCTGTTGCTTCTCAAAACGAAATAAAACTACCGAGTCATTCGTTATCGCTCACTATATTGAACAGGGCCGACAATACAGAAAATCAAGCCGACATTGAAGGAGCCCACGTAATTGCAAGGAAACAACGAGGCTGAATGTGTTTTTTTTTGTTGCAATTTTCGCTTTCTTCGCTGACCGCTCACTCCCACGCGCGGAACCAAGCAGGTAGCCCTCCAAAAGATTCTATCAGTGCTCCATTATGGTGACCGAAGAAACACCCATTTTCGGTCGGAGCAGTACCGTAAGAGAGTGTGTCCATGTCCTTCAATGCCTCTTCGAACCTGATACCCTCGAACTGGAATATGTTGGACTCGCCGTTTGGCCCCAGGTACATAGATTGCATGTTCATGCCTTGTGGAATTGTCGTGTAAGAAGGCTGCACGGGGGACTGCAATACATAAGGAGCCTGTAGCGGAGTCGAGTACCTCGTCCACGAGCTTGCTGTGTTGTCAGTAGCTGCTGGCAGACCATCTTGCAGCTCACTTTGTACAAAAGTGCCACCACTGTTAATTGCTGTGAATGGCATAGACAGCGACGGCGTCGATCTTGGTGTTCTGCGATCTGTGCTGGCAGCGCTGGCGACACTGGCAGCAACATAACTATCGGGCCCGATGGAGGAGCGATCTATTGTACTCGCTCTCGACCGATCCGAACCCTCGGTTTGCTTCTCGTCCTCCGCAAGGATTGTACCATTATTGACCACCTTGGAATTCTGCAACTTCCACTCGTCCAGACCTCCCCCATCACCACCCAGTCTGATGCTCATCTTGCCATCACTCGTAGTTTTAGCGTCAGGCAATTTCTTCCTTACATGTCGTTTGTGATCCAGTTTGACTCGGTCGTAAAACTTGTCCATGTCTCGGAAGTATTTGACATAGGTTCCTGCCATCTTCAGCCATCCCGACATGCGGGTCAGCGTCTGAAAAGTCACCCCAGTCGGGCCAGTGTTTGTGATATCTTCCTCCTCCCCTTGAGGTGGCGCATCCTCTTTGGTCAACATGTGGCGACCTTGGTCCATGTGGCGAAAATGCCATGCATATATGCCATCGAATGCCGCAGTCCATATCGCAAAGAGGACGAGTGATGACATCGGCAGTTTGTCTCGGCTCAACTTGATAAGATCTACAATATCCCGAGCAGATTTGAACACTTTCTCGGCACTTGTTTCCCAGAAGTGCTCGGGTATCTCATATCTGCCTTCGGGAAAGGTCGGCTCGTCAAGAGGACCTACCGGTTTCCTGCAACGGATGGGGATGAAAGGAATATACTCCCGGTGGAGCATGATTTGACAGACCGATCCAAGCATATGTAAAGATATGTACACGCTTGAAGCCTGGTGATTCTCGTGTTTATGGTAATTGGAGGAGGATAGCGTGAAAGTCGGCGGTAGATCTGAGTAAAATTCCTCCAGTTTCTTTCGAAGCCGATAGAATTGGGTCGTTTCATCCCACGGGGGCCGGTCTTCTACAAGACGGCCGCCTGCAAAACTGTATTTGGATATCTCGCCCCAGATATCCACAAGCCTCACAAATCGAGCGAGCACACTGTCATTACGGTGAGATATCTTGCGTGGTTCCACTGAGGAACTCTGCAGAAAGGCCGTGCTCACTTCTTCAGAGAGATCAAAGGCCATTTCGGTACATGGTAGCTGGATTTGTAGGTCTTCCGAACGAATCGTCGATACACGTTCTTTGCCACAAGCCAGCATACGATCCAGGATCAGGCAGCTAAACATGGTTCGTCTCTTGATTTCTTTCAAAGTCGTCATTTCTGCCGGCGGTAATGCTGACTTTGGCTTGAGCGACCGATTGATCGCTGTGCTCAGAGTGCTTGGCTTTTCAGGTTCATCGCCAAAGCCAAGACCAAGAGCTTGAGCAAGTCGAATGGCTAGGCCGACATACATCCAAGCTCCAAGCCCGCCGCTTCTTGGCCGCGATTGACTCCATTCATAGAGCCCTAACATGAGAAAAGCCTGAACTCGTTCAACAGAAGCGGCCGTCATGCTAGTCCGCAAAGGACCCAGAGCTTTTGTCAGGGCATCAGCGAAGTACTCTGATGCAGCTGTCGCATCTGGTTTCAGAAGGGTGGGACGTGTCTTGTTGGTTCCAGCTTGATTCGCAATAGCGTGATTGACATATTTGACGAGGTCCTGGTGGAAACGAGCAGTCAAGGTTAGTATCCCAAGAAGAACAAAATTGATCTCTGGTGCCGCATCAGGCGAGTTGGCTCTGAATCTGCTGCTCATCTTCTCCTTCATTGTAGGCATGTGGAGAAAAGGGAGTTCCGTTGCAAAATGTAATCGATAGATCTCGAATATCTGCAGCCACACAGTCTCCGTCAAGTACGGAGCGGAGAGAACCTCTTCAGCGTAGGTAGCCCCCGAGTATCTATGTTCCAGGCGGGTAGCATCGTCAACTCTCTTAAGGCGCTTGCGTTCCGAACCGCCCTCGCGTTCAGTTTTAGTTGCCACTGGTGGCTCTGGACGTTTCGGAGGCACTGGCATGGCCTCTGGATACTTACACTCCTTGCCTTGCTTGATGCAGGTCTCACATGGGGCGTTTCCTCCGTCATTGTCACATTTAATCTTGGACTTTCTGCAACGGAGGCAAGCTATGCTAGACCGCATTGGTGGCCGCTTCATGGCGGCGATCCTCCTATCTTCCGCGCTTTCCATCATCGTGAGTTCGGGTGACTGGCTCTCATCCTCCGGACCTTGACTTTGCTCACCTGTCCCTCCTGGTGTAGAGCTAGAACCCTGAGCCACCTCGCCGTCCTGAGACGGTTCCTTTGAGGGGTCCTTTACCTGCTGAGTCGGTTCAGTGCGGGTCGGAGGGATCGACGGCGGCGGGTCAGCGGGGCCGGCGCTAAATGCTTCTTCGTGCGTACGCTTCGGAGTGGACTCGACCGAGTCGGCCGTCTCATCGGGGTCCGATGGGTCGGGCGGGGAGATGATAGACTGGATGCGGAGTTGAGAAGCAATCGTGGCGACTTGGGCCTGGTGGCAGGCCTGCCAACCCCTTTAGATGATTGTCGAAGCAGGATGTCAAATGACTGTGAGCACTTTGCCCCAAGACCCCACGGTGCAGGCTTCAATTGCACAGCCCGCAGACGTCGATGCAGGAACAAGAAGAGAGCACAGGCTCTGAACGTCGACCCCGGTGCTGGAGCGACCTAAATATCTGGGCAAGCGAATGGACTGCCTGACACCTCAACCCGAAGCCACTGGCCGGGAGGGCCTTCCGGGTGGATAGTATGTTTGCGGCGGGGGTGTGACAGCATTCAAGGGTATGCACGCAGCCGTTTTGCACTGGATGCGAGCTGAATGACTGGCTAGGATCAGGAATTGACCTCCTTCAGATAGCCAATGTGACAGTAGACGTCTCTAGACCGTCGGCTGAGTGGCACGGGGTATGAAAACGGCAAGCTGCTTTGGCGTATGTGTGATGGTGGAATATGCAGAGATGTTTGACAGCATGAAGTGCGTGGCACATAGACAGATGTAGCTGCGCGTGTAGAAGGAGGGCAGGACTGGACAAGGCCAGAGGACAGATAGGCAAGGTACGTGTCTTCGGCGCAAATGTTTGTATTGTAGGAAGAGTAGTTGATTGATAGACGGATGGAAGGATGCAATAGACGGCCGTGGCGCCGTCCAAGCTTTAAGAGAGGTGTGCGATCATGGAAGAGAGGCTACTCAGGCGGTAGCTGCTCATTTCCTAGGCCCATCGCGGAGGCGGGTCGGGTCGGATAGAGCCAGGACCCTTGCTATTTGTCGAACAAAGCTCTCGAAAAAGCAAAGGGACTTCGATTATCGAGGCAGACTAGCTAGGATCAAACCCCACGCGGCGCAGGGAGGGGTCATCAGCTGCTTGAGGATCTTGGGCCGCGCACTAACATGGTCTATCTGACAGACTCGACCAGATCGCCGGAATCAAAGAGCCCAAATTCAATCACTGCCAGCGAGCCATCGGGCCCGGCAAAGATGGGAAAGCCGGCGAGCCATGAATACGGCTGCCTCTAGAGGCTTCCCCCCTTTTCGTGGTTTCAAACGGCCGCTACAAATTGTCACACGCCCGGTCCCGTATGGATCAAGGTATGCTGGTCTGGAGCGTGACTGATGTTAGTTGGATACACCGCCTAAGCCTGGAAATGGTCCCTGCGGATTGGAGAAGCCCCTTCCCGTGGCGGCGACTTGCCAGCAGTGTGTATACATATGTGCACAAAATGCCATGTATGAAGGCGGATATGGCGAGACCGGATCACGCCAGATGAAGACGGAGCTGGCCAGCCATCAAATGTAATCCGCCCTGCTACCAGAGATCACATCTTAGAGGGCTTAGGTATTTGATCCCACGATTTAGGGTCCGCTCAGACCCAAACAACCGTGTGGGATGCAGTGAAATACCCAAGGCGACCGTCCACTAGGGGCTTGCAATCCAAGGGCCCCCTGACAAGCTAGCAAGCCGTGTGGCTGATCATTGTCTCTGATAGAACCCGGTCTGGACTGTCTTCCGAAATACCATGATAGTTCTCTACTTCAGCTTGCAGAAATGCAAGCTCCTGACTCAAGCTGGTGCGCGCAACGTCCTGGCAACAACCCACGGTGCAGAGTAGTATGCATTATTGATCGCTAGGCCCGTTGCCGGCTTACACGCAGACATCGGTACAGTACCCGTTCTCAAGCCGTTGTCGCGGGTAATGGGAACCATCCCGAAGGAGTCGTGGACGTCTCCAACCGCTGTTTGCCTGCAGTATGTACATCTGTTCAGACACCTCCAGTCAATGATGCGAGGCGACGGCACGAGGACGATACTCGGGCATGCCTACCCTATTGAAAGCTCCGACATCATGCACCTATGCATCCACCGCACTGTTCTGATGGATAAACATCGAAGATTTCCACGCAAATACTGAAAAGTATGTCGGGCAATGCCTGACATCTATTGCTTCGTGGCTGGTTGGCTCGTTGGCTAGCCTCTGAGCCTTGCAGGCAACGCGGGATATCTCAAGCCTAGCCGAGCCAGCAATGCAACCAACCCTCCTTGGACCGCCCAAGGCTGAATGAAGTGAGACACGGGTAGTTGACTTCTCTGCCCCCTCTGCCGAACTCGATGCATCTCCGTGCTGCGGCAGGCACGGCGCTTTTCTAGGACGATCGAAGGGCCGAGTCAAGACTCTCTCTCGTCGGTTAGATTGGACAAAGAAAAAAGCAATGAGGGGATTACAATGGAGGGGAGGAGTAAGTGGCAGAGTCTACCATATAGTCTAACCACAAAAGCAAAAGTGTGGCCGTAGTGTAATGGCGATGAAATGAAGAAGTCAATCGGGTCACGCCTGCCTACCTTAGATTCTATCAATGAACCTATAGTTGAGGATTTGGAGCAAGGAAGGACGTCGGTAGGCAAAAACTAGATAAGGTAGGTTATATGACCGTCACCAGATAAGGAGACCACGACCGCGACTTCATGACTCCCATCCTGTTCGTAACTGTTGTCTAGGGCTACTGCTCAGTTTGAGCTTCAGTCGTCATTTGGGCGGGCAACCGCGCTCTTGAAACCTAATTGCATATAATTGCATAGATCTACCAGCCTAGGTAACTACCTTCGTCGGCATTTAGAGTGCGGCTATATGGCTCTCTTATACAATCGATCAATGGAAGGCAAGTCGTACCCTGGAAGGCAAGCGGCCCTACGGCGTAGCTGTGATGGTAGGTTGGCTCTGCACCTCAGAATTGCAGCTGTCAGTCATGTTACTTCACTCTGCGGCATTGGTGAAGTCAGATTTCAAGCTTGATCAGTAAGTTGGAAACTTACACGAACCATAGCCGGCAAACGTACCCAACTTTTTAACGATTATACCTCCCTGCAGGCGCCGCTAGAAATGGGAACCCTCAAACCATAACGTTTCAGAGTGAAAACGGCGGCGCGGCAAATTGGCGATGAGCAGGGTCCAAAGATGGCGAAAATGCGTCGTGTCTCCACCTTGGCATCACAGTTCGTGCAGCAGCTTTTCTTGGATTCAGTTGCCTTCCCTCGAGCCCCCCCATGCTATCCTTGAAATGCGCGATATGGTGATGGGCGATGGGTGGCGGGGATTAGGTCAAGGTGGTGGGAGGCCGCCCCCTGGAGCCACCCAATGATAAATGACGTCGCTGTGAGCTTCACATATTAGCTTCACTCTTTAAGCGCCTGCTTCTGCGGATGTGCGCTTCTTCACATCTCGTGCAAGCATCCAATCCCCTCTTACCGACAGCCATTCGCGCGGCCTTTTCTCGTCACAAATCACAAGGACTACTCTCATCACCCATCCCATCCTGTCCCAAGAATAGATTCTTGCATCAAGCGCCGCCTGCCGTTTCGCCCGCAGCCGTCATTCTGACCCCTCCATGCCCCCGCCCTCCACGAGCTTCCTGGTCTGCCGCGATTCCATATAACTCCCCGCGCGGCTCGCCTTGAGCATTTCCTCACGAGAGCTGTGGCGCTTGAAGTCGCGGCCGAAGGAACACGCAAAGTACCTTCGCCATGGCTTCGGGACACAATGTGAGCAACTGGCACTGTCCAGCTCGACAAATTATAGAACACACATGATAGGCTAACACGATTGCCAGGACCCCAAGCTGCTATATGCCGTCAATGGCGTGTCGGCATACCACATCGCGAATGGCAAGGAGGAGTCTCTCACGCCCGCCGGCCCACAGACACTTTCGTTGCTGATGGTGCCGACGTCTTCTCCCTTTGCCGACTCTGCCCTTGATTCTCAAGGTGATGCTCCGGAGGAGGATTTCTACCTCCACTTACACCTTCCGCCTGAACTAGACCTTCCTCTCCCAGCAACCACACAGATATACCACCAGCCGCCCACGAGCTACCTCATCCCCCGTTGGGATCTCGGTCCAGACAGTGGCGCCTTCACTCGCATCGAATTTCCCGAGTTGGGGACCCGCAAAGGGGTTCAGGAGGATGTTGACACCTTTGAGACCATCCTTGCGCAATGCACGGCGTTCCTCGAGCGAGCGCCACCCCCCAAGATCAGCAAGGGCAAGAAGTCTGAGAAATCCACTACATCCCCCTCATCCTCCAAGTCAAAGTCCGCTTTGGCAGATGAGCTTCCCGCATATAACCCGGCCGACTTTATGCCTGGGGAGGGTTATGTCCAGGGCAGTCATAGCTCCAATCGTGGAGGTCAGATAGTTCTTGTCGATGAAGAAGATGGGAGTGTCATTGGCGAGCTCGGTGATGGGTTCCACGTGGTTGAAGATACCAAATTGAAACCAGGATCCAAAGGTAAGAGCACCACTCCGGTCAATGATTACAGGACATAAGTAACATCTTCGATTGCAGATCCAGTACAGATCACACTTCCACAAGACGGAAGCCAAAACATAGCCGTTGCGCCGGCTTCACAGGAGGATCTCGAGATCATCTTGCACCCAGCTTATAAGAAATCTTTCTTGGTATCCAATGCCGCGGCGGCTTCGCGATTGATTGTCACGACGTCAGACTTTGTATCGAGAGCATTGCAGAGCCAGGCCGACAGTTTCACGAAAAAGACCAAGCCAAATTCTGAGCCAGTCACCTTCAAGCCGGCGACTCGAGAGCATATTCGCAGGATCAACACCTTCACCACCAACGCTGCCGGTCTGTCCTCCAAGACCGTTGGATCGATAGGCAAAGTTGCACAGAATCTCGGCGCCACCCTGTCTAGTCGGACAAAGGGCAGTGGTAAAAAAGGCTTTGATAAAGATGGCAAGCCTTTGGACGATTACAAGCCTGGAATCTTGAACAAGAGCCTGATGGCATTCTCGACCGTCGCTGATGGCATCGAGCAGGCTGGCCGCAACCTCCTGGCATCCACATCCACAGCTGCCACGACGGTCGTCGAGCATAAGTGGGGTGAAGAAGCTGGCGATGTTTCTCGCAGTCTTGGTGGCGGTGTGAAGAATGTTGGGCTTGTCTACATTGATGTCACCGGCGTGTCCCGTAGGGCCATTATCAAGAGCGTAGCCAAGGGCATGGTCATCGGCCGAGTTGCCAATGGTGGAGGCGACGTTGTCGTGGGAGGTGGCGACGGTGGTGTCGCTACGCTCCCACCGCATCTCCTAGAAGCCAAAGATAACGGCTCGGATACCACCAGCTCCTATAGTGGAGTAGAAGGTAAGAAGCCATCGACTAAGTATTAACGAGGCACACGAAGCTGGGAACAATTGATGATTGGATTTGTATGAATGGTATGAGGGAAATGAACGTCCGAATTCACGAAAGAGTCGCATGGAATTACTGTTGCAAACACCTGACACAGGGCTTCATGTTGGCAGCAACTTTTGGTAGTCATTTAGACTTAGCTCTAAGTAATCACAGCGCATTCATCGAAAGTCGTGCGTGGTAACTGAGGTGAACTTCGAAGTGTTAACTGACATTAAGAGTGCTAAGCCCGGCGCTAAATTAGTCTTAACAGCAACTAAATTAACGTTTAGTTAACCGCTTTAATAGGCGGTCAGGTGATAAGTCAACGTCGCGTCCAACATGGCAACCGCGTCGCAAGTCAGCTTTGATACCCCGCGAGATCAATAACGGCCCTGGTCTTGTACGTGGCTTGGGCGAAGCCCCTGCTGATAATTGCACGAGTTGTATAGGCGCCGGGTGCCTCCTGAGCATCCACGACGACGAAGACTGCTTCTTGCTTATCACCCTCAATACTTCCATGGTTGCCTAGATCACAGGAAACCTCATCACAAACGATTGATGGTCCTAGCTCTGCCCGCACGTCACCCATTGTTTTGCGATCAATGTGCTGTCGATTCGAAATACTTGGAGCTATGGTATTACTTTGTCAAGACCTCAGCGCACGCTTTGATCGCCAGAAACCTCCTATTGAGCGGCAGCACAAGTAAGCGCCGCAACGGAGGCAAGCTTGCAGACTGTTGACAAGCTACAGGCCGTCCCAACCAAAATGCTCCACGAAATCCTCCTCTCGCTCTCAGGCCATCCCTCCCCTCTCCTCCGAACCGACCGCACAGAGTCCAATGCGGGCTCTATAGTCTCACCTCCTGAGCGGGAGCTCCTCGCTACTGTTGCGCACCTCAGTGATCTGCACATCAAGCTACTGAGCTTCACCTCCCAGATCAGCTCGTCGCACCCGTCGACGATATGTCGAGCTGTCGCGACGGCGATAGACTCCATCCACCTAGCGGCTTTCCAGCGCAAAGTGCTCGAGGTCGAGGAGTCCGTGCTACGAGGTGATTCGAGGTTGGTCGGAGCATATAACATTGTGCCACTGACAGCTGTCGTGAGCGAATTCGCGGGATGGACACGCAGAATGGAATGGCTCTGGGAAATTGTTCAATTCATGCTGAAGCAGGAACGTCGAGAGGACAAGACTATCTTGACATGCACCGGGGCTCGTATTATCAACCGCTTACGCGATGAGCTCCAGACTGGATATGTGGACATTGAGGAGACAGCATCAAGCCTGATCAAAGTTGGCGAGACAGCTTGGTTGAAGCAAGTCTCCGCCTGGATCCTATACGGTCGCCTACCTGGATTCGGCGCGAAAGACTTCTTCGTCCAAAGAGCAGATGGCACGGATGAAGAATTCGTCAGCGTGGCCAGTCTACTGCCATCCTTTGTTACGGCAACAACAGCTTCGTCCATGCTGTTTATAGGACGTTCTTTGCACCAAATACGTGCCAAGAGCGGTCTTGAGTCTGGCGTGCATGGTGTTGATCATCTTTCGTCGCAGCTGAAGGAACTTGCCAAGTTGTCGTATCCACTCGACAGCGCCACGTTCTCACGAACAATCACCGGTATCAGGCTGTATCTGTCTCGAAACACTCTACAGAAGCTGCTGCCACTATCTAAAGTGCTTGACATGCTGCAACTCCTGAGAGATTTCTTCCTACTCAGCCGCGGTGAGTTTGCCATGGCTCTTACTCAGCAAGCCGACGAGAAAATACGGAGCAGGTGGAGGAGGGCAGATAATCTTGCGTACGAGAAGCGAGAAGGCTTGGGTAATGTTGTAGTGAAGGAAGGTGAAGTGGCTGCGGTGCTGAGCAGGGCCTGGGCTGCTATGGGATCCATGCAAGGTCAACATGCAGATGAGGATGAAGGCCTCGAGTCAGCTAGGGAACTTCTTCGACTAACCTTGGCGAAGTCTAGGCCGTCGACTCCTGGAAAGCTGACCTCCAACCTCATAGCGCAGACCCCCTTTCGCAATCTCCTTTTCTCTGTTCCTGTGATCCTGACACTGGACATACCCTCTCCTCAAGACCTGTTTCTGAGCAACTCCGACCTTCAGACCTACACCGCTATCAATTCATATTTACAGTCCATCCGACGAGCACATATCCGCCTAACGGATCTTTGGAAGATTACTTCACTGAGGCGACATCACCCCCCTCCACCAGCTCCGCCACATGGCACTACAAAGAGTGGGCGGGAGAAGACACTCATGCTACGTAAGAGGCAGACAACTCGGTCCCTCGCAATGCGCAAGGCATGGACTACCTGTAGTGCTGCAATATTCTTCCTTGCCGAAACAGAGGCATACCTACAAGTGGAAGTTGTGGCCTGCCTCTGGGAAGGCTTCCAGCGATGGCTGACGACTGGCAAAGATGATGAGAGACCAGACCAGCCTAAGAAGGCAGTGCCTTCTTCGCACCTCCAAAGCCAGCTTGATACTCATGAGGAGGATGAAGATATTTGGCTTGCCACAACAACCTCGGCTTTGATGATAGTACCGGGGCGAGAACAAGAAAACACCTACCAACCGCCGGATCCACAGACTCTGGCAGTGGCGCACCGCCTATACCTTATCACTCTTTGTCGCTGCATCCTCCTGACGCAACCGTCGTTCACTGACATCCTATATGAGCTTCTTCTACAAATAGACCATCTCGTGGCACTCATTCACCGATTACACGGGATCTGGACATCTATGGATCTCGAAGCGGACGTCGGGGTAGTCGACGCTTTTGTCGACCTCGAGCGTGAGGAACGAGACGTAAAGGCAGAGATCGGCACAACAGAGGGCCGCGTCAAGAAGGGCATAGAATCATGCATAGCAATCCTGCGCACCGTCGAGCCCGATCATGAGGGGCTCGTTGTGGGTGACCAAGCTGACCTGGTAGGCGAAGCCAGCCTGGCTGAAGGCGGGAAGGGACTACGTGAGGAAGGCCAGTATGTTCCCCGTCGGGTTGGCGGTGTCGATAGGCTCCTGATGAAGCTGGACTTTGGAAGCTGGTTTGGTTCAGACAGACAAGTCGAAGAGACCGACGAGCCTGATGATTAGTAAAGGTAGAGGAACTTCGACTCATGAGATCATGATATCATACGATTCCCAACGATTATTTCGTCCCATGACCCGCTTGCACGCTCGACATCCTTGGTGACTTGATGACTAGGCAACCATTATTTTATTACTTTCTGCATGTTTGATGCCGTGGTTCATTGGCGTGTTGTTGTTGGTGATGAATGATGGAAATAGGTGACTGGCCTTCACACGCTTATTGATACACAAATATGGTTGCCATGATGTCTCTCTTCCTGTAGTTCTCCAGATGTCAAATATCACTTACCATCTCGAGGCTCCTGAGCCCCATCCCCGTGAACGACAACCTTGCGTGCCGACAATGTTGTCATCGTGATCACTATCATGACCGCTATCAATATCATCATCACTAGTGTCTTAGTTCCCGATTGAAGGTCTGCGCTGGACTGGATCACTGGGCTGGACGAACTCCAGCATAGATCCGGGCCATATGTCTCTGTTCGGATAGTAGTACATCTCTTGCTCTGCACAAATATCAGCGACATTTCCGCCAGGGGCGTTCATGCTAAGCCTACCATCCTCGGGGACATGTGACATAACTCTTCTTGCCCGGCGACCCTGCACAACCCAATCCTCCACGATCACTTGCCCAGGGGTCCAGACATTCGGGGCAGCCTTTTCGAAGCAAGCAATCATATCCTTGATCTGCAGGTACTTGTTCTGCTCCTCGAAGTCCCATAGGGAGGCATTGCTAACATTGCAGCGCTTGATCATGATTCGCATTGTGACAAAGTGGCTCTCGTCGTGGAGAGCATCGAAAATCTCTTGCAGAATGTCCTTCCAGACCCAACCGCTCCCTATACCCTCTCCCAGGGCAATTCGAATGTCGATATACCGGAGATTACGGAGCGTTTGTCTACCGACGAAACCCAAGAGCTTCATTGGTCGGAGAGCGCCGGGCAGCCAGGGTGGGATTTGATCAATGATGAAGGGCCGAGACCGCAGGATGTGGATGCACTCGTTCTTGATCATCTTGCAAAGGAGGAGAATGGTCGGCGATTTCATGTGTCCTGTGAACTGGGGAAAGGCTCTGGGTTTCCCGAGACGGAGGTCCCGGTAGTAGAGTTGCAATTGTTTGTTATAACTCCGGTAGAGAGCGTACGAATTGGGCCAGTGTAAAGAGAAGTCGTATATTATGTTTCGAACTTCTGCCGGGAACTGCCACCAGTTGAAGGGGGAAGTGGAAACATGTAGAGGACCAGTCTTTTGAGCGGTGTCTCCATTTGAAGCAGGTAGTTGGCCTCCAAAAGACGGAATATGCTCGTTCGCATCCAGTGTTCTGCAGTTGAACCACTGATTCCTGCTTGATATTTCTGCATATTCAGTGCATTGCAGGGTGTGGCCCCAGTGCCACTGATTGCACTTAGTGCAGCGAGGGCCGACCCGGCCGGCGAGAGGGAGCGAGTCCGTATCCGGTAATGGAGAAAGATCCCGGGATGGGCTAAAACCGGCCGTGCCAATAACTCCGGAAGCGATCGCCATCTGCCCCGTGTAAGCCGTCGATGGATGCGACAAGGCGGGTCCCTGCTGATCGGCAGCCCTGGCAGCGGGGTGGTGTTGATCTGCTAGGACATCGTCTTCAGGCATTGCGGCAGGCTGGTTCGGTTAGGTAGCTGACTGTCTAGGGCAAATATAGTGAAATCGATGGAAGCAGTAGCGAGCCAATACTGCAGCTGGACCTAGCTCAATAATAACACCCTGACCTGGCTCGCCTGGGTAGGGCCGTGTCGCGACTATCGATCGGTTCGGAGAGAGGTGCAGCCTACACAATACTCAGATAGCAAGCGAAGCCACATGTGTGTGGTGAGACACGGGCGACCAAAAGAAAACTCTCTGGTTCTGAGTGGCCTAGTAATTGATCCGCAGGCAAAATTTTGGTGTGAGAGAGAGCTTGTCAGGCGAGGCAGAATTGGGAATTCCGGGGTATGTGTAGTCGTAGAAAAAAGAAACGAATTCCTCCTTAAACTCACAGCCTGCTGTAGTCAAGCTCTCATTGTGGAGCGAGACATCGTTGCTTGGTTTCGGTATACTCGACAAGGTCCGGGAGATGCAGCTGGGCGTTCTGGGTTGCAGGTCCACAGTCAAACCATATTGAACAGTGGCTGGTTTATGCTCAACAGTACTCTAGGAATTGGAACTCTCTTCACAATTTGAGGCTGCGAGACCAGTACCTTCTAATTACAGCTCCTGGCTTTACCAAGGATGAGCATCTGCTTCCCCAAAGTATTTGTTTCATCCTTAGTCGTCTCATAAACTCATTCATCGATGAAATCTTTGACCTGTCACATATGCAGCATGCCAGAGTTACTCGATATGTCAGGTCCAACCAGTGTGACTGGGCTGATGTTGATCATGCAGTAGCACATGAAAAAAAACTCTGTGTGTAGAGGCATCACATGTGTTGAAAGAGCAACCGAGTATGGACATCTGTATTGAAGCTCTTTACATTGACCGTAACATCTCCGTCAGAAAGCTTGTTGGCAACGCAGATCTACCATTCTAGGCCGAAGGCAACCATAGTAGGTGGGCGACATGTAGAGCTCATGCAGGCTGTCTGTCCTACCTATCAATCATCTGTCAAGCAACCTATCTGGATACAGAAAAGCCTCGCCAGCCCCTGTCACACCCAGAAAAGCCATACATACATGGCCTGCTGGTCCTACGCTTGCTCGTATCACCAATCCATGAACTCGGGACGGATCCGGACAAATGACAACACTATCCGCAGGTGGCTTGCAGAGGCGATTTTGCTGAGGAGATGGAAGTTGTCATTTCTGATGGCCCATCTCCCTCACAAATTGCATCACCCTTGCCCTACAAAGGCATGTGCAACAAGGGGATGCTTGTAGCTGAACTGGAGAGCCGTTGAACTAGTCGCGGAGGAGCCCATGATTCGGCAGACCAGGCAGCTTTAGCCTTGATCCTTCTAAACTCTGACGTGGAAGAGCTGTTGCACACCGTAATGTGAGGAATGAGGTGTACGATAAGACCGAGAGCTCTTGGTGAAGTGGTGGTTGAGCCGTTTCACCGTGCAACGACTACATACAGACACTTTTCCTCAAGCTAGCGTCGTAAAAATAGTTAGGAAAAGTTGAAAAAGATGCATTGTACAAGTATACAAGTAATAGGTTAGGCCGACCTGGTCTTCTAGCATCTTGATTATAAACTCTTTCTGAAAGCAGATCAGATTCGCTTTTCCCAAAACCCTAACTGAGCCAACATCTCTTGATCTATGAGTCCTCCAATTCTGCAAAACATCGCGAGGATCTTAAACATTAGTATAAAAAGCTGTCATAAACCGTCGAAACAGCCGTCACAGCGCACAACGAGAGTGCATAATAGTAAGCAGGAGGAAGAACAGGGGCGGGGATGAGGAGTGAGACGGGGAGTGAGTGCTAAACTAGGAGCCAGCAAGGTGGAGCTGAGCTGGACGGATGTCTCCACCAGCCTATTTTTGAACCTAATCGGCGAATTTCTGCCCAGGCGGGCGTCCCCACCCATTTCTGTTACCTTTTCTTGCTAAGTCGACCCTCCCCGTCTGGATACAGCCACCCCACTGCTTGGTCTCTCTGATCTCCCACACCTCTCCGCCCTTCCCTACACGCTCCTCCCAACCTGCTTTATTCTCACACCCGCCCGCCCACGATTCGCGATTTGCACTGAGAGGAGAGGGCCCAGACCCAGCAGAACCCAGGACGATTGACGGACCCAGGATTGATTGATTGATTGATCGATTGTCGGTCGTCAAGGTAGCCTTCTCTTTATTGTTGATTTGATTTCCTTTTACGGGCCTCACTCTCGTTTTTGTCTCTCTCACTCACAATGTCCACCGCCAACGCCCATCCCGGCCTCTCCTTTGGCGTTACCGGTCTGCGTCGTGGCTTTCAGACACCTCATTCAAATACTCCAAACAAACCATCGCCAGTATTGCCCCAGCACGCCTCGCCGTACCCACCTCAGGCCTACACTCCCCAGCAACCCCCGCCGAACACCTACGCCCATCATCTCTTCTCGAATCCGACCCCGAGTCCTGTCTCCAATGTCGCCAACGTTCCGAATGGTGCGAGGGCTCCTCCTCCGCAGGTGGCTCCGCCTGTCCCCGGGCCTCGCCAGCGAGCACCTCCTCCCCGTCAACTGCCTCCCCAGCCGAACCCGCCTCTCACCTATCTGCCGCCCTCGATGAGCCAGCAGTCCATGAGCCAACCTCCTATGAGCCAGCCTGTTCCTCAGAACGAGAACTCTATCATCTCTCAGCAGCAGCCGGCTCCCCACCCACATCCGCAACCGCAAGCGCCGTTGCCTCAGCCAACTGCTCAGCCGCAGGTCCAACAACAGCAACCAGCCCCTCCCCAACCCGAGAATCCGGCACAACCGCAGGAGAATCATCACCATGATGACTCGATGGATATCGAGAGTCCGGGAGACTCCATGGACGGGGACGACAGCTCCCTTGAACCCAAGATGCTGGACGGACAGCCCTTCGTCCCGCGCCAGCCTATGGGCCAGATGATGTCGGCCCCGCCGGAAGGTGGCAGCTACCCTACTCTTGAGGCTGTCCACAAGGCTGTTCTCCAATACTGTACTTCGGTAGGATATGCTATCGTTATTGGTCGATCGAAGAAGACAGTGCCGGGGTTGAAGAAGGTCCTGTTTGTGTGTGATCGTGCGGGCAAGCCTCCTCGGCGTGTCAGTCCTGAGATGCGGAAGCGCAAGACATCCTCTCGCAAATGTGACTGTCAGTTTGGCTTCTTCGCGATAGAGCAGAGGACCCAGTGGACCGTGCGGTATCGTCCGGACCCTATTCACCTGCAACACAACCACGGCCCTAGCGAGAGCCCACTGCTGCACCCTGCTGCACGAAAACTGGACAGCAAGATGGTCGCTGCCGTCAAGGCTCTCAAAGAAAATGGTGCGTTGTTACGAGGATATATATTATTACCCGGATTTCTCCCCTTTCTTCATATGCCTAGATATACTAACCATCTACAGGGGTAGGGGTCAGTCAGACACTGGAGATTCTCCAAAATGAGAACCCTCATGTGCCTCTTCTCCCCCGGGACATATATAACGCACGGGCTGCTATCAATCGAAATCCTACAAAGGTCAACGCTGCCTTGGCGGAAGATCGTCCAGCCATCTATAGCAAGCCTCATCCCACGGCGGAGGAGCGTATTCGCGCGGATCTTCGTCGTGAGATAGCCAAGGCACGAGAGGAGCTCGACAAGGTCAAGGAGGACAGCCAAAAGAAGATAGACGAGCTCGAGGAGAAGCTCCGTGAGAAGGATAAGATTATCGAAAAGTTCGAGATGTTTATAGACATCTGCAACCAGCGTGTCATGGTGCAGCGAGAGCGACTCGCTTCCGATGGTAACGAAGCAAACGGTGGAGCTGGAAACTCCAATCCTTGAACGAATGAAGGAATGTCACGAGTACATCAAATCTTTGCATGATCACGGAAACGGAAGGGTAAGGGGCATGGTCATTACGGTTCGGCTTCTTGATGAATAGCATGGGCGTCGGTCTGGTCAAAGTAAGATACGTGGTAAAGGGGAAGGGGTGTCAGGGGGAATCCGGCATACGTGGACAGCATATCCCGCTGTTACGAAATGAGAGCTGTCCATGATATAGCATTTGCTTTGACAAAGAAAACCTTTGATTTTTGGGACTCTGCTCTTTATCCTGCTTGCCTCGAACACTATGATGATGAGGTCTGCTGGTTTGTGATGATGCAGGTAGCCACGACATGATGCCTCCATCTATATACATACTATGTATCATGGAACTTGTAGCTGGGTAATGATGATACATATTCGACCTCAGGCAACTCCGTCCAAAGGGGAGAGCTCCACCTCGCAATACCTACTTAGATACTTTAGTTTTTGATCTTAAGGTCATGTTAGACGGCGGGGTATAGGGAATATGGCACAGACTGACGTTATAGGTCTTCTGTTATAAGGGCGAGGAATGTAAGGCGTCGTCAGTGGTGGCGGGCCCCTTACACACTTAACAAAGCTCCGTGCTTAACATGGCGTCGGAGGATTAGGTGGATGTTCAGGTGCCTCCTGCGCTGTGCAGCCGGCCAATCAACTAAGGCATAGCCCCACCCGCAGTCCCTGACACATGCTGAAGTCGCGACAGGGGTTCCCGTTTGGTTTGAGCGCGTTTGCCAGCAAAGCCGCCAGAGGAAACAGCTTGCTCGGCGATAAGTCAACACCATACAACCTTTCTTTAATGCAGCACATCCATCATCATCTTTTTGATGACCCTGTCTCATTTTCACCGGGCAACTGTTACGATACCCCATCAAGACGCTCCTTCATCCTGCGTTTCCTTCCTCGCGGTTTCTTTTCTTCTGTAGCTTGATTTACTACATTGAGATTATCTTTCTTAATCTCCTTAAGACTTCCCCTTTTAATCCGCCTACGAAACCAAGAGCGATGACATCGACCCCGTGAAACCACATCTGCCGACAACATCCATCTCCCCCAAAACGCCACCATGATGGACATGGTGGCATCCCCCCAGGCCGCAGGCCCGGGTCCAAATGGTGTAAACGGGACACCATTTGCTACGATCGATCCCGTTCGAGTATTGGAGCATCTCGCTCTGTTGCTCGAAGTTGCGCTCGGCGCAACGCGAGAGGAGCTCGAGGCTCCGGGCAGTCTGCTTTCCAAAGCCCGATACACAGATACACTGCAGCGATGCGTTCGTTTTGCGGGCGACAGCATGGTGTCGCTGTACATCCAGAAAGACCTAGCTGCCTCGCCGCAAATAGAGAATGGCGACGCTGATTCTCGTAAGCCATGGCTAACCCATGCGGCCGTCTTGATGCTGACCTACTCTATTTCTAGTCCCCTCGCACACGTACACGATAACTGTCGACATAAATTCCACGCCGACGACCGTCGCATTCCTCGTGCTTCTCAAACGCCCGCAGCCGCTAGACCCCAATGTTCCCTTGACTTCCCAGATGCAGTTCCTCAACCTGCCGGGTCCCGCATATCTCGCAGCTACTGCTGGCGAACAAGGTCCTTCCGCCACACCTTACGAATATCTGCAGCTGTTTCTTCATAATGGCTTGGCCCCGTACTTCGATGCGAGCACCAAAAGCCAGCATATGGTGAACGGGTCGCGAGGACGGGCGGACGTGGATGCGAAGACGGGCATTCCCGTAACCAAGAAGAGGTGGACGGAGCTTGAGCTAAGTCTATCTCACTTGCAACAGAACGTCGAGATACCCGAAGTATCATTGCCCTTCCACCCAGTGGTTCAGACTGCCCTCGATGACGCAATAAACCGCAACATCAAGCCGAGCATCGATCTCATCCCGCCGACCCTCCTCGCTGATAGTAGCTTTCTCAACAACCTCCAAGCCACAGTCAACAACTGGATCAAGTCGATTCAGGTCATCACGAAAATGACGAGAGATCCGAGCACTGGAACGGCGAACCAAGAGATCAATTTCTGGTTGTCGATGGAGTCTGCACTGGAGGGCATCGAGGCACAGCTACGAAGCGACGGCGTTCTCCTCACGTTAGAGATTTTGAAGCATGCGAAGCGATTCCAGGCGACTGTCAGTTTCACTGCCGACACTGGTCTAAAAGAGGCCATGGAGAAGGTTCAAAAATACAACCAGCTCATGCGAGATTTCCCCTTGGATGAACTGCTTTCTGCCACTTCGCTGCCCAAGGTGCAGGATACTATTGGGCAAATATTTAGCCATTTGAACAAGAAGCTCAGAATATGTCCTTATCCAATTAGGCGAGCTTTGCCTCTTGTGGAGGCCATATCAGCAGACTTGGATGAAGTGATGCACCGTTTGCTTCCTGGCACAGAACTAGTGGATCTGGACTACCAAGAGTTCCGAAGCATTATGAACACGACAACCGACATCTTCAAGACATGGGATGAGAACGTCAAGGAGTTCACGAACGTGGCTCGTGAAGTCACTCGGAGAAGGAACGAGAAGTTTATCCCTATCAAGATCAACTCCAAGCATGCCGAGTTGCAAGCACGTCTGAAATATGTGGGCAACTTTCGCGACAATCACGAGCAGCTTCAGCGCACAATTGTCAACGTTCTCGGCCCCAAGGCCACTGTTAACGGCACGGTCGAGACCCCTGCTACCAATGGCGCGATCGTCGTTGAGGAGATTGGAGATGTTGATGCTGTCGAGGAGGTCAAACAAGCTTGGGAGGCCTTGCGAAATGTCGACCTTCTTGATGTGTCTCCTGAAGGCACCCAGAAATGGGTGAAGGCTGAGAACACTTACAATGAGAGAACGTCTCGTGTGGAGAATTCTATCATTGCCCGTCTCAGGGACCGTTTGGCCACCGCTAAGAATGCAAACGAGATGTTTCGTGTCTTCTCCAAGTTCAACGCTCTATTCGTTCGGCCCAAGATCAGGGGAGCAATTGCAGAATACCAAACCCAGCTGATTGACAACGTCAAGCAGGCAATCAATGCTCTTCACGGGCGTTTCAAACAGCAGTATGGCCACTCCGAGGCACATGCAATGGCACAGCTCCATGATCTGCCACCCGTGTCTGGCGCCATCATTTGGGCACGTCAAATTGAGCGTCAGCTGGACGGGTACATGAAGAAGGTCGAGGACGTTCTCGGTGCTGACTGGGCTCTTCATGCCGAAGGACAGAAGCTGCAGAGCGAGGGCAATCTGTTCCGGAAGAAGTTGGATACAAGACCTATCTTCGAGGCTTGGCTCCACGATGTCCAGCGGCGAAATGTCTCAATCACCGGGTTGATCTTCACCATCAACAAGATTCGTTCTGCAGGCAATGCCTTGGAGCTTTCTATCAATTTTGATGGGCAAGCAATTGCACTGTTCAAGGAGACTCGTAACCTTTTGTGGCTCAACTACGCTGTTCCCCATTCCATCAACAGCGTTGCAAAGGAAGCCAAGAGGGTTTATCCTTACGCCGTCAGCCTCATGGAGAGTGTCCGAACGTTTGCTCAAACGAACCGCCAGATCTCCGAGATGTCAGAAGTCTCTGTTCTTCTCAGTGGACATCGAAATGATGTACATTCACTGATTGCGAAAGGCGTGCCGCTGAAATGGGAATCTTTCGTCAGCACATACGAACTCCATTTCAGGCCTGGTATGGATGGCCAGAGCCGTCCGAAGCAGAGTATTGAAAGCAAGCATGTCTCGTTCGTCAAGGAGTTTGCGGCTGCCGTGTCAGTCCTTCAATCAAAGACAATCACACTGGCTTCTATACACACTTCCATACAGAAGGCATTGATTGAGCTAAGTACTTGTCCCTATGAGGTATCAGCTTTCGAGTCGCGCCTTGAGACAATCCAAACTGCTGTTGATCAACTCAACCTCGAGCAGTACGTCAACTTAGGCTTCTGGGTTGAGGGGATGAACCAGCAGATCAAATCGATTCTGCTCACTCGTCTGCAACGCGCCGTCCAGTCCTGGATTGAAGCGTTCGAGAATGATACTCCTGATCGATCCAATGATGATACTCGACGCAAGACTACCAATGAGATCTCTGCAGAAACGAAGCCTGATACGCCATCAATGAAGCGTCTCGTTCATGAGATTACCATGCGTAACCAGGTCATTTATCTTGATCCTCCCCTAGAATTTGCTCGGGCAAGTTGGTATTTGCAACTACAAGAATGGCTCGGTATCATCTGCAACCTCAAGAAAGTCAAGGCCACTCGCTACCAGATGAGTCTCAGCACTGCTGTGCACGAGGAGGCTCGTTTCAATGACCTCCCAGCAGAGTGCACTAGCATGCTGTCGCGTGTGCATGGCTCGATCGAGAAGAAGCTTCAAGAAATCGGCGGTTACGTAGACAAGTGGCTGCAGTTCCAGTCCCTATGGGATTTGCAGTCCGAACAGGTGTACGAGATCTTAGGTGACCAGCTCTCAAGATGGCTGCAGCTGCTTCAGGAGATTCGCAAGACACGCCAGACATTCGATACTACTGAAGTCAGCCGCTCCTTCGGTCATATCACCATTGATTATGACCAAGTCCAAACGAAAGTCAACGCGAAGTATGACCAATGGCAGCATGATATTCTCCTAAAGTTTGCCAATCGTCTCGGCAACCGCATGCGAGACATCCACGCCGAGATTGAGAAGGCGCGTCGTGACCTGGAAGGTCACAGCCTAGAAGCTTCATCTACTGCTCAGGCGGTTCAATTCATTACAATTGTCCAGAGCTGCAAGCGCCAGGTCAAGACTTGGGCGCCAGAAGTCGAGACTTTCAGACAGGGTGAATCGACTCTCGTAAGGCAACGATATCAGTTCCCCAATGACTGGCTGCATGCAGAGCAGGTCGACGGCCAGTGGGACGCACTGAACGAACTTCTGGCACGGAAGTCCAAGATTGTACAGGACCAGACCGATGCCCTGCGTGCGAAGATCACTGCCGAGGACAAGGTGGTGGTTGACAAAATCACTGAAATTGCCGCCCAGTGGAATGAGGAGAAGCCAGTATCTGGCACAATCCCGCCTGAACAAGCAACAGCAACACTCCAGTCTTTCGAGTCGAGGATCACCAAACTACAAGAGGAATCTGTCATGGTTGCCAAAGCTAAGGAGGCCCTCGATCTGCCTGCCACCGCAGATTCGTCCCTTGCTATCATCCTTGAAGAAGTCCATGACTTCAAGTCAGTCTGGGCTTCGCTATCCCTGATCTGGAACAGCTTAAATGAGCTGCGAGAAATGCTCTGGAACAGTGTTCAGCCTCGAAAGATTCGGTCATCGATTGATGGATTGATCAAGATGACCAAGGACATGCCCAGCAGAATGCGGCAATATGCTGCCTTTGAGCACATCCAAACTATCCTGCGCCAGTACCTCAAAGTCAATCCTTTACTCAGTGACCTCAAGTCCGAAGCCGTCCGGGATCGACATTGGACCAAGATCTACAAAGAAATCAAGCCCGGCAAGCGGTACTCGCCTGTCTCCATGACTTTGGGAGATGTTTGGGACCTTAATCTAGTAGCCACAGAGGCCATCATCAAGGACATCATCGCACAGGCCCAGGGTGAAATGGCCCTCGAAGAATTCCTGAAGCAAGTCCGCGAAACCTGGACTGGCTACAATCTGGAATTGGTCAACTACCAGAATAAGTGCCGTCTGATCCGCGGCTGGGATGATCTCTTCGCCAAGTGCAGTGAGAACCTCAACTCACTGCAGGCCATGAGACACTCCCCTTACTACAAGGAGTTCGAGGAGGAGGCTTCATCTTGGGAGGACAAACTCAACAGAGTCCATGTTCTTTTCGATGTTTGGATTGATGTACAAAGACAATGGGTTTACCTTGAGGGTGTGTTTACGGGCAATGCCGATATCAAGCACCTTCTTCCCATTGAATCTTCCCGATTCCAGAACATCAACAGCGAGTTCTCCGCTGTCATGAAGAAAGTCTATAAGCAGCCTTACGTCTTGGACGTGCTAAATATACCGAACGTGCAGAAGTCTCTCGAGCGCCTGGCAGAGCTCCTGAACAAGATCCAAAAGGCCCTTGGAGAGTACCTCGAGAAGGAGCGTGTTTCCTTCCCTCGTTTCTACTTTGTTGGAGACGAGGATCTCCTCGAGATGATTGGTAATAGCAACGACACCATGCGCATTGCCAAGCACTTCAAGAAGATGTTCGCTGGTCTCTGTGGACTCACAATGGAAGATGAAGGTATCATCACTGGCTTCACGTCCAAGGAAGGAGAGGTCGTCAAATTGAAGAAGGAGATCTCTCTTATTAAGACCCCGAGAATCAATGACTGGCTTGCGCTTCTGGAAAACGGAATGAAAGCCACGTTGGCAGAGTTGCTCGCCGAAGCAGTTGAGCAGTACACTCCCATCTTCTCCAACGAGAAGATCGACCAAAATGCTCTGAACGAGTTCATGGCGGCGTATCCTAGTCAAATTGTGGTCCTTGCAACTCAAGTCGTCTGGACTACTGCTGTAGATCAGAGTCTAGTTGATGGGGGGAAGACTCTCCAGTCTCTTTTCGATCGCGAGGTTCAGGTCCTTCGACTACTTGCCGACACCGTGCTGGGTGACCTCGAGGTCCTACTGCGCAAGACATGCGAGCAGCTTATTACAGAATGCGTGCACCAGCGAGATGTCATCGAGAGGCTCGTTAAGCTCAACGCCACCACTCCTACCCACTACATGTGGCTATTGCAGATGCGCTATGTCTACACCCCAGAGGGAGATTTCCTGCAACGTCTACACATCAAGATGGCAAACGCCAAGCTTAACTATGGCTTTGAGTATCTCGGAGTACCTGACAGACTTGTCCGGACCCCTCTCACAGATCGATGCTTCCTTACACTTACTCAAGCCCTCTGCCAACGGCTTGGAGGTTCCCCGTACGGTCCCGCCGGAACAGGTAAGACGGAGTCTGTCAAGGCTCTTGGAGTGCAGCTCGGTAGATTTACTCTTGTCTTCTGCTGTGACGATACCTTTGACTTCCAAGCCATGGGCCGTATCTTCCTTGGTATTTGCCAGGTCGGTGCTTGGGGCTGTTTCGACGAATTCAATCGTCTGGAGGAGCGTATTCTGTCGGCTGTGTCTCAGCAGATTCAGAACATCCAGCTTGGATTGAAGCAAGGCGCTGAGGACGACAAGTCGCAGATTGAGTTGGTCGGTCGTCAGCTCCGAGTCAATGAGAACACTGGCATCTTCATTACCATGAACCCTGGCTATGCTGGTCGTTCCAACCTCCCAGACAACTTGAAGAAGCTGTTCCGCAGTGTTGCCATGTCCAAGCCGGACAAGGAGCTCATTGCCGAAGTTATGCTATACTCGCAAGGTTTCAACCAAGCGAAACAACTATCCAAACAGACTGTGCCCTTCTTCGATCAATGCTCAGCAAAACTGTCCAAACAAGCTCATTACGATTTTGGACTACGTGCGCTGAAGAGTGTGCTCGTGAGTTCCGGTGGTCTGAAACGTGCCCGCCTTACAAGCAGTGATGGTGTCATCGGTGCAGAAGAAGTTGTGGAGCCTGAAATTATTGTGCAGAGTGTCCGAGAGACAATTGCTCCTAAGCTCATCAAGTCAGATGTCGATATCATGATGGACATTGAGCAAGTGTGCTTCCCCGGGGTCCAGTATGTTCCAGCCAACCTCCAGGATCTCGAGGATGCAATTCGTCGACTCGCAGATGAAAGACAGCTAGTCGTCAATGACTTGTGGATGACCAAGGTCCTTCAGCTCTACCAAATCCAGAAGATACATCATGGTGTAATGATGGTCGGTAACTCTGGGTCTGGAAAGTCCGCCGCTTGGAGGCTCTTGCTTGATGCCTTACAGCAAGTCGAAGGCGTTGAAGGAGTTTCTCATGTCATCGACTCTAAGGTCATGTCCAAGGAATCTCTGTATGGTAACCTTGACTCTACCACTCGAGAATGGACAGATGGCCTGTTCACAAGCATTCTCCGGAAGATCGTCGACAACCTACGTGGGGAAGATTCCAAGCGTCACTGGATCGTTTTCGACGGTGACGTCGATCCTGAATGGGTTGAAAACTTGAACAGTGTTTTGGATGACAACAAACTCCTCACGCTACCCAACGGTGAACGTCTGAACTTGCCCGCAAACGTGCGCATCATGTTTGAAGTCGAGAACCTCAAATACGCTACTCTTGCCACGGTCAGTCGGTGCGGTATGGTCTGGTTCAGCGAAGACACTGTATCTCCGAGCATGATGGTCACCAATTATCTTGAGACACTACGAACCGTTGCTTTCGAGGATCTTGATGAAGATGCGATCGCCACGGGCCAGAGCTCTGCAAAGGCACTAGCTGTTCAAGCACAAGTATCAGAGCTGTTGAAGACATATCTGGAGACCGATGATTTCATTCTGGCTGCACTCAAGGAGGCAGAAGCTTACAATCACATCATGGAGTTCACCGTTGCTCGGGTACTCAATACCTTATTCTCACTCCTGAACAAGGCTGTCCGCGATATCATCGAGTATAACTCTCAGCATTCTGATTTCCCGGTAGAACCTGAGCAAGTTGAGGCCTTTGTCTCGAAGAAGCTTCTCTTGGCTCTTGTCTGGGCCTTGACTGGTGATTGCCCATTGACCGACCGCAAGGCCTTTGGCGACAATGTCTGTGGTCTGGCCACATTTGGATCGCCGCCTCTTGATGGCGCAAGCTCTCTGATTGATTTCGATGTCACTCTTCCACGGGCAGAGTGGACTCCATGGCAAAACCAGGTGCCAACCATCGAGGTCAACACCCACTCGATCACCCAAACGGATGTTGTCATTCCGACCCTGGATACCGTGCGTCACGAAGACGTTCTCTACTCATGGCTTGCTGAGCACAAGCCACTTCTTCTGTGTGGTCCACCTGGTTCAGGTAAAACCATGACGCTCTTCAGCGCGCTACGTAAGCTGCCTAATATGGAGGTTGTTGGCCTGAATTTCTCCAGCGCCACGACACCAGATTTGCTCATCAAGACTTTCGAGCAATATTGCGAGTACAAGAAGACATTGAATGGTGTCATGCTTTCGCCTACCCAAATTGGCAGATGGCTTGTCATCTTCTGCGATGAGATCAACTTGCCCGCTCCTGACAAGTACGGCACACAAAGGGCGATCTCATTCCTTCGCCAGCTTGTTGAACACAATGGCTTCTGGAGGACATCTGACAAGGCCTGGGTTACTCTTGACCGAATTCAGTTCGTCGGAGCTTGTAATCCGCCTACTGATGCTGGACGTACTCCAATGGGTCCTCGATTCCTCAGACATGCACCGCTGATCATGGTCGATTACCCTGGTGAGCTATCACTTCACCAGATCTATGGCACTTTCAATACAGCGGTCCTTAAAATCATCCCGTCCCTTCGTGGATACTCTGAACCTCTCACGCAGGCCATGGTTAGATTCTACCTCGAGTCTCAGCAGCGCTTCACACCCAAGATTCAGCCTCATTATGTCTACAGTCCTCGTGAACTGACCAGATGGGTCCGCGGTGTATATGAAGCCATCAAGCCTCTCGAGACACTCGACCTCGAAGGTCTTATTCGTATCTGGGCTCACGAAGCACTGCGTCTGTTCCAAGACCGTCTTGTCGCCGAAGATGAGAGGAAGTGGACTGATGATGCGGTGCGAAGAATCGCCCTCGACTTCTTCCCGACCATCGATGACCAGAAAGCTCTCGGAGGACCAATTCTGTTCTCGAACTGGCTGTCCAAGAACTATGTTCCAGTTGACCGCGAACAGCTCCGAGACTTCGTCAAGGCTAGGCTTAAGACTTTCTGTGAAGAAGAGGTGGATGTTCCGCTCATCCTTTTCAACGACGTTTTGGAACATGTTCTTCGTATTGATCGTGTTTTCAGACAACCACAAGGCCATCTGATCCTGATTGGTGTCAGCGGAAGTGGAAAGACTACCCTATCCCGATTTGTGGCCTGGATGAATGGTCTCAAGGTCTTCCAGATCAAAGTCCATGGCAAATACTCTGCTGAAGATTTTGATGAGGACCTACGAGAGGTCCTCCGTCGCTGCGGCTGCAAAAATGAGAAGATTTGCTTCATCATGGACGAGGCTAATGTCCTCGATTCCGGCTTCTTGGAGCGGATGAATACCCTTCTTGCCAATGCCGAGGTCCCTGGTCTATTTGAAGGGGATGAGCTCGCGGCGCTTATGACTGCTTGCAAGGAAGGCGCACAGAAACAAGGCCTCCTTCTAGACTCCCAGGAGGAACTCTATAAGTGGTTCACTCAACAGATTGTGAAGAATTTGCACGTCGTCTTCACGATGAACCCACCTGAGGATGGCCTTTCTTCCAAGGCAGCAACCTCTCCTGCGTTGTTCAACAGATGCGTGCTCAACTGGTTCGGTGACTGGTCTGACCAGGCACTGTTCCAAGTTGGTCACGAGCTTACATATTCCGTTGACCTTGACCGACCAAACTTCCAAGCTCCGGACACAATCCCCGTTGCTTACAGGGGCCTCAGCTTACCTCCTTCTCACAGAGAGACTATCGTCAATTCTATGGTCTACATCCACTACTCTCTGCAGCGATTCAATACGAAGCTACTCAAACAACAAGGAAAGATTACCTTCCTTACACCCAGACACTTCCTGGACTTCGTGGCTCAATATGTCAAGCTGTATAACGAGAAGCGTGAAGATCTTGAGGAGCAACAACGTCATTTGAACGTTGGTCTCGAGAAGCTGAGAGACACTGTCGACAAAGTGCGCGATCTTCGTGTCAGCCTTGCCGAGAAGAAGTCACAGCTGGAGCAGAAAGATGCTGAAGCCAATGAGAAGCTGCAGCGCATGGTGGCAGACCAGCGTGAGGCTGAACAGCGCAAGAACACATCTCTCGAGATCCAGGTCGCACTGGAGAAGCAAGAAGCAGAGGTCGCATCACGAAAGAAGGTCGTCCTTGAGGATCTGGCCAAGGCTGAGCCCGCTGTTGAGGAAGCTAAAGCTAGTGTCAGCAACATCAAGAGGCAGCACCTCACTGAAGTCCGATCCATGGGCTCCCCGCCTCAGGGTGTCAGACTTGCGCTTGACTCTGTCTGCACTCTGCTTGGTCACAAGGTGGCTGACTGGAGAGCCATCCAGGCTGTTGTTCGACGAGATGATTTCATTGCCAGCATTATCAACTTCAACAATGAGAAGCAGATGACTAAAGCTCTGCGGATCAAGATGCGCAATGAGTTCTTGAGCAACCCTGAATTCAGCTTTGAGAAAGTCAACCGTGCCAGTAAAGCCTGTGGTCCCCTTGTTCAGTGGGTTGAAGCACAAGTTAATTATGCCGAGATTCTCGACCGTGTCGGTCCTTTGAGAGATGAAGTCGCTCAGCTTGAGGAGCAAGCTCTCCAGACAAAGGCTGAGGCGAAGGCTGTCGAGAACACAATTACTACGCTCGAGCAGAGTATCGGCACCTACAAGACCGAATACGCGGCGCTCATCAGTGAGACACAGGCTATCAAGGCTGAGATGGCACGTGTGCAGTTCAAGGTTGATCGAAGTGTCAAACTCCTCGACAGTCTTTCTTCGGAGAGGGTCCGTTGGGAGGAGGGCAGCAAGTCCTTCGAGACCCAGATTAGCACCCTCGTTGGAGACGTTCTTGTCGCTGCTGCCTTCCTTGCATACAGCGGACTCTATGATCAGACTTTCCGAAAGTCGATGATGGATGACTGGCTCCACCAACTACATTTGTCCGGTATCAGCTACAAGCAGCACAACCCCGTCACGGAGTATCTGTCTACTGCTGATGAACGACTGGGATGGCAAGAAAACACGCTGCCTGTGGACGATCTTTGTACTGAGAATGCTATTGTGCTCAAGAGATTCAACAGGTACCCCCTGATCATCGATCCTTCAGGACGAGTCACCGAGTTCCTTCAAAAGGAATCCAAGGACCGCCGGTTGACCGTCACTAGTTTCCTGGATGACTCCTTTACCAAGCAATTGGAGAGTTCTCTCCGCTTCGGCAATCCAATTCTCATCCAGGATGCGGAGCATCTTGACCCTATTCTGAACCACGTACTGAACAAGGAGTACCAGAAGACTGGTGGCCGTGTCCTTATCCAGCTCGGCAAGCAGCAAATCGATTTCTCGCCGGCCTTCAAGCTCTACCTATCTACACGAGATCCATCTGCCACGTTTGCACCAGACATTTGCAGTCGTACCACATTCGTCAACTTCACGGTGACTCAGAGCAGTCTGCAGACACAGTCTTTGAACGATGTGTTGAAATCCGAGCGTCCTGATGTTGACGAGCGCCGCTCAAATCTCATCAAACTCCAGGGCGAATTCAAGGTCCACCTCCGTCAACTTGAGAAGCGTCTACTTCAAGCTCTCAACGAGTCTCGTGGTAACATCCTCGATGATGATCGCGTCATCGAGACATTGGAAACACTGAAGACAGAAGCTGCGGAAATTTCTACCAAGATGAGCAATACCGAGGGCGTCATGGCAGAGGTCGAAGAGATCACGCTGCAGTACAACATCATCGCCCGCTCATGCAGTGCAGTCTTTGCTGTTCTTGAACAACTACACTACCTTAATCACTTCTACCAGTTCTCCCTGCATTATTTCCTGGACATATTCCATTCCGTTCTGCACGGCAATCCGCACTTGGCCAATGAGACAAACCACAATGTCCGCCGCGACATCATCATCAAGGACTTGTTCATCACCACCTTCAAGAGAACGGCGCTTGGTCTTCTTCAAAAGGATCGCATCACACTTGCCATGCTTCTCGCTCAAGCATCCCCCTACAAGATGGACAAGGGTGTCATTGACGTTGTCCTCGACGAAAGAGTCGAAGGCAAAGACATCTCCACGGACAAAGATGCCAAGGACGATGCATTTACTCGTGCCAGACGTGTTCCGGCACTGAAGGAGAAGATCGACTTAGTACCATCCAGCGACTGGGACAAATTCTTGTCCGAGGAGCTCGCCGAGAACTTCGTGCCAAAGGTGTGGGATGATAACACAGAGCCAAACGACAAGGCTCTCCTATCTCTACTCCTTGTCAAGCTCTTCCGTCTTGATCGCTTTGTGCCTGCGGCTGAGCGCTTCGCAACCCTCGTCTTTGGGTCAGATCTTTTCGATATTGTTGAGGATCTCAAGGAGACTGTTGCGCAAGTCTCTGCAACTAGACCCATCGCACTCGTATCCAGCCCTGGCTTCGACGCCAGCTACAAGGTTGACAGCCTCGTTGAGCGCATGCGTATTAGGTGCACAAACATTGCCATGGGTTCCACTGAAGGTGTCGCCAGCGCAGACAAGGCAATCAGCAACGCCGCTCAGATGGGCTCGTGGGTGCTTGTCAAGAATGTCCATCTTGCGCCAACTTGGCTCCAGAGTCTCGAGAAGCGTATGGATTCTCTCAATCCCAATCCAGAATTCAGGCTTTTCCTATCCATGGAGTCAAGCCCGAAGATTCCAGTCAACCTACTTCGCGCTTCTCGGGTATTGATGTACGAGCAGCCCGCTGGTGTGAGGGCGAACATGAAGGATTCTATGTCGTCTCTTTCGACCAGGCCTGCCAAGACACCTGTCGAGCGGACGAGACTGTACCTGCTGCTTTCCTTCTTGCACGCTGTGGTCCAGGAGAGATTGCGATATGCTCCGAACCTTGGTTGGAAGGGTTTCTGGGAGTTCAATGACAGTGATGTAAGTACCTGAAGCTATTCCCAACTTATTTTCTCTTTGCTAACAATCACATAGTATGAATGCTCAGCTTTCATCATTGACACCTGGGTTGAGACGGTTGCTCAGAACCGCACAAACATCGCCCCGCAGAATATCCCATGGGACATGATCCGCTACCTGGTCGTCGAGACATACGGAGGCAAGATCGACGACGAGGGCGATTACAAACGCCTCACGCAGCTGGTGCATTCATTCCTGACACCTGCCGCCTATGACATTGGCCACAAGTTGGTCGAAGGCGGCGACGGCCAGGAGGGCAGCCTCGTCGTGCCGTCTGGCACCACCCTGCAAGAATTCAACAGCTGGATTCAGAAGCTGCCCGAGCGCGAGCCGCCTACTTACCTGGGCTTGCCTGCGAACGCAGAGAAGCTGCTGCTTGTGGGACTGGGACAGAGCTTGATCCAGAACCTAAAGAAGGTCACGGATTTGTTGGATGAAGGAGAGCAGCTGATGGCTGAGGCTGCTTAGGAGTCGAATTGGTGAATTGGAGGGAATCCTTATTTTCACTTGTACAAAGTTTCCATCACACACATTACGGCGTCTTTGTTTGTGAAAGAGGCAGTAGTCCAGGGGATGATGGCTTGTTTTGATCATCATCGCAGATACCCCAAAGCTCAGAATGTTTGCTTCATTTGTCACTTGCTACACAATTCTTAGATACTTTTAAATTGATATTTCAAAGTCGAACGTTCCTTCTTGGAAGTCATTCAAGTGATGTCGTGCTGTCGATGATGTTTCTTAAAAGGGCGGTTTTAAACAACGGTTTTCATCATGTAATAAGATCGTGAATTAACAATTACTGGTTTATACTAAGCGATAGCACGACGGGTATAAACGCCTCTCCATTTGACAATTCCCAGAGACCTTTCATCTTGTGAGGACAAGCCTTCGCCACACCCTACAGAGAACGACGAATGAAACAATCCAAAATAGCAACAGCTTTAGGCCATAATGCCCAGCTTAGTAGATGACCTTCTCCTCCCACAGAGGTGGGCGAGCGCCATCTTGGTCCCAGACAAGCTTGTTCTTCTCGTTAAGACGGCAGGCCTCGTCAGTGATCGGAATGACCTTGCTTGTGTTCCTGATCTCCTGCTTAGACACACCAGCATCATCTTCCGGAATCTAGAAATTATTAATATAGGCAGAAAAGTAAAGGTGAATGCAGTGATACATACCCAGAGCAATGGCGGAGTCGATGTGACAGAAGGAGGATAGTAGGCGGTCTCCTCGGTAACCTTATCATACAGGTTGGACAGATCGATGTTATCGTACTGCGGAATGAGCTTCCTCAACGCAAAGTAGTCCGCGAAGATCCAGGGCTTAAGGAACTTCGTGATGAAGTTACCCTTCTTGGGCTCGCCTGACGGTGCGATCGGGTTCTTGCCCTTGCCGTTCGTCACACCATTCTTGCCAGTAGATCCAACACTGGGAGCGATTTCGTCACTGGCGGTAGCCTCCAGATCCGCGACGCGAGACTCCTCTTCAGCAAGCAAGCTTTGTGGCAGATTGTACAGAAGAGGATTGAGGGCACTGTTCATGCTTATGTGGAAGAGAATGGTGAATATAAGGAAGACAACCATCAAGACGATTGGGCCTGGCGCCGCAGATGATCCAAAGAGGCCGATCAGGCAAAGCTCCGAAAGGTAGATGCCAGTGAACAGGTGCTTAATAGCCCGCGGGTAGATCAACCCCCGGGTATTGATATGCGTGTCCGTGACGAAGAAGACGTTGTATCGCCATGCCAGGTAAAACAGAGACAAGCCGATTGTAGCAAACCCTAGCATCAGCGGTGCGATAGCAGCGTATGTGATTGCGATGACCACAATGTTGGTATAGACGGGAAGAGTACTGCCCCAGGAGATAGCACTGAGGTTCGCCCATTTGTTGTACAGCGCCCTGGGTGTGCCGGAGAGATACTTATAGACCAGGTTGAAGATAACGAAGCCAATAACTTGCGAGATAACACTGGCGGCAATTGTAAGACCCTGAACAAGGAAATACGAGATGTAGACATTGGAGGCCTTGGGCAAATTCTCAGCCAGGATCGAGGTGATGCCCGTTGGCTTATCAGCAATCTGCTTGGCAACGGCGGCAGCGGCAGAAGTCATGGTCGTAACCAAGAAGACCTGGATGACTTGGAATGCAAAGTAAGCATTCTGCGTGAAGAGTTCAACTCTCGTATAAGACGGCTCTCCAGAGAGCTTTGCACACAAACGCATAACGACTGGAACCAAAGACATCAAGATAGACAGAGCGACTGACGGCAGGAGCCCGGTAACAACGCCCATGATGATATCTGGAATCTTCTTGAGCCATGACAGCCAGCTGTAGGACTCGAGATAGGTGACATTGCTAATAGCACCAACCACACCAACAGGAATAGCCCAGAAAATGATCAAAGCCGTGATGAAAGCAACGACTGCGTACCGCCGGATGACCTTCTGCCACCACGAGATCTTTAGAGAGCTCCAAATGACGTCATCAGGGACAACACCAATGTAGCGCGGAGACATGTGCAGACCCTCGTGGTGAGCAAGGACTTGGAAAGCGACTTCGGCCTCTGCTTGGGTGCGAAACTCGATGAAGACAGCAGGGATTTTCTTGTAATCGCCAGCACGGTAGTTGCCTTGAGCTGTCTCAACAGTGGGAATAAGACGTTGCAATTCGCTGCGGCACCAAGTAATGGAGTCAACTTTCTTGCCAAGGAGGCCGAGGGGACCAGTGCGATGGGTCGGACGCTTCTTCTTAGAGATCCATCGAGCAGCAACGCTACCTTCTTCGGCATCGAGGGGAGTGTGAGAGTTTTCCTTGTCTTCGGTGGCGCCGTTCTTGAGAGCCTTGAGACGCTCCTTGTTGGCAAGTTTGATGAGCTTGATTTCAGACTTCTCCAGCTTGAAAGCAGCCTTATCTCTCTCTTTAACAAGCTTATCAAGATCATCGACGTCACCCGCGATCCAGATATGCTTGACTGCAGCGCCAAACACCTTGCGCAATTTCCTCTCGTCCAGATAGGTCTCGGGAACGGCTGTAAAGAGGACGGTTCGCGAAGAGATTCGGTTAGCGTACAGGGGGCTGATTAGGAACGCCTGACGCAGGTTGATGTAGTAGATACATTCTCGGAAGATCAGATACATGACGAATCCGTAGAAAGCCCATGCTGCAAAGACGTGGGCATAGTAGCGGTTCTTGCCCGAGCCCGAGCTCTTGATGTTAGCGTATGAGAGCATGTCGAGCTCCTTCTGACCGCCACCACCAGTGATGTTGACTGGGAAGAGCACCGGCCAGGTGATGCAGCATCCTACGAAGCAAATAATAACCGCCATGCGGAGGAACCGAAGGTAGAGATAGGCATCGAGAGACTGGTGCTGCAGGGCCCAGATATCGGGTATCTTCCAGAAACTCCCAACCCAATTGAGAAAGCCACTCGGTAGGGGAGGCGTCCGTTGGCTACAGCTCAGTTAGTATACGAGTCCTTTGTCTGCCTTTTTGGGGTGTAATGATATTGTAAGTGCTTGGTGGAGAGCATTTGCTCAACCTCCTAGACTCTCGGCTAAGATAGTCCCACTGACCTTTCGCGTAGACTGCCAATGTATGTTCTAGGCGCATACCACCGGCGCTGACTCCTTCTCAGGATGAGAAAGATGAGGAGGTAAACACCAGCGACGAGGGCGACTGGCGCGAGTGTTGAGATGAGACCGGACAATGAGGACGTCTTCGGGTTCTGGTCGTCCCGATTGGAACCCGTGTTAGCGGACATATTGGGTGAGTGTCGAGGATGTGAGCTCCGTCACAGTTGTCGTTGGGCGAAGGTGAGGAGAGAAGTAGGGCTGCAGCAGGGAGCTGGGGCGTCTTAAACCAAGTTGAATAACAGAACCCTCTCCAAGACGTAAGAGGGACTCAGAGAGTGCAGCCGATGGCGCTACGGGAGCAAGGCTACTGGCTGGAGCCAAGAGTAGTGTCTCGGACAGCTTAGGTAGAGCGAGTAGAACCGCTTGCCAGAGACCTGAGACCCCGTAATTTAAAAGGGCACAAAAACAACAACAAGGCCCGGCGAAGATTGCAGCCGGAAGGTGGAAGGGAGGGAGGAATGAGGAAAGTGAAGAATAATAGAAGACACCACAGGAGCCTCTACACGCGTGAAGCAGAAGAAGAGGAAGGTTGGAGAGGTGGGTATGGACGAGGAAGTAAGTACTTCGACTCTCTTCTGCAGACTCTTTCGATTGCTCTGGGAGCCGCTTCTGTCCCTTGACTGATGCAGATCAAGCAGACGACAAACAAGCAGAATCAGGGTTGGTCGAATCTTGATATGGAGCCCAGCCTTTGAACCCCCCCCGGCAATTGAGCGTCAGGGTCGCACACGTAAATCTTGATCTGCCACCAGATTGGATTCGCTCATGCTCGTCTGATTTTTTATTTTCTATGGGAGATGGCGCGTGCTTCTGCAATGCAAGAGCCAGCAGGTGCTTCCTTCCTTGCAAGCAATCAAGCAAGCAAGCAAGCAAGCGCGCGACTTGCTGGGCGCAGAGCAGCGAGGGCAGCTGCGACCGACGGTGGAATGACGACACCAGACAGCTACTGATCCCTGTCAAGCTGATTTTGCGCGCCGCCAGCGTGCCCAGCAGCAGGCCCAGCAGCAGGCCCAGCACGGCTTAACCGTACTCCGTACCGCACCTTCTCCCACTTCCGCAGCTGCTCCACTCTCCTCTCCTCCACTGCACGCGCTAGTGAGCTCATACTTTGGCTCGTCGCAAATTTGAGTGCCAGTCGGCCTCTCCTTTTCTGTCGATGATGATGATGACGACTTGTTCATCCAGCTTGGCTATTGTTTCTGTCACCGTCCCTCTCTCTTCAGCATTTTTGGCTTCTAAGGCAAGGCATTGAGAAGTTGAAAGTGACAGAAGTCACAGAACCCTGTTCCTGATATTGTCGATCCGCAATCAGACAACGAGCCCCTCGACGTCGCATCGGGCAATTGAAGCATAAGACTGACAGGGGATTGGCCAAGTTCGGCATCTCTTATTGCACCTGCTAACGCTCATGGTTGGCACGGCACTGCTCAGATACCTGGCGGGTCCTGGGCCCCAGAATCTTGGGACCTTGGATAGCAGCCTTTTCCCGTTTCGCCCAAGTTTTCATGTGATGGATCGATATTTGCAAAAATTAATTTCCAGACAGGGCCAGCCCATCTGTGACAACAATACTTCCGAGAGCCTTACTATGCAGTACTGGTAGGATATTCGTGCCATTACTTCCCTTGCATTGATAGATGCAAAGCAGACTTCACCCCTTCCTGGCAGGCCTCTCCTGATCATAGCACGTGAATGCAGGGCTGCGGCTTCCAGCTCGAGTCGCCTGTTGGGCATCTGTTGCGGCGGCGGCAAGCATAGGTCGCATGGGTAGGCTGATACGGAACCACTTGCAAACCACTTCTCTAGGACAAAGATCTATCAAACGGAGTGCGCGACGTGTGTCCCTCGGAGACAGTGGCCACCCCCACAAAGGAAACTTTGGGCCCGTCTTGTCAATCAGACCCTCCAAAACCCCTCTCCCGTGAGCCCCAGTGAGTGGTGATGATGTATTGCCGGCCTAGTCCTTCTCCGCTTTCTCACGCTCTCTCATCACATCACACGCTATGGATGTGATTGTCCTCTGTAAGACTGTATGACATGTGCTGAAGAGTATTGAGACCTGGCCTCGTCGTTGCTGGAGATACAGAGACAGGCACCATGTCACCGTTGAACGGATTTGGTGACAGTAATCTTGATGACAGGATTTACTGTGGGACATTTGAAGAGCCGTTGGCGAACCGTTTCGGAACTAATTGGTCAACTCAGCTGAAACGGCTGCCGAAGACGGCGACAGCACACAACTGCAAGCTACGGAGATGGTGAAGAGTGGTACCGTTCTTGCGGCATCAAAGTTCCAGCTGTTGCCCGTCACATTTCATGACTTCTATAACAGTCGTGTTCATTCACAGAATCAAAGGATAGATAGCCGAAAATTGGCGATTGGACGGGCGGATGCAGGGCTCTCCCAAAACGTCTCTACACCTTGCTCCACCCATACTATGATACCCATTCGCAAGCAATTGAAAAAGCAATTGCCCCAAGGACATTTCTGTTAGAACGCGACGATATCCAGCAATAGTTAAAAAGACTGCTCAGTTATCAGTCACGCGGTTTCCCAAGATGATGATGAACCCAAGCTATTGAAAAAGAGAGATGATATTTGTGCTTATCCTGCCAGATGTGGACTTTCTCCAGGCGCCGATCGCGATGATGAGGATGAGCGCAACCATCCACTGACGATCGCCACTGATCCTAGCTACCCCGGCTGCCAATGCCGAAAAGTGCTGAGCCACAGGTCCAGACCTCCGCCAGAGAAGCCACACAGATGCACGGTCTCAGCTCGTCAGGCCTAAGATGAGCATGGGTAGGCCCAATGAGATCCTCGACTGATAAGACTCGGAGTAACCTCCTTCTGTCAGTAGACGTTCGATGTTGATTTGGATGTGGCACGACTCATGCACACAGCCTTCGTTTGCGCGCGTATCGTTTCCGTCTGGCGTGGGACAGCGCGACCGTTAGCAAATACTGTAATTCTTTGTCTACCCAAGTGGGTGAAACAGTAAATGCGCTGACGGATTCCCAAACAAAGAGGGCTCCTACCAAAGCATCTTTCCGCCCGAGGTGCCGCAAGCATCGCTACGTCAGGTGCGGCTTTGTTTAAAAATGACAGCATTGCTATCCGCAATGTTGCTTCTGGCGCCCTTCTCAGATCACAGGTGGCTCGTTTCCTGTGGTTGAATAGCTAGTCGTTCACATTGCTTGAGATACGGATCCGCGCAATTTGGACAACCCTTGAGTCTTCAGATTTCTACAAGTTGAAATCGAAAAAGAACTTGATCATATAGGTTGTAAATCACGATTATTTGGCTTATCAAAGGATCGAGAGCGTAAGAGAAGTAAACACTGCATAAGAGGCAGCTTGGCGAAGCCTTGCCGGAGGCTAAAATTGCAGTGAAAGTGGCGGCGAGGTTTCTCAGCGACCCGACATGAACCCTAGAAGTCTTTTGACAACAATCGGCTAATTTATTCGGCTGGTGGCTTCGGGCTCTTTGTTCGAGATGACTGCTTCCGGCAAGCTCGTTGATATGATATTGCATTGTTCTCACACGGTAGTTTGGCAAAGGCCGCTCCGCATCGAGGGTCAAAAGGCCCAGTAGAATAGGTAAATATCACGGCGAGGGGATATGGCTGTGAAAGACAGGACAAATCGAACATTCTCTTCTTGCAATACCTCTTGGGTGACATTCTGAGCTCCATTCGGAGAACGGTCCGCAGAAGCAACGTGCCTCGATAGATCAACTGACCGGCTGCTGGCGATCAAGCAAGCAAGATGTCTCACGATAAGGAACACAACTCTGACGAGAACCTCGACCAGTCGGGGTATCTACATGGCAATGACTATGCGCTCCCGTATCTCTCACGCTGGTCAGACATCCACGACAACTACAAGGATCTGCTCATGCATATGAACTGTGGTTACCTGTCGACGCACGGCACGCCGCCAACGCTCCTCGCTCTCAAGCAGCATGCTCAATCGCTGGCCATCCTGATTGCCATGCTGAGCCCGACCATTCTGCCTGGTGAGATCAATGCGGAGGGGGCAGACGAGAACGAGGGTGCGCAGCGTTTCGAGCTCAATGCCTCCTTTGACTGGCTCAATAACCTCAATGAGCCCTACACAAACGATGACCCGGCTCACCACTTGCCGCTCAACGCACTCGCCAACGAGGTTAAGGCCAGGCATGATATCCTGGGGACCGAGTTCCACTGTCCCCTGACCAAGACGGAGAAGCCCAGGCACCCGAACCAGGCCCGCAAGCCCTACGCCAACCATCACAACTTGGTGATGCATACCAACGAGTGTCTGGAGCGCCTCGATCATGAATTCTCCGCCACGGGAGGTCTGCTATCCCTCTTGCCCGAGGAAGGCGATGGCCACTCGGTCGAAGAGATTAGTGCAGCCCGCAACTCCCTCCTTGGACAGTGGCTGACATTCACCGGCCACCTCGTCTCGCGCATGCACGAGCTCGAGATCCAGGTAGCGAATTGCCTAGACACACTTGCGTCTGAGGCCGTCGTGCCCATGCAGCACCTGTCCATGTTTGGGCCGGATGCGCGCTCCACTGGCCGCGAGCTGGCCTACCCGCAGGACAAGTGGGTGCTCGTCAACGCGGGTGAGGATGTGTTCTCGCACATTCACGACATGCTCGACCGGCGCGAGGCGCTCATCGAGGAGAAGGAGAAGATCTGGAAGTCGTCGGGCGTGAGCGGCGAGCGCATGTGGATGGAGGAGCGCGGCGGCAGCACCTACGCGCGCGGCATCGTGCCCATCAACATCACGACCCGGTACTACCGGCTCAAGGGCACGGGGCGCAACACGCTCTTCGTCGTGCCGGCCTGGGACCACCACCCGGCGGTCGAGTACACGCGCGAGATGGAGAAGCGCCCGACGGTCGTCAGCGTCGTGCAGCCCAAGTTTCCGGTCCGCGCGACCGAGTTCGAGGCGAAATATAACGCGCGCCTGGAGCGGGCGAGCAAGCTCGAGCAGACAAACACGAAGCTGGAGATGGAGAACATGCGACAGAAGGACGACCTCTATGTTCTCGAGCAGCAAGTCGAACACGAGCAGAGCATCAACGAGTTCCTTCTCGAGAGATCTCTTAGTGAAGGTGCTGCGGACACTACCAGCGACCCGCAAAGCCAGAAGCAGACCCGCGGGCTTGCGGAAGAGCTGCACTATGTAAAAAGGAATTTTCAAGAGTCGCAGGCCAAGCTTCACGAAGCACTCGAGAAATACAAGGCGGCACAGAAGAACCTCGCCGATCAAGATAAAGCGATGGGGCAGATGTATACCGAGCTGGAGAATCTGACGGAAGCCATTGAGCAGCAAGGCTTCGACATTACCGACCAAGGACTCGTCCGCAAGCCCGGAGTGGATAGATTCTCTTCACTGGCAGCAACAGCATGATCGTTGGGCTGAGTGGCATTCAACCAAACGGTAGCAGTGTAGTCGGTGTGTAAGCGGTGTGGGGGGAGACAAGAATGTTTTGAGAGGTGGAGACCGGCATTGCTGGACACGGACTGTGATTCTCGGTGTACATGTAGCTGTTGTCTTCTGTTTACTTCTACCGTAGCTTTGCTTTTTCTTGTATGAATTCATCGGTAATTCGTCTTCATTACAACTGCTCTTTCGGATGTCCGGTATCTCATACTGTAGTACCTACCCTCTTTCTTCACAACTTTAATGCTTTCCCATTTCTGCATGCTCAAGATAAGAGCAACGTTCAATCGCGCACTAACAACCACTTGACCGAATTTCTTGCCGGTCCACAATCCCATACCTGTTTCTCGATGCTGATAAGTGCTCAGTCTATCCTTCTCTAGGCAAGCGCACACTTATAGGACGTTGCATATAGATGGGAAAGTCGATGTAGCGTTGAAGAGTACTTAATCACCCTGTCCTGCAAGTGGATAGCGGTTCGGCGGGGAGCCGCCTGAATTGCAGCGTCGTTGCTGGGTCAACGCGGCTTGGCGCACCGACAACATGCACCTGCCACAAAGGCGCTGCACCGCGTCAGCAAATGGAATTTGCGATTGGCCAGGCTGCGATCCAGGCTTACAGCGATCCTTGTCCTCGAGTAGATATCGCTCGATCTCTCTCCTCTCGCGCCCAGCATGTGCATGCATAGCACTAATTATCCATACCGGACCTGACTGGGGTCCTCAGACGGCCAGGCCTCTCATTCATTGCGTTCATTGATTGATAGTTGCCCCAGCTTCGTCCGGATCTTACCCTAGTAACTAACCCCCCTCCTCGTGTTGATCCTGTCCATTAGATGCCCGGACTATTTCTGCTTTTTCTCATCATCTAGTCGCCCTACGAACCGTGCTTCTTCTTCGTGGAGCTGATCTCGCCAACTCATCGTGCGTGGACGCTATAACATGTCGGATTATTATTCTCGTTAATCGATCCAGTTGGCAAGGGACTCTTTTCTTATACGAGGAACACGAAGGCCGATTGATTATCGCGGGCACAACCAGTCGGGAGCGCAGCAATTAGCCATGCGCTGAAGGCCACCTCTCGGACGGCCGCTCAGCTCCACTCAATGTTGGTGAATCTGCCCAATGCCTCCTCCGCGGGGCATCTGAGGAGAGCCTCAGCAGCACCTTTCCGGAGGACTGCGCTGACGCTTCTCATCTTCTTCGTCCTGGCCGTTTCCGCGGCTGAGACATTGCCATACATCCCAACCACAATCCTCATATCCGGCACGACCGGAAGCCCGTCACAGAATGCTAGCGATGTCGCCTACATCTTTGCGCCAAATGACGACTCCGTGGACCTGCTTGCACTGAACATCTCGGCCACAGTGGATGCATCATCACTCAGTCTGAAGACTCTGACATCGAGCCTGCCATTCCACAATGGCTCAACTTCGACATTCGCCCCATCGTTAATGGCAGATGGGAGCCTCGTGGTATACGCTGGTGACTGCTCATCTGAGGATGATCCCGCTGTGTGGTCTTACACCACCGCACAGTCAACTTCTGGGAACGCTGTGATTTGGGCCAAACACGAGACCACTCCGAGCAGTAGTTCTGGGTCTTCGTATTCTCCCTATTTCCTGGGCGGCAGTCTCAGCTTCTCATCGACCCTTGAGCCCACCATATCAGCAGGCATCATCTATAGCTATGGTGGCATGTGCCCGACATCAAACACAACAGTTGAGACATGGCAATCTAGTGCCACTTATTCCAACCAGATGCTTCGAGTATCGCCCTCACAGCAGTCTGGATCAGACAGCACGTACTCTGCGCAACCAATTTCCAGCAAAGGGCCACCTATCGCCGAAGCTGGATTCACATTCACTCCTCTTTCGCCATCTGTATCGAACCGGACTGGTACAGTTACCCAACAGGTCAACAATGTTCTCCTAGGAGGACATACCCAGCAGGCATTCATCAACATGAGCACTGCCGCCATATGGAGTCTACCGGAAGAAACCTGGAGCTTTGTGTCTATTAGCCAACCCTCATCTACCAACACCGAACTAGCCAAGAAGAAGCAGACTTCTCGCTCCCTGCCTACCAGTGTTGACAGCCGTTCAGGTCATACTACTGTGCTAAATGAGGATGGAAGTGCTCTCATTGTTCTGGGTGGTTGGGTCGGGGACATTACCCAAGCAGCAGACCCTCAGCTAGCTATTTTGGAAATGGGAGACAGTTTCGGTGACTGGAGTTGGTCCATTCCATCAGCTCAGCCGTCTGGGTCTGGTGTCTATGGTCACGGTGCTGTGCTCTTGCCGGGGAATGTTATGCTTGTGTACGGAGGTTACAGTATTTCATCTTCAAGCTCAAAAGTGAAGAGGCAGGCAGAAGCTGACAACATGTTCCTCAATCTCACCTCCATGGCATGGTCAAGCACATATACTAACCCCTCCCATACTGCCACTTCAGGCAAAGGTTCGACCTCGAGCAGCACCTCCGACGATGATTCCTCTAAGTCGAAAAGAATTGGGCTAGGTGTCGGTCTAGGACTTGGTATACCACTATTGTTGGGCTTTCTAGCTCTTCTCTTCTTCTGCTTCCGCCGAAGGCGAGATCAGAAGCGTGCTTCGCGTGATGATACGGTTCGAGCGCTTGCGCAGGACGCGACGCACTTCCTACACGCGGACGAGGACGAAATGCTCGAGCGAGATGACTGGGGACCGACGCGTGCAGCATATTGGTACACCGGCGGGCACGACCCGTATGTTGGAGCTCGGTCACGTTCGCTTGGCTATGAAAGTCTGCGTGGATCGCAGTCCAGCCCGGCCTTTGCCCCGGTATACGAGCCCTCTAGCAGCGGGCGGACACGTAAACCAGTCAAAGCAGCAAGAGGTCTGTACCAGCCAACGAACACGACGACATTTGATGCTTTGGGACTCGGCAGGGGACACGATAATACTAGCCCGCGTGGGATACATCCCATCTATGAAGATGATGAAGGGGAGGGCTCCCAGCCGCCGCCGAGCCCAGGGCATGAGAACAATCGCCACTCTGACCCATTCATGACACCTACGAGTACATCTCAGGGAATCATGTTCGCCACAACGAACCGCGCATCAAGCTCGCCGAGTCCTGAGCGACGAAGACATCACCCAGAGGTGCAGGATTGGGTGTCAGATATTGATGCTTCGGATGCGCTGATAACAGCACGCATCCAGCCTCACAGCACCACCATTCGGACAAATCCCGGCCGTGTATCTCCAGCAAGTAGAGCTTCGCTGAGGACCACTGGCGTCGGCTTTGAGGATGAAGGTCGAACTGACAGCAATCTGTCTGAGTCGAACAGGAGTACATTCAGTTTCATACAGAGAGCATCAATCCAAGCACATGGCCAGAGCGCAGGTGCCGCCGCAAACCGAGAAGGCGATGGCCGTTTGGGCAGTAGTTCAGGGCAGAGCAGCAACAGCGGGAACACATACACCACCGCCAAGTCTATCCCAACATTACAGGCGGAAGGGCCGAGCCTTCTGCTAGGCAGACCTTACAACATCGACCCAGATACCATTGTTGCCGGTGATCTTTCTGATGAAGACCGGCCTGGATCGCCTAGCAAGGCCAAGCCGCGTCGCAACTGGCTTGGTAGCTTCCGTCGTGTTTTCAGCAGCAGTAACAGCACCTCGCCCGCATCCAGCCGGACTGAGAGCCCTACACGCAGTGGGCAGAGCGATGATTACGAGTCCCCACTAGGTAATGCTGGAACACTGCAGCGTCGGAAACAAGGCCGCGAAGCATGGGAAACCGAAAAGGGTCTCGAAGCAGGCGAGCCATCCGATGATTGGGACGTCGAGCGTGCCGTGGAGCAGAGGCTGGTGCAGGTCATGTTCACGGTGCCAAAGGAGCGGCTGCGCGTCGTAAACGCCGAGATCGAGCGTGATGAGGAGCAGGGCATGCTTGTGGATCCGGAGAAGGAGGCCAGCGAAAGAGCCCGCACTAGTATCTATGATAGATATACTATCGACTTCGAAAAGGAGGCGGAGAGGTTTGCTGCCGAGGAGGCTGCCAGAACCGAGTTACAAGACAAGGGCAAGACTCCGGAGAGAAGGAGCGAAGATCTGCTCGGGTCGCAGGATGATTCTGAGTCTAAGAGCCCAGCCATCATGACGGCCGAAGCAGTGAAAATGGAGAAGAGGAGGACGAAGGTGCTCGAAATGGTTGATGATATTGAGAGACATAGTCGGAGCAGCAGTCCGAGAGTACCATGAGCCTCGAGTACTTGGGCTGGTTACCATGGGAATGTATTTGTTCGGAGTAAGATCAAGGGTTTGCATTTCACGTTTCGTCAAGTTGGGTAATGGCCTGAGGAGTTTTGCCTCTCTCCTGGCTGTTGAGGATACCATTTGGAGGGCATATTGGTGGACGGACGGTCGCTTGAGATATCACGGCGTAATTGCATAGGGTCTGGATTTCCGCTACCTTCGCTCAAATAGATGATTGTTGTACAGACAATCACGTATATCAAATTGGTCGACACATGAGGCTTTTAATACGAACCTAATATATGCGTCTCGTGAACTTTACCAGGGCAGTCGTGAGCCGCTTATTGTGTGACTTGTCAGACCCCGTGAAACAATCAATTAACGAGTAAATGATCTAAACACGCTCTATTTCTCGGTCTACATATATCTAAAGTCTTCACGCAAGTTATTCCGTCCGGCATAAAAAAAAAAGTAAGGCCCATGGGGTCAACATCAAAAAGTCGACCACCACGGGACTCGAACCCGCAACCTCAGTCTAGGTCTCCATAAAGCAAAATAAGTAGCTTCGTTAGGAGGACCACGCGCTACCATTGCGCCAAGCGGCCGGGATTTCACAAATTCAGGATTTGCTCGCATTTTCGGCGCTAAACTTGGCCTATTTTCCATGGACGAAAGGTGGGGTCGTTGGGACCCAGCCATGCTGCGCCATTGGGCCTGTGGGTGGAATATCCATGAGATGACTATTGCTTCAGCACCCGGTTATGAACCGCATGTTAGAAATGAAAATTACGACACTTGATGGAGGTAGTTCACTCTCGACTTCGGTGGCCTGCGGTCGCATTCGAATGGCGCCATAAGTAATGCTGGCGGCAAAGTGTTGGTGATGGCAGAAGTGTGTGGCCAGTCGAGGCATCCTAAGTGCTCCAGTCAGCCCAGGTTTCGATATTGTGTCCTTGCATTTGCCGTGTCGAGGTTTTGTGGAGATCGACTGAGCGTTCCTTTGAAGGCGTATAGACTGTCCTGAGCTTCGACCGGTGGCCTGCCGAGGTTCTGGACAATCACCGTTTGTCCAGCTCTCTCAGACGAAGCCCATACAGACCGCCGTGGCGTAGTCCCCATCATGACTAATGCTTATCATGGCCTCCTGGTCAGGATTCTCGGCGTCTACAGCTTTTATTATTGCAATTGGGGGTCCGGAGCCCAGCCGTGGCTGCGCCATCTCCTCTGCATCCACCGACGCTCTTGGGGTAATCGTGATGTCGTGGAAGGTCAAGTGTCGGTGCGGATGGGCCTTGATAGCTGCTTCTTTCGCTGCAAATCTGACAACATGAACGCAATTAGTTCCCGTTCCCTTGCCAGCTTGAGAAGCTTCAGTACTCACCGCCCCGCCATGAAAACGGCAGCCTCCCAGAGCTCCGATTCACGATCCGCCTCGGCATGCGAGCGCTGTGAATCCGAGAGGCTCTTCACCTTACTGCGCTCTTCTGTAGACTCGCCATGTTTCTGTATGCCTGCGTCATTCTGGAGGATCCGCGCGATTGGCGACACTCGCTGTCCTCTGCGCGCGGCCTCTTCCTCGGTCAAGACGCGGCGAACGAATCGCGCCGCGCGCGCCGAGTTCAGAATGCTGTAGATCCGGGGGATGTGACAGATGTCCGTGCCGATGTTTAGAGGGTACGGGAATGGTCGCACAATACGCGGCATTCTCCCTTTCATTGCATCTTGGAGTGCGCATCAAGATCTCGACAGCTTCTATAGATTTCGAGAACGTGATGGTGAAAGACACTAATTTTAGCGGTACAGGCGCGATTCGTTTACCACGGTAGGGGATCTTCCTAACCCAGACAGGGGTATAAATGCTAGGGTACGATACGTCATCTCATCCATCGATTGATAACAGTTACGATAAGAACCTCACGACAGTCCGTTGATATAAAACGACACCTGCCAAATGCCACGATGCCTTAATTTACATTGAAAAACAAACCAGGTAATCGATCTCATCAGTCCATTTGGTAGAAGGAAAAAGCCATGTTCCACCATGTAACACTACAACTCAATCTTAACGGAAAGTGTTCATAGACCTCCACAACACTTTTCAACTCCTCCATGCATTAACAACTTTTCCTAAGAATCGAAATCCGCACATCAAAGCGAGTAAAGTCCCTCCGAAGATGGAAAATCCATCCTGCGAATTCCAGGACGTGAGAGACGATAAGGATGGCTAAAGTGGAGGATCCTAGGCGTTTCAGACTTATATGCCGCTGATTGTGAACGCCAGTGGGAGGTTGATTGATGATGTTTAATTGTCTGCGAGGAGAGGAGCGCGCTCGGTGTCACCAGGAGCCTGTCGGCGACCCCAGAAGTCCTCGCGTCCGGACCAAGCAGGAACAGCAATCACGACGGTGAAGACGAACAGCACTGCCATGATTGTGAATGCGAAGATCCACTGGAAGGCCACAAGCTGTCGCTGGAATTGTCCTACACCCAGAGCAGCAGACAGCACGCTCAGGAAGAAACCCATCGTATAATCCTGCAAATGTTAGGCATGCTAAAGGTTTGAATTCATCTGAGAGACTGACCTTGTAGACAACGATGAAGAATGCGCCATAGACCAAGATGGCCCAAACGAAGATATTGGCGAAGATTCGAGCTACGAGAGTGTGCGGATGGGGCACCATGATGGCACCATTCCAGTAGATAGCGACGAAAGTCCAGGCAAGAGGACCCGTCACAGCCGGGGCATGAATGAATCGAGGGTACGCATTGTGGCGGAAGTACAGCGACGACAGGTTGAAAAAGTTGATGATGAGGATGACCTCAGCCCAGGCGAAATGGGAACGCACGAATAGCATCACGAAGGCGAAGTGCAGGAGATTGTTGAAGATGAAGTGGCTGCCCACAGCACAAGCGGCATTGACGTAGTCAACATTGCTTGAGAAGAGGTGGGCGATGTATCCAATCTGTAAGATGCCGACAACGGCCCTAGAGAAGACATATCAGCTCTGCAGCCCTAGACTTGGCCTCGGATCCTTCCGACGTACCAATAAATCTCAGTAATGGTGTTGTTGAGAGTGAAGCCGGTGTGGATGAGCTTATTCTGGTCCCAGATTCTGCGGCGAATGGTGAAGCCATCGTGAGGCTCCTCGACGCTGTAGTAAACAGAGACGATAACCGACAGCAGCCAGGTAAGAATGGTCAGGATCTTGTAAGTAATGACAGCATTGGGATTGTGGGTTTCCTTCTTGGCGAAGGGGTTGACTAGACAGGCAGATGGTAAGTCCTCAGCTCGGCGGGAAACGGAACAAATGTCGCGGTGAACTCACTGCTATGGAGGCGATCCATGATGGCTATACCTGGAGTGTCTTGGACTATCTGGGCGAGGGTTACAGGAAAGTAACTCTGATAGACAGAAAGCTGGAGATGGTTGTCTGGTGTAGCGGTTCGGTCACTTGACGGCAGGTGAACGGCTCGAGGTAATGGAAGAGAAAGTGGGCGTGGGTAGCTTATAAGAGAGCGAGAAGGCAGGTAGGCAGGTAGGCAGGTAGGTATGAAAGGGTGGCGCGGGACGCCTATGCATTTGCGGGGAGGAACCTTGGGAAATGATGTGCAACGGGAAGCTAAGGTGACCTAAAGCTTCGTCGTGCATACAAACAAGAGTACCTTGAGCTTAGGTGAGAGGCAGGTAGGTCTCCAACCAGAAGAGCTTTGGAAGTGACAGGTCTGGGTCTGCTGATGTGTGAACTTTTGCTAGGTACCCACCAAGGCAGTAGGCAGGTGTGCTGGAGGGAATGGGAAGGCATTACGCGTTGCCGCCAGGCCAGCACGCATTGACAGCAGGCAAGATGACTGGAGGGCGGTGACTGACAGGATCCATACACCGGACAAAGACGTCGTGGGTGTTTCCAGCGGATGTCATGAATGACTGGCTAGGAGGCAATCCTGGCATTACGAAACACGGTCTATCCAAGCTTGCTCGGAGGAAGTTCCTTGCCCCGCTCGGCTGTGGCTTGAACACTGGGAAGCTCTCTGTCCACCTACCGGTACCTTAGATATTTCGAATCTCTACCCACTACCGTATTGAATAACAATTGCATTCACTGCCCGTACCTGACATGACTTTTGAGAACCCTGACGATGAAGGTGAGACATTGTTAACGCAATATGTGGCTGCCCGCTTCGTCATCTCCAGGAGGGAGTCTGATATTTCGTTATGGAGCAAGGTAGGATAGGGAAGGTATGTATGGCTGGTGATGGATGAGAGGGTTGCCCCTTCCGTCTGGGCTGCAGGAGCGGCTGTTAAGCTCGTGTGGGGAGGAAGCAGGGGGGTGTGCTGACCCACAACAAGCGATTGGCTTGGCTGAGGGGGAATGACGCAGTTGACCTCTAAGACTTCCTGCACCCTGTCTCTTACCCCTCCAACCTTGCGCCGAATGGTGGCATGGTTGGAGCCATTATTATACGATAATTAGACCATCTGTCAGGTTATACTGAAAATTTTGAGAACCCTAAATAATCTCGTACGGTTCAGTAACACTGCATTCCTGACAATTTCTAAGTAATCAAGAAACTCGCATATTATAAGATTATTTCTGACTCTCTAAGTAGGTATATGCAGTTTGAGGGGCAATTTTGCAAGTATGGCCAACGACTTGGACCCATCTGAAGAGAGGATCGAAGCCATTGGTGTGTCCCATGACACTGATTGATCGTCTGGAGATCGAGTGACCGCGAGCATTTTGAACGGGCATTTGCTGGTGTAGGCGAGCATCTGGAGGCGATTGCGCCCCACCAGAATGGCCAGAACTCGTCTAGACTCCTCGATCGTCATGGCAAGCGGCGGGTAGGCGCGGCTGCCTCCTGGCTAGCTCGCCCAATTTGGTTCCTTCCCGGAGCATTTGTACCTGCAATTGCTACATAGTCGAGCCTTCCTTTCTTGGTGCAGTGCTATGCACACAAATAGTGCAGGTGCTATACTGCACTCTCCGTGTTCGTGAAGGTTCAGGTGCAATCTCTGAACCTGCTCCCTGGAGAGATAAACGTATCGAATCATATCTTGAAAGAAGAGCAAATTCAGTACATTGTTACTACGAACGAAAAGATGGTCCAATAACTACCAAAGTCAATTAACAAATATCTTTACCTTAAGTCGCCTAAAATAAAGTCACATCTGAAATGGCCAGGGAATCTCGAGATGTATTTCCCTTCTACTTATGCCATATTTTTGACTAGACGCCGTCTGGCCCGCTTCCACCTGAACGATGCGTACTCTCTTTCAAGGAACGTGAGCGGCACGCGCCAGGCAGCGATGATGAATTCTCGGGTCCTGGAGTTGAATGCTGTGAATAGAGAGAAGAGAATAACAATCGTCGAGAGGCCAACTGTTGACAGTATGATTAGAGATATCCCTGACCGCCCAGATTCAATTAATTATTGCATTATGGTAGGGACATTACGTACACATCCACAGAACCTGCTCGGTCAAAGTCATCCATTCTTGACCCGTCCGATTGTTGTTCATGCCGAAAAAGGCAGCGAAGAAGTTGAGGGGGAGCTAGAGAAAGCTAAATCAGCAAGGCCAACGCAGGAGAGCAGGGGAAACGCAGCGAGGGTCATTCCTACAAACAATATTGTCACGACAGTGAAGGCCATGACGGCCCTGCCTTGCTCAACACTTTCTTCACCTGTGAGAGCAGATTTGATCTCAATGACGCTAAGCTGCTGCTGTCTGAGAGCCATCGATGATTCGACCTATGCACATTGTATTAGGGGTCTCGTCAATGAAGAGGTACTCTTTTCGAATCGTTGGCCAAGACAAACCTGCTGGCAAATGCGAAGTGCGGATTCCTCAAGATCCTCCAGCTCTAGCTGTCGACTTCGGATGCGCTGAAGTAGTGCCTCAGCCTCATAAAAATCGTCTTCGGATTTGCGGCTCCTCGACGTCCATGTGCCTTCCATTGGGTTAGAAGCATCACGCCGAATTGGCCTGTTCAACGAGCTTCTTTGATTACGTTGGGCAGCTCCCGTGCTCTGTGATTGTTTCAGGGCGTTGATCAATGTTTCTAGAAGCGCCGATTCATTCGAGTCCTGACGAGGCTCGCCACTGTGATGTTCCAAATGCTGTGCGAATTCTCGAACCACAGAGTACTGCTCATTATATAGACGCAGCATGGTCTGGAGTTCCTTGGCGATGTCTTGGCCTTCTCTAAGAAATGTCACGTCTCGATTGATGAGACGCATGAATCTCCTGTACCACAGTTCCGACAACCCTTTACTCAAAGAGGGAAAATCGTCGACCGTGATCACGAAAAGCTCAGCCTTCGAAAATTGTTTGTGAGAAGAAGCCAAGTATTTTTATGGAGCAGAAAGATTTCTCACGAGATTTGCAATAGCAGCATTGAAGAGCTTCAATACATCTGGCCGCTCGTCAAAAGGCGTCGTCCCCGTACGGTCGAAAAAGACACACGAGCACTGGTCGATAATCATGAGAGCTGGAGCTGTCAGTATACTCCATAAAATCAGACTCTCTCATATACGCCACCTAAATGATGAATGGACTTGATGCCGAGCATATAGTCAAGACGTTGCCGGAGGCTTCGGTGTACATCTGATGAGTCAGACTTGAACCAGTCAATAACACTTCCTCCACCAATGCAATGGCACTTACCTTTCTGCCCCAACGCCGGGGGAATGATGTGATGATAGTATCTTGTCTTTGTGAGCATGAAATAATAATCTGCATGGGTGCCTTACTGTCGTCCAAGATCCAGAGCCAAAGCTGATTCACTGTCAACACGCGGGTATGGGACGTTCCTCGATAAGTGACTTGATTATGACCACGAGTTTGTGAGTTTGGTGGCGTCGAGAAGTAGTATTCATCAAGCGTCCTGAACATATGGACAGGGCGTTGCGCTTTGAGGTTATCAAGCAGCAGCTGCTCGCTCGCAAAATAATCCATCGCGTCAGCAACTCGGGCGACAGCCATAAGGTACCTACCGAGGCTTGATCCCCTATAACCAACGTCTTAGTATATCGTTGATCGAGTGTGCGATTACCAAGAATTGACTTTCATACTTATGCTTTATTGAGTCTGTGTCAAAATGCAAGCCTTGGCCTCTCGTCTTGTGAGTTTCAATCGTATGTACCATCTGAGCACACCTAGTGCTTGTCTCCCAATGCATGTAGGGAAGCTATGTTAAATAGTCAGTCACAACTTTATCACAATGGCGTGCCGAGCGGAACTACAAATAACGCGATGTCATTCCTAATTTTCTGTTCATCGCTCCTCTCAACATCGCCCCTCTCAAGATCGTCTTCCTCGCGGATTGTAGAATCGTCCGGGTCCCGCGATTTTGGATCAGCTACAGTGCATGATAAGTACGATTCCCGTTCATCAGGCAGAATTAATTCAAACCGCGCGGGATGATAGAGCACTGGGGCCTCATATGAGGTGCCTCTGTCGGGCTGTCTCGCCGTCTTCTCCATGAGCCATACATATTTTGATTTTGTTCCCTCCGCAACTCGATTGGTAGGAGTCTCTGAGCATTTTGAGTACTATCATGCTCCCTGGAATCTCCACGAGAGTCTTCCCTGTAATATCTCGCTATAGCAGTCTAAGATAGTCTCAGTTGTAGAAGAGTTTCAAGCAAGAACTTAAGCTGCAGTACCTCTATCCAGCGCACCTCGTTCCCCGGAAAGTGGAACCAGCGCATTTCGTCTGGTGCATAAACCTCACTGAGAGGATTTTCCGTTTTGTTAAATAGAATTTCATGAAGCGGAACCTTTTGATTAGGAAACACCCCGGAATGAATTTCATCCTTGCGTGTGTTACCTTTCCATAGAGAGGCATGCTTCTTGAAGTACATTACCGAAGCTTTGAAGCCGTGTAACTCATCGAGGGTCGCCTTCGAGTTCCCATTGCTCTCATCAAATGATTTCAGGGCGCTCTTGCGGCGCATCCCGAGCACTTTCTCATATGTTTTAGATCCCATTGTGGAGTTCGAGTTTTGATTGAGCGTCTCTGTTACGCGCGGTTGGAGCGAGACTTCGAGCCGTCTTAGGAGTTGCAAGTCTCGAACACACTCCGACTCGGTCATAAGTCTAGCAATCATGCTCTCCCTAGTACGTCTTATTGTTCCATGAATGTTGCTCACAACTTCATTCTGCCAGGTGTAGCGCGATTTCTGCATTTCAAGTATCAGGTCACGTTTGTGCTTATTTGACGAGAATCGAGTGCGCTGTAGCTGGACGTTCTTGATCTCCAACTCTACGATTCTCCTATGGCGGAAGCTTATTTTTTCAAGAAATTCATTTCGTTTTGCGTATCGGAGACCGAAGTATGCCCCTTTAGCATCACTGAAGCACTTCCATGGTTCTCGAGCAAACTCTGCCGGATACGCGCCTTGGGTGGCGCCTTGGGTATCGATCCAGATATCAGCAACTCGTCTTCTGTTTCCATTTCTAAGGAGACGAATCAACTGAAGTTTCCGAATATCTTGCTATGGGGGGTTAACAATGCCTTGAATCTAATTCAAGAGAGGTTGAATTTTCATTTCTGCAGATAGTCGTTGAGACGGAGTGGCACACAAATGCCTGTCCAACCAGGGCTTTACACATCACAGCCTCCTTGATCTAGCCGGGTGGGAGTTTTCAGCTGGGAGGCCACTCGAACTAAGTTGCAAGGGAGCTATTTCACCACTCTGTTGCACCGCTAAGCGCACTTTTCCGTATACTCTACGAGGTGGATTAAGCATTGGAGTGAAATTGTGTTGTAATTTGCATATATTGTTTTCTCAGTCTCTATTCCTCTATTTACGAATGACTCCTGGGGTGCTGCAAATACAATATGGTTGTTTTTCCTTTCCCTTTCTATACTACACCGACGCCTACCCCAACTCTGTGGCACTAGTTTGATGGAATTTCACTACCATGTCCAAGTGCTGGCAGTTCTAGGATGTATCGTGCCTTTTGTGCTATTGAGCGTTTCTGAGAACCGCAATTAATTTCTGGCCATCCTGCATCAATAATGGAGACTTACTTGTGGTCAAGAATGCTCGTAATTCCGCCTTATCTGAAGACTTTTGAGACGCCGATGTAAATACAACTTCTGCTCGTCCATCTTTTCGAACGATGTTCTCTCTTGATGATCCGGCGAGGGCGTCCTATTGTTTTCTGATTTATGTGCTTTGTAGGGCCGCCCAGTGGTGGTGCGGATGTACTCGTGCTCCTTGGTGTAAGTGTCCAGAGACCAGTCCCCAAGTCCCATTAGGTCCGGTGGATCACTGGCCTTTTGAACCCTTTCGGAGCTTCGTTGTGCCATGCTCGGTGTGATGCTGACGAGATGAATCTGGGTATGAGGTTTTGATTGTGGATACGTGCGAAGATTGAGCCGCAACTTATAACAAGTGCAAATTTCCAAAATCAAAGGGGATCCTGTCATCAAGTTGTAACATTTCAGTGCCGGCCGGTGGATGGGCCGATTGCGCACGAGCCTCGACGTTTCGATCTTCAGAGTCACCCGCGATGGCCGCCTTTTGCATGTGCTTTCTTGTTTCTTATTTGCGGGGCTTATCGCAGTCTCTTGTTATAAGTGCGTTCGAAACGCAATGCGGCCGAGGGATTGGGCTTCAAAATCTGAAATTCCATTTGGTCGAGCAATAACATCCCCAGACCAAAATTACATCTGTCTGACCTGCCTGGCCATCAGCTTGTTTGGGCCGCGATCCTGCACACCATCCTGCAGTTCATTTATTGCTGCGATTGTTGCTATTGGTTGCTAAAGAGCGGGTTGCATGAAGTAAACTTGAAATTCCATTTTCCACTTTTGTCCACCCGCACTTACACGGGTCAGCCACTAAAGAGAGCCTTGCCCAGGATGCCTTGGCGAACCCTCCATACGCCTGCAGCCTCACCCCCGATTACATTGATAAAAACCTCATTTGTGTTCCGAGGAGCTTCTCTTAGTTCCTGTGCTGTTAAGTCTTTGTACGATTTGACCCAGTCTTACGCACCAGAATGGAGCCTTCTCAGTCGACTGACAATTTCCAGCCGACAGGGAAAAAGCATGCACCACGCAAACCCTCTAAAGACTGGGAGGAGCACCGAGAGATCATCTGCGAAAAATATGTGAACGAAACACTGAAAAGTATTATAGAATACATGGAAATCACCTATGGATTCTTTGCTACGTAAGATATGGAAGTACACTCAAATCTATGATCAGTTGTTGACGGCTCTCCGTAGCAAGCGGCAATATGTTCACCAACTCAAGAAGTGGGAGGCAACCAAGTATAAGAAAGGTGGTCAAATCATACCGCAAGCCAAATCCAAGAAACCAGGCCGAAACAGAATCAAAAACGAATGGATGAAACAAAATCGTACCGAGTCTATGGTTTCTCTAGATGGTTCGGTAGATGATTCAGATAACGAGAGAGAGACCGGATCCGTGACTCTTTCAAGTCAAACCTCTCTTGATATAGACGAGGATGAGGAGTTTCAACAGCATTCAGGCGTAAACCACTGGGCCTCACCTCTCTGTCGAGGAGACTCGAGAACCACAGCTCGTGTCCAAGAACAGCCCGGACGATGGAACAGCTCCATCATGTTTTCAGTGAGGAAAACAATCGCCGATTTTGATTTCTCCATGTCAGATGACCGAGCATCTTTCGAAGGTTACAAGGCTTGTTTTGAGTCATTGCCACAAATACAGGCATCACATATCGAGTCGCTGCGGCCATTCCTTGTCATCTCAATGGCTCGATCAGCTCAGGCTCCAGAGCACATTCACATCGTGCGGGAAATGTTGGAGACATTCTGGTCCAATCCAAATACGCCAATTGCCATCTCTTCTGTGTACAAGCTGTTAGGAGCTTACATGCTGGATCGCAGTAAAGACAAAGATGGTGCGAAAGTGATCATCAAAGATGTCTTCGATGATACCATCATTGACAGGAGGGAGTTGACTTGGTCTCACCGTGCTTTAGGCATCATACCATATCCGTTTCTCATGCACGGCATTCGTCGATACAACGAGGACAAGACGCCACAAGACTGTCTTGATAAAGAGGCCATCATGGCTCAGTTCCTCAAAGAGCTGGAACCGGAGTTCCAAGCCGGCCAGGGGGACAACTTGGTCGCCGTCGTTCGCGACTGTCTACTATGGTGTATCGGAGTTCTAGAAGGGAGGCCGGAGATCCCACGCGTTTGGCAGGATATCCCATGCAACGGGGACGACCTGCTCGACTGGAAGAACGACTACGAAGTGTTTTGCTACCTCTGGAATCAATGGCAGACAGATACCCTCTCTGGGTTGCCACAGCCATCCTGGGTCCAACGAGCCGAAGAGGACCTATGCATCTCAGCTACTGAGCTTCTAATCACGATCAGCTACCTAATTATGGATGGTGATGGTGATGATGATGAAGGAAATTCCAACGGGGCAGCCGACACCCAGGAGCATGATCCTTACCGTCTGGTCCAACGCGCCTTGAAGAACGCTAAGCTCGAAGCCGGCAGCGATGACACACGGCTTTGGAGCAACTTTCTCGACAAGTTCTGCTGGATGAACGAGCTGACTGATATGGAATATAAAGACAAGACTTTCAAGGCTGAGGTCATGGAGTATGTTCGAAAATACGTATTCAAGATGCTCACGAGCGGTATACATAATGTCGACGGTGATGGGAGTTACTCAGTAAGCGGACCGGAGAAGAGTTTCTTCTCAGATCACTATCAAATATTTTCACGCACTGGCCATAGTATACATGACAGCGGGGAGATTCTGAGTACGATGACTTCACAGCATAGGTTGAATGAGATGCAGCTGAATCTTTGCAACTGAGTCGAGGGGGACTTTATTTGTTGGTGGGAATAAGGCCATAGGTATGATACGAGTGGAGCTTTGTTCCGTTGTGTATGATTAAGGGTGTAAGTACGAGGCAACTGGTTGGATATTTCCATCATCATCAATGTTCATGAGATTCAACGTAGATAATTTGTAGTTGGTTAGCTGCATAATGGATATTTCATTTCCACTCTTTACTTGGTTGGAGTCTACAGCAATTCAAGAAGCTCACGCTGGCGACCTAGAGCCCTCAGCAGCCTCTACGAGCGACCCCTGCGCATCCTTTCCTTCCCTTCTTGCCTTCGCGCCAGCTTTCAACTTATCCCACTTGTCGCGATACTTAACCACGGTCTTCTGGACCCGATTGTAGTCCTTCTCGAGTGTCTCGATGTGTTTGGCTGCCATCTCCAACTCCTCCTCAAGCTCTTTGTTCCTCTTCTTGAGAGCTTCGTCTGACAGCTGAGCACCGCCGGCGCCGCCACTGGATGACAATGGCGAGCCAGGACGTACTAGTCGCATGCTTTCCGCTAGGGCAAGCCTCGAGGACTGGGCACTGGCCTCGAACGCATGGAGCCGCTTGGTTACCTTGTCTAGCATGTCCTTGAGGCTTGCGTTCTCTATCTTGAGCTCCTCGATGGCGTTGTATAACTCTTTCTCGGTCTTGCTCCTCACGGCACGCTTCCTGGGCAGTCCCGGTGACAGAGGTGCTTGGGACTCCCTAGCGTCCACGAAGTCGTCCTCGTCCAGGCCCTCAATCAGTTCTTCGTCGCCGTGCATGGAGGCGGCCATTCGCCGTCGCTCCTTCTGGTCGAAGCTCAGGATATCGCGGTAGGAAACGGTATGGCCGCTGGTGGGCACGACGTAGAACGAGTCATTGCCAGAGCCACCGGTGATGGCACGGACCGTTGCGCGGGAAAATATCTTGGAGAGGTCCGGTTCGTCCGCTGAGAGCTGAGGCGACTTGATGCGGTTACGCTTGTGGGGTGCCGGCTCAGGAACGGGGCTGGGCTGAGCTGTCGGTTCCTCTGCAACCAGTGGCAGGCCGGCGAAGGCTAATGGCGCGCTGATCTTGTTAATGATGCTGCCAAACGCGCTGTAGAAGCGGGAATAGCCCTCGTCCGCGGGTGGAGAAGCTGCTGTCTCCTCTGCTTTGTCCTCCTCAACCGCTGAGAGCTGCGGTTCTGGCCGCGATTGCATACCGTGGGGTGGGGGTACCCAGCTCGGCTTCCCGGTCTGGTCGAGCATGTGCTGCATCTTGGAGCGAGTGCCATCTCTGCGCGCAGCCTCGAGATTACCGGGGGCCAGGTCATTGGAGATGCTCGGGGTCAACGGCTGCCCACGCATTCTGGCAGATCGGATACCTCTTGCAGAAGCCAGGTTGCTCGCAATCGAGGACGACAGCTCGCGGCTGGGAGGGTATCGTCGCTGCTGTGATACGGGAGCCACCGGCGAAGCGGCTTTGGAGGCGGCAGAGAGAACAGCCTGCTCAGACTTGGCATCTTTAACTGCAGCATCACCAACATGGGTGCCCGCAGTTTCCTTCTCCCCTGTCTCTGATGGTTCCTTGTCGGCTCCGTGGGTCGGAAGCGGGTGCTCGATGGAGAACTTGATCAGCTCGGACAGCCTCTGGTGGTGCTGTTCCAGAAGCTTGAGTGTCCTCAGAGCCTCGACGCTGTTTGTAGACTTTGCTGCGGCTGAGAACTCGCCGGCAGCGAGAGTGTGCTCGTTGATGGCGACGGTAGAGTCGGCCGTATGCGTGGCTGCAGCAGCAGCTCGTGCATGATCATGCGCCTGTGAATCTCGCATCGTTAGCAACCATCAAAGGAGATAGTCAAGCAGTAAGAGGGTGTACCTTGATTAAAGGTGAAGAGTCCATTTTTCACGATGCTGGAGCCTCCACGATAGAGCAAATCTGAGACGACGTGCAATCATGGCACAGCGAGCCGAGCATGGATTTTGGACAGTTTGAACCCAGTGTGTCTCTCTGAGTCTGCGTAAAACCCTAGATAAGCCTCTTGCTGGATGAAGATATTGCACAGGGCTGTAAGGTATTCTACGATGAGAACAGCCTGGTCTTGTGACTTCTGAGAGGTCGGTCACCGAGAGGCTGAATGATTGACGGGGCTGAGGTGTGAATGTTATCTTATCGGGGTGGGAGGATTAAGGTGGCGGGCGGGCTTGCCCTTTTGCGGCGTAGGCATTGGTAGTGGCTGGAGAGTGGCCAGTGTTAGCCTACCATGAGGGGGTGGTCTGTACTGTCCAGGAGCTCCAGCTCCCCCGCTCCCGCCCATTTGGATGACGTTCGAAACCGACGGGCCAACAGAATGACAGCTTTCGTTTGTCGGCCGCTCGCGAGCGCGCCTTAGGAGGTTGCAGTTACTCTGGATTAGGGAAAGGGGAATTAGTGTGGCAATCCTCTCTTTCCCTCTCTGTCTGTGTCGGGTTGAGGTTCCAGAGTCCAGACGGAGCTGCAGCAAAGGGGGTCAATCAGTTTCCCTTTTGGAGGGGGTCAGGAGCCTTCTGCAGCAACCTTAAACATATCAACCCCCGAATACGCGGAGCTCCTTTTTTTCTGTTACCAATTCCTATACCACCTCCCCCTTTGTGTGGTGATAACTCAATTTCCGTCGCATCGCATCGCATCGCATCGCATCGCAGTCTCCGAAAAACCTGGCACCAGGCTCCACGAGCTCTGGATACGGCGGTACAGCTACAGCTACTGCTAAGACACTTGAACTCGCTGGGCAACGAGCGAAGGCCCCGGGCCACTTTTATCGGGAGGGACATGCTTGGCGATTCATGAATCGATGACGACGCTCGACTCGCGCGCTCTTGGCCTACCAAAGGAAGCTCCCGCAACCACTTCCATCCCCATCTCCATCTCCACCTCCACCTCCACCACTGCTGCCCGCCGCATTTGGACAGAGCCGAGCTGACCTGAGCCGAGCTGCCTTGTCGAATTGCGAAGTATCGTGTCTCGTCTGCCAAGCTGCGATCATGGACAGCGAGAACCGGCTGGGCAAGCTGCTGCCAAAGTCCATCAAAGCAAAGAGACGGCAGCGCAAGTCGGGGGTGACAGGGGATGCCAGTAGCGATGACATCCCGCCACGGGGCAGAAGCACCGTCAGTACCATCAGCCGCGAGACCACCGAGAGCGACACCACCGGCTCGCTCAGCTTGGCCGACGAAGAGGGAGACAAGACAAGCCTCATCTGCTACGACTCCGACCCTGACTCGTAAGTGCCTTTCTGTTTTACCTTTTACCTGTAGGTATCATCTTTCGATGCTGCCTGCCCGTATTCTGCGTATCCGTCGTTTCCTCCTTCCAGAACAGACCCCACAGCACATCCTGGCGAGCGAGGTTTCGGAAACAGCCGCATCCTGGACAGTGCAGCCCAGCCCAGCGCTGTGCGGTGCCCAGGTGCACCTCTGCCTCAGTCAACTATTAGTTAGGGTCTTTCGCTTACCTTAGTGGACCGCCATCCTTCGTGGCAGAAGCTGAGGAGTGCTGCAAAGTACGAACTTTACGACAGCCACCTCGGAACGTCGCATTCAGCCTGCTCATGCTCCGCGCCGCAGCCTCTGTCTTTTAACTCTCCCCTTCAACCTCTCCTCTTCTCTTTCTTTGACTCTCCTTCATCTCATGTCCTACGATACACACGTGCGGCGATCCTGCTTGTCTAAACCCCAAAACTCTCGTTTTTCCTCTTGCATCAACGCTCCCGGCGCTTCCAGAGCTCTAACAATTCTCCCGCCCGCTTAGATCGGCTACACGGCCCACCGCCATCTCAACGCACCCATCCCAGATCGGATATCTAACGACGAATTCTCCTTTGGTGCAGGCAGAGCACATCTCGACCTCGCAGCCATCCGACCAGCAACCATCCGAGCCTTCTCCCCGCTCGTCTACATTCCCCACCGACAATACGGAGGACCTCAATCCCCCGCCGCACCTCAACACCAGCAAGACTGAGCTTGCTCCCCCTCGTCCCCAGTCCAAGAGATCAGTCTCCCCTGCCGGCCGGTTCCGTGACGTCTTCAGGTCCAAGAAGGGTTCTGCCAATTCTAGTACCACAGGCAGCCCAAGTCCCGAGCGACGGCCAACTACGTCGGACGCCAAGCAGGAGCCAAGCCAGAATGCCAATGGTGCTGAACAGTCCGACTTGAGTCAGTCTGCAGAAGCACCAGACACGTCGAAGACAGCTCCCACAGAGCGATTTCGACGTCTCTCGCGTGGCCAAAAGATTGACACAACCAAACCACCTCGAACACCTCCGACCGCCGAGAAAGGCACTCCTGTTATCGTCAACACTCCACCAACCCCGACCGACTCAAGCCATTCGGCAATCAAGGACTCGCCTGCAAGGAGCTCTCCAGCCAATGCCGGGGGTTCCCCTGCGAGCACGACCATCAACTCATCTCCGACGGGAAGCATGATTGCCCAGAGGAGAGGGAGATCTGGATCTGCTACACTTGGCCCAAGCAAACTGTCAAATATCACGTCGGCTCCCCTCACACCAACCCCGGAGAGTGGAGCGACGACCCCGTCCGGAGCTACTTCTGGCTTCTTCACGTCTATGATATCCGCTGCACAGAACGCTGCCAATACCCTCAGCAACACTATTACTAACACGAATATCGGGCCGGGGAACAACAAGAGCAAAGTGAGCATCCCTAGGGAGCCGGAAGTCGAAGAAGAAGATCATCATCCGGAAGTTGAAGAACCATCTGTAGAGTCCGGTCCTGGCCAGCCTATGGACACGAAAGAGCCTGCAATAAAGACGCTTGGACTAGGGGATTTGAGCCTGAGCCAGCTGGGCTTGGCTGAGCCGAGCAGTAGATCTACCACGCCAACAATGGCTCGCTTCCCCGATGTATCCGAGTCGAGGACACGCTCGGAATCGGCACCTGTCGATGCAGGCTCTGTCACAGCAAGTGTTGACCTGTCTGACGATGCTTCTCGCCCTCGATCCCTGTACGAACCCGCCGGTGTCGCCGATCGCACAACACCTACCAGCAGCGTGTATGAGGGTAAGTCCGGTATACAGCGAAGTGGAAGCATACGAAGTGCGATAGGCCGGCATAGAAAGCGCGGAAGTTCCGCCGCCACTGGCGGCACTGGAACTACAATAGGCGCCGCCATTGCGGCTGCCACTGCCTCTGTTGCACATCCCCAAGTTCACTCAAGCGTTCCCAAACTTACTGGGTTTGCGGTCGCTAGTAAGAAGAGAAACCGTGATTTTCACGCCCTCTTCAAGAGCGTACCTGATGACGACTATTTGATTGAGGACTACAGTTGTGCATTACAACGGGAGATCCTTGCTCATGGCAGATTGTACGTTTCAGAGGGGCATCTGTGCTTCAGCAGTAATATTCTCGGCTGGGTCACGACGCTAGTTATGAGCTTCGACGAGATAGTATCAGTCGAGAAGCGAAGTACGGCGTTGTTGTTCAAGAATGGTCTCATGATCTCGACGCTGCATGCTAAGCATATTTTTGCCAGCTTCACAAGTCGAGACTCTACCTACGATCTCATTGTCAAGATTTGGAAGCTAGGACATCCAAGTTTACAAAGCTCACTTAACGGCGTCCGTTTGGAAGAGACAGGTGGCGACAAGACCGAAAAGGTCGATGCTGACACCGAATCCATAGTTGGAGGCAGTCAAAGTGGCTCAGCTTCCGACGATGAGAGCGAGGATGGCGATGATGTCTATGACGAGGATGAGGAGGACGAGCATGGCCCGGATAGCACCCAACCTACAGAAATCACCGCTCTAGAGTCCGAGGCAGACAAAGCCGTCACACGCAAACCATCCGGCGCCGTTGTGACTAACGGAGCAGCGTCGGAAAAGCCGCAGGCCGCGCCTTCTTCCGCTCCTGCTGAAGACTTTCCTGGCCCGGCAACACATGCTCCAACGGATTGTGGAGACGCCGAAACACATTATGACAGAGTTGTTGGCGATGACGTTGTTCCAGCGCCTCTGGGCAAGGTCTACAACCTTCTCTTCGGACCAGCATCAGTAACCTGGATGTCCAACTGGCTTACCAATGACCAGAAATGCATGGACCTACAGATGGAGGACAAGAAGGGGTTGAGTCAGGACAACAAGTCCCGAACATACTCGTACATCAAGCCGCTGTATTCCTCAATAGGACCGAAGCAAACGAAATGCATTGTGACGGAGGCGATTGAGCAGATGGACCTCGAGAAAGCCGTCAATGTCACTATCACCACTCAAACCCCCGATGTCCCCAGCGGAAATATTTTCAGCGTCAAGACCAAGTATTGTCTATCTTGGGCTGAGAACAACAGCACTCGAATGCAGGTTAACTGCACAATCGATTGGACGGGGAAGAGTTGGCTGAAAGGTGAAGAATTCTGTATCCTGCGTTGTGCACACATTTCTAACTGATTGCGTAACTAGGCCCCATTGAAAAAGGTGCAAATGATGGTCAAACAACATTTTGCAAAGATATATTCGCTAGCCTAAAGGCGGCCGTAACATCACGGCCTCGTTCCAGCACTGTCACCAACGGTGCTGCACCAAAGGGGAAGAGGAAAGGAAAGAAGAAGGCTGCGCTAGCTTCGAACCCTACTAGTGACAATGAAGCGCTCACCAAACCAGCCGCCAAGCAAAGCTGGGGCATCTTTGAACCTTTCCACGGTATCCTGGGACCTGTCCTGGATATTCTCATGCCGCTCCTCACAGGTAACGTGGTTTATGGCCTCCTCGTAGGTCTGCTCGTTGCATCATGGTTTGGGTTTGGCTTCAACAACCGGGCGTCCACCCGCGCGTACGGCCACGACCTGGGCTTCTACGGCTACCCAGACCGAGTAGCAGCGTATGAGGAGATGTGGAGGCGGGAGGAGAGCGAGGTCTGGGAGTGGTTGGAGGAGCGCGTGGGGCTGGATCGCCTCGGCGACGGCGCCATGCCCACGCGGAAGAGGGTCACTGAGGCCCGGACCGTGGACGAGAAGCTCCGCGAGGACCGCATGGATGAGAGGGAGATCAAGGAGGCCATCAAGGTGACGGAGGAGAAACTAAAGGTCCTCAAGTCGGTCATTGACAAAAAGCAGCAGACCAGGGAGGAGAAGGTCCAGGCCCAGGCGCAGCCACCACCTGCGGTCAAGGAGGGGAGCACACCCAGCGAGGGACAATGATGCATTCTCCTTTGTTTTATTTCTGTGTCACTTTGTACAGCATGACCTCGAACATAGCACATGTACACTAAGGGAGCAAAAAGCATGCGAAGGGCGTTTTCTGTGTGGCATACTTCTCAATACCAATTAGCTTTTACCACAGTCTGATGTCTTCTCGATTCAATGGGTGACTCTTGGACTCGCTTGAAATCTTCACCGAACGACGCTTGGCGATCTATACGACAAGACTTACCAGTGAAGGTTATTGTCTGTGGGTGTGAAGGACCCCTGTTGCACGTGGAGGGGATGATGTGCTGTTAGCTGCCTGGGCTAATGCTTAGCTTCCGGTCAAAATCTCGAGGGATTCAGGGGTTCGAGGAAGGCCAAGGCGAGTGGCGTCGTCAGTAGCGAGAAGGGATTGCGCAGAATCAAATATCGTGGGGTTGCTGGTCCTTAAGAGCCAGGGAGTCCGAAACGGGCGAAATGGAAAAGCTGACCATATATATGTAAGCATCCGAGGTGATCATCGTCGTTTAATACCAGGAAAACCTCGTGGTTTCGTTTAGGCCCGGTCACTACCATGACTACCGACTCGGCGGATTGTCCAATATTATCCCGGAAGTCCTAATGTTCATTATCCGGGAGAGTGTCAAGCTTTGATTATGACATTGGCCTGAATCTAGCGCTGCAGTCAGGGGTAAGGGGAGACACAAGCATGATATCTATCCCAGTAAATGTAGTGGAGCCATCGGTCGGCACCCTCGGCCGAGCACGAAAGAATGAGCAGAACAGTTGATAGTTAGAAAACGTGCTGAACAGTTCTGCGCAGGGTCAATTATTCGTTGACGCTGGAGGGTTCAGGTAACGAGATGTCGTTGAGCGGTGACTGGGGTTGGGAGCCTCTGGCGGCGACACGTGGGGATTTGGCAGCTTATCCTTGGTCGATGGCGCATCCGACTAAACCCCCTTTAGCAACGCCTCCAGATATGTCCCCGGGGCGTGGCTTTAAGTTGTAAACTGTCCCAGACCGACGAAGAACGACGCATTAAGTGGACTATTACCAACACGCCCACGAGGTCTTTGGGTCTGTCTGATTTGTTACTTACAATGGCAAAAGCAATGAGTCTCGGTCGAGTCCTTCTGTCTCGCACACGCGCCCAGCCCCTGGACTACTCCGTAGATGTCGCAGAAACGTCCACTTACACCTTTCAACGGGTCACACTCCGTTCATGGAAAGGGCGTCAAGCCTCATTCAAGCATTCTGGGGTCTAATTGACCGAAGCCCCCATCTTGTAAAGACTCAATGCCTTTCTTTGCGCGTATGTCAACTCCCTTCAGCGCATAACACCTTCAGCGATAGATATTCCGAAGCAAGTCTGTACTCTCAAGTATTCAATAGAGTCACAGAATCAGACTGCCATAAGCTCGATAAGGCACCACCGTCAGTATATAATACCTACTCTGGTAATACAACCTTGTCCGCCCTCACGCCCCGAGGAATCCGTTGCAGTGGGACGCCTGAACATCAACTGGGGATAAGCGTTGAGTAACACCCATGTCAGGACCCTACCTATCCCATCAACGTCACCCGGTTCTTACGTACTAGTCTGTTCGACTTACTCGCCTGGACTCGGTCCTGCATTGACGCGCCGTGGTGGTTGCCACATCCAGGCCTCTCCCCCTTGCAAAGCCTGCCGCATGAGCCCCATTCCACCTCCACCGAAGGGTACATGCGTATATCAGCCCCAATTGCCCTCCTCTCTCATATATACATACATACAGCCAGCCCTCCCTGTCAGCCTACATCAACAAGTCAGCATAGGGCTTCGGTCAACTCACACGGCTCCCGACAATCGAGTGCAGCGATCGCCATCGCGGATTGAATGGAATCATTAATGAAGGCCTAAGAGCCTGGAGTCCAAGTTGACGAAACAGATAGACTTCTTTCCGGTGGCATACCAGCCTTATATATGGACTTGAGGACCGGGTGATATAGTCGAGGGGTCGAGGCTCCGACATACGATACCAAGTTGTACGATAAAAAGGGGGGTTGGGCTTCGAAAACATACGCAAGATGGATATGTTGCCAGAGCCGGCAACGCCGGTTGGAAACTACCGTACCTACGGAGGCAACAAAGCATTTCACAATTTTGGTTCGTCCGGATCAAGAGCACAGAGCTGTGAATTGCTTTCGGCTGACTTCCTCTAGCAAATGACTATTCTCATATATCAGATCCGAATCTCCGACGACGCCTGGCTTTATCAGAGATTGATAAAGTACCCTTTGGCCTCTACCGTAACCAATTTCATCCACTCCCAAGGAAAGCAGGAAGCGCATGCTGATATGTCGTTCAGATATCCGAGCCGTCGCGGTGGCTGGAGTCGGCTTTTTCTTAGACTCTTACGACATCTTCGCTATAAACCTCATCACCACATTCCTCGGTGTCGTCTTCTGGCAAGGCTCCCCCGATCAATCTGTCAACGGCTTTGGCGGCAACTATGGCAAGCTACCGACGCCTGTCAGTCAAGCATTGAAGGCTTCTACCAGCGCCGGAATTGTGATTGGGCAGGTCGTGTTTGGCTGGCTGGCTGATGTCTTTGGACGGAGGAAGATTTACGGCGTGGAGCTAGGTATCATCGTGTTGTCCACGCTGAACTGTGCTCTTGCAAGCCCGAGTCAATCTATGAGCTCGACTGGACTGCTTGTCTTTTGGAGAGTCATGATGGTCTGTTGATGACCATCTTCTTCTCGGTCACTATGGAGGTGCTAATGGTATGTAGGGTATTGGCATTGGCGGTGACTATCCCCTATCTTCAGTTATTACATCAGAGTAAGTTGTGTCCATTTGTTACCTAAGTTCACTTCGCAGCACTAGTATATCCGCCTTATACACACGACTACTATCATTACAGACAGCTGACCATCCCAGATTCGCCCCTACGCGCTGGCGAGGAGGCATGATCGCTGCCGTGTTTTCCATGCAAGGAATTGGGCAGTTGGTCGCTGCCATCGTTGCTCTCGTAACCACCGCCGCCTTCAAAGACTCCTTCATAAATATCAAAAGCGTTGGAGAATGCGACTACGCCTGCCAAGTTGCGGCTGACCGATCGTGGCGCATTATCGTCGGCTTTGGAGCACTTCCAGCTTGCTTTGCTCTGTACTATCGAATCACCATCCCTGAGACGCCAAGATACACATTTGATGTCGCTCACGATGTCGAGAAAGCCGATGCTGATATCAAGGCCTACATGTCGAACAGATCCGAAGGTGATGTCGACGAGGTGCAGCAGGCACGGATGAAGAAGATTGCTGCTCCGTCTTTGACTATCCCTCAAGCATCGTGGCCGGATGTCTGGTCTTACTTCAGGGAGTGGAAGCACTTTAAGATACTTGTTGGGACCACCATGTCGTGGTTCTTCCTTGTGAGTGACCGTCTCCTCTATCTTCCAAACACTTTGCTAATACATAGCTAGGACCTTGCCTTCTACGGACTTGGTCTCAATAATTCTATTATTCTAGGGGCAATAGGTTACTCGGCCGGCCCCACGTTATATCATACACTATACAACAATGCTGTCGGTATGATTATCCTGGCTTGTGCCGGCAGCTTGCCCGGATACTGGACCGCCATCCTCACCATTGACACACTCGGCCGCAAGCCCCTACAACTACTGGGCTTTGTAATACTCACCCTCCTCTTCTGTGTATTAGGTTTCTACTACCACCACCTCTCAGAGGGATCACTACTAGCTTTATATGTGATCGCCCAGTTCTTCTTCAACTGGGGTCCAAACACGACGACATTCATCGTACCGGGCGAATGCTTCCCCACACGCTATCGATCGACGGGCCACGGTCTATCGGCGGCGTTTGGGAAGATTGGGGCCATCATAGCCCAGGTCATCTCTATTCCTCTGCTCAACAAAGACTCACCGCCGAACTGCTCGGGCAACAAATGCTCACCGTGGCTGGACCGTCTGATGCAGATATTTGCGCTGTTCATGCTGTGCGGGATGTTCGTCTCTTTCCTGATCCCCGAGACGAAGGGCATCACGCTAGAGGAGCTGGCTGGGGAGCCTCCGACGAGCTATAACTCTGGAAGGAACGGCAGTATCTCGGTCGTGCAGAAAAGGTCGTGGAACCCATTTGGTGGAGGCCAGCCCGCTGGGTTTTCTTATACTAGACCAGGGGCGTCAAGGGGGACAGCATGGGCCAGGAGCCCGCGCTTGGGCATAATGACGAGTCCCGAGCTGGCGGCTCAGAATGGAGCTGCGAAGAAAATGAATCGAAGGTCGAAACAGCGGGGACGCAACTCAAGTGGCGGGAGCGATGAATATGCTTTCAGTAGCACGTCTTCAACGAGGGGGATCACCATGAACGGAGGTGATGACGAGAATCCGAGGATGCCTGCAAGCGTGCTACCTGGCTGGAGTGCTGGCTGGGGAAGGATAGACAGGGGTGCTGCACCAGGGATGGAGAACATCAGGCTGCAAGACGTCGGTAGTCTGCTGAAATGATTTACTGTTGGCGTTTGACTCGGCATTGGGCCACGGAAAATTACTAGATGAATAGACTCGGAATCTACAGACTAAAGAGACCACCTTGTTGCGACGAGCCTATACTCCTTTACCTTAGCCACATGAAAAACGAAATTCTTCCCACAAACGATCAAACTATCCATGGACATACTCCTCTCTTTTTTCTCACATTAGCCACGCAGGACCTTCATGGCAGCTCCAAGATTCTCAATCTCCCGCGCCAAGTTCGCCCGCTGCTGCTTCGTAGCAGCCTCCTCGCCAGCAATCATCTCCAGCTGAGTAGGGTTCAACTGGAGCACTAGAGCCTGACTGAAGATGTTCAGGGGGCTGTCTTTGCCGTTGAGGAGGAAGTGGTCAATCACCTGCTGACAAATGACGTCGACGAATCGCTTCAGGGAAACCTTGTAATAGCTCTTGAGAATGTCGTGGAGATCCTCGCGAACCTGCTGTGGATTTCCCTTGTTCATGGTGAGATTGTTCAGCGAGTTAAGGTCAACCCATCGACCCTCAGAATTCTCGACCGCCACGACACCGAGAGCGTCCTTCAGGCGAGCCGCGCGGAGCTTCTGCAAGGTAGTGCCGAAGTAGTGGTTTACTGTCAGCGGCTTGCCGTCCAGTTCGATCCCGAGCAGGAAGTGCGCATGCTTCATCGCTCTCTTGTACGCATCTTGGAGCTTTTCCAGGAGCACGTTATCCCACAGCTCTCTGCGAACATCTTCTTCTGAACAGATCTGATCTAGCAGTGTGCAGATGAATGAATGGACGGTGCGGATGGCATTGCTGACATGGGACAAGACAAGAGGCTCCCATTTCTTTGACTGTTCCTTGAAGACGGTGCCAAGAAGAGCACCGCCGAACTAGAAGAAGGTTAGTGACTGGCTATAAAAACAGAAATCGAGACTCACAGTGCCCAACTCAGGACCGCGACTATCGCTGAACACGGTGTCAATGTGATTCATGATTGAGTTTGAGGACGGTTCCGGACATTTGTAGTCATCCATGACAATGATGTCGTGAAGGTCGTTGAGGGCTAGGTCATCAATCTCGACTGTAATAAAGGGAAAGTCGCCCTTTTCTCCGATCTCCTTCTTCGACTCATCTACTGCTTTCTCAGCAGGCTCGTCAAAATAGTGGGTATGACCCCGGAGACGGAGAGTTTTGGCGAATAGCTCGTTTTGTTCAATGATTCTGGTGATAAGCTTCATAGAAGAGTTTTGGGCAAAGATTGGATCCTCGGTGTAGTATGCATTGAGAGCATATCCTGTAATCTTCTCGAACTTGGCTGCCATTCTTCCGAGGAACGCTCTTTGAGAGGTCTCATCGCCGCGTGAGACACCCATTGCCTCAAGCGATTTGCGAGAACCATTGAGCATCTTCTGAATCTCAGCTTTGACCTTGGGGTACTCTCTCTTGGATACATTGACGAGAAGCTCACTAAGACGCTTCTTGAAAGAGTCGATACCAACTCTACCGGAAGAGGATACTCGCGACCATGGCTCGTTCTTGAAGAAAGCCTTCTCCATTCGGTGTCTCACAGCAAGGGACGCGTTGTCCTCGTCTGCACCTCGGTTTTTGACTACACAATACCCTAGCTTGAGGTCGTTGCGCTTACCCTGGATCAAGTCGAGAACTGCCTGCTGAGTAGCCTGTTCGACCACCAAGTCCGGCTTGGTCAGCACACCCATGGTCCTGCCACCGTTTTCATCGGCATCTTTCGCAAGCTTGAGGATCTCCTGAGTTGCAATGTCGACATTGCAAGGGATGACAGCGAGAATGATCGTTCGTGAGTCCTTCATGTAGTTCTTGACCATATTGTTGACAAGCTGGATATCGCTCTCAGTTGTCTGGCCAGGGGTAGCGGTTCGAAAAATGCCCGGAACATCGATCACGGTCAGGTGGTCCTGATCTGGACCGTTGATCTCGATTTTTAAAATGTCTTCACTGAAAGTAGCGAACTCGGTGTTCTCATCATCGTCGTCCTTATCTGTAGAGATAGGTCTGATGGCCATGGCACGGTTTGCCTTGTCGAAAATCGCCGCGAAATCCGCGGTGCGAATGTCTTCAACAACATGGTGAAAGTCGCGCAGACGCTGCTGGGTTTCCTTATCCGCATCTGGGCGAGGAATGATCGAGATTGCCACACTAGTGTGGCTCTCGCGGGAACAAGTGATTTGGGTTGCATATCTCGTACACAAACCAGTGGCCCGGGGAAAGGAGAAACCGGTCAAGCTCTCGAGGACAGAACTTTTGCCTGAAGACTGATCACCCACGACAACGAGCTGAGGAAGTGGCACCATAGAGCCGACATTGAGCTCTCTCAGCTTATCGATTTGAGCTAAGACTCGCTGGTTTCCGAGGCCCATGCCCATCGACTCGTCTGGGAAAGCACTGCCCATTGTGATCACTACTTCTTGGTGAATAGGAAGGCGATATGAGTTTTAAGTGTTTAGGATGAGTATTTTGGGTTGTGTGGATGGTAAGAAACGCTGGCTCCACGCGATGTGTTGAGATGAGGGAGAAGAGGAGGATCTTCCGGCAGATAAGGGGGGAAGTGAGGAATGTTTTTAAACAAACTGCGAGGTAGAGGTCGAAGACTACAGAATCGGCAAGAATCTGCTTTCTGCCTCGTGTAGTTGGCGGGAACTTGGGTTGTTTGTGGGAGGGGACGTGGCGAGAAAGCGTCTTCAGATATTGGCTTCACAAGGAAAGAGCGCGGTTTACCTGGACACGAAGAAAACAAAAGCCTTCAATTCTGCCTAGTCACTTCTGTCTCACCAGGCACCAAGGCCCTTTTTGGTCTTGGAGTTTAAGTTGGCGTGTTCATCTGACGCATTTCGCATTGAGCTGTTGGGCTCTGCCACAGATACTGGCCACGAAACTGGCCGATGAGGCGCAAGTCACAGGCCAGGAATGATCTCGACAATGATCCACAAATATACCCTTATACGTTTATTACCGGCTCTGTGGTGATTACGTCAATAAACTTATCATGGAACCGTGTATCAACAGTTCAATGGTCTTTGGTTACCTGCACGAGCACAGGATCTATTTAGATGGCCGATTCGTGTATATATTTGCTCTGCCCTGCCAAAATAGCAGGATAAATAGCATACTTCCAAGGAACGTAATCTTGCTATAATATTACAAGTCTTATTTATTGAGATACAAGTCAGATTGATCGACCGAGGTCATTCATCAATTCCACCAACGCCTCTATACGACCTTTCTTACAGTTGCCGAGTTTCGTTCGATAGAACGGGGTATCATAGTCATGAAAGGCGAAATGTCTGTTTATAGTGGGAGAGATGCAGAGTGACAGAGCAAATGACATATAAAGCCCTGAATGTAGTAGATCGGTCAACGAGGACCAGTATAGGAATCGATATCTGGTCGTCATGGCCCAGTTTGTGTTGAGAAAAGACTTGATTTTGGTCTGAATTGGTCTCGCATTCAATGTAATACTTCATTTCGTCCAAGGCCGTCTGGTCCATGAAAGGCAAAAGATTCCGCAGCGAGTTTCGACAAGATCCTCCTGAGCACTTTTTGCTCTTTTATAACAGCCTGCTTTCCATAATCCCTGAGGCTCTGTACAGCCGCCGATCAAAACATGAAAAAAATGACGCTTGCAAACCGCCGAAATTACTCAGACTATGCGGATGCTCTTCTTAAGCAATGTAGTGGATGTTCCCTTCGTTCTTCAGCGTTGACGCTGCCTCTTCTCCCGGTCGGCCGGACCAGTGTCTCCTTCGCTCCTCCGCTTTCTTCCCCTGTCATCTCTTCGATCGTCACCTGGCCGGGAACCTCCTCCACGACCTAATCCTCTTCCTCCGCCGCCCCATTCTTCATTCAAGCGGCCATTGCCACCATCACCTCTGCCTTCTCCTCCCCTGTGACGCGATTCACGATTACCACCACCCATATTGTCTCGCGGACCGCCTGGCAAAGAATCTCTGTTACCACCAGTGGAATCTCTCGGTGGTCGACGTGGACCCGAATTGTCTCGGTCACCAGCATTCGCATCGCCGACATTTGGTATGCCGGACCTTCGATCACGATACTCGCGAGGCTCCTTCACATCACGGTCTCCACGCGGGCTACGTTCTCTGCTGCTGCGACGAGACGGGCGATTGGAACGATCGGAACGATCGCGGTGCTCTCGACGTCCAGTGCGTTCATGCTCGTTTCTGCCGCCGGGGTAATCATCACCGTTGGGTCCCCTAGAATCCCGCGTGGGTGGTATGTTCTGTTCATTGCCGGGCGGCAGGCGATCTGGTACGTCACGACGCATGGGATCCTGTCTCTCTTGGACTGGAGTCGACACAGGAGATGACCCAGTCAATATCTGGGCATCTGACCCTGCTAGACGTTCACGTCCACCTCCTCTGCGTTGACTATTGCCGCGTGTAGGAACTTCGGATGATCCAGCTTGTTGCAGTGTGTTATTGATGCCAGCCAGCTGCCGCCGCCCACCAGTCCGACTCCGCTCGTTAGTCGAAGCCGGGCCGGTTGGAGTAGAATACAGGCCATGATGGTCTGATCCTGGGGTTGTAGGCACGTTTCCTGATCCTCTTTCATTCGGGTACATTGGAGGCATATTTTGGCGGGGATTAGGGGGCTGACTAGCCGGAGGTGGTGGGGGAGGCGCTATGTGGTTCATCCGATCAGGATGTACCGGAACAGAGTTCGCCTGCGAGGTATTACCCCCAATCTGCCTCAGTCGATCCGGGTGAACTCCCGTTGTAGGTGACGACGATGTTGCGGATGCTGGTGCATTTGGTGGCGCATTATCGTATTGCGGTCTGCGGGATCTTGATGCCGACGACGGGCCAGTGGGAGGTGCACGTTCTGGCGAAGGTGCCCGGTTGGTATCAATGGTTGGGAACCGGTTGTCAGGCCGAGAAGGCCCATTTGTTCCATGCCCCCTTGTGGCATTCCTTCCACGCCCACGAGGTCCTGAGGGGATGTCAGGTACAACAGATTGAATAGGATTGAGTCGACCATAGTTTGGGTCTTGTTGGCTGATACGACTGGAATCTGACTCTTGAGAGCGTGGGTTTGCGGGACCAGGATATGCAAGATCACGCGATCGGTCATTCATGTGTCTATCACCATCGCGATCTGAGACTCTATCTCTAGGTTGCGATGGCGGACCGTCACCAAAAGAATCCCTTGCAGATCCATGGTGTTCTGACGGATGAAGCCGTGAGTGATGGTCGTCTCGAGCGCCATTGACGGGAGGACCATCTGAGTTAAAGCGGTCGCCTCGTCGCGGTGACTGAGCTCGAGATAACGGTCTATCCCGTCCGGCATCTCTTGGGGACCGAGCGGGAGGACCGCGTTCAACTCGTTCAAGTATCTGAGCTCGGGCTGGATTGATAATATCCGGACGGTCTTCCTGTTGCAGTCTCGCTGCTCGATCTGGGTTGATCGGATGATCTTGAGGACCTGGTGCAGAAGGTGCAGTGGGGGGCGCTGGGAGAGGCGACTCGCGAGGTAGTCTGCTTTCATGCACTCGTCCACCAGTAGGCGTCCCTCTTTCCCTTGGCAGACGAGGTTCACGATCTGGTGGTCCAAGGTCTCCCCGACGTGGAGGCGCTTCTTGTCTTGGCGCCCAGTCACGTTCCGCGAGTCGTCCGGTATCTCTCGATGACGGATCGTTGGGTCTTCGCTCTTGGGCTGCAATATCGCGTGGCCTGTCTAGTCGGCCATGCTCTGGCTGTCTGAAGTCTCGTGGATCTCTGCTATCCCGAGGATCACGTGGGTCTCTGAGATCACGAGGATCTCGGACGTCTCGGGCATCTCTTTGCTCCCGAGTATCGCGGGAACCAGATTCTCTTCGTTCAATGATCTGGACTTGGCCATATCGATCAGGCCTGAAGTTGCCGGGAAGTGGTACATCTGGACGACTTGGTAGACCATGTGGAACTCTGTCTGTGATGGGGCGAGACGTTGATCTGGCAGTATCCGATCGGGGTGCGGGTGTGCTAGCCGGCAGCTTAGGTGTAACAGGTCTAGCAGCCGGTGCTGCTGTCAAGTCCTTGGCATCCAAGTCTTTGCCCTTATCCTCCACGCCAGACACACTACTTCTGCGAGAGGAAGGGTTTGGCTTCGGGGCAAGTGAATCACTGCTCTCTGCAGCTTTGGCATCCTTACCATCCTGGACCTCACCATCTTCTTCGACTTCCGTAGCCTGAGTCACATTGCTACAATTTGTTAGACAGTGGTGTCGACGGAGGCCATTGAAGTTGAACTCACGATTTTGCTGGCTGCGGCTTGAATTCCGGTGCAGTTGGTCGAAGGGTGGAAGATGCCGCGTCCGCATCTTTGGATGCTTCTTTTTCTTTGGCGGACTGTGGGAGATTAGCCATGGGTTCTGCAAGTGAAGAAGGCAGCTGCCTTACCGCATTCGTTCGGAATGCTTGAACCATTACCCATTGTGTCGTGCGTTTTATCAGAGCGGATGCGGTGGTTTGGGCAGTGACGGCGAGATCCACCCGGTGGGCTCGCTTGTCATCCGATGCCTCAGAAGCCTTGGTAGAGGCTTGTTCGCGGAGTCGTATAGCCTCGAGTTGCACCATCAAGTTCTTACCCATGAAGTTCACAGCGGGGAAATAACTGGTGATGGTTTTGAGAACGGTAAGGGCGTTTCGGATGTGCATCCATTCTGTGTCTTGAAGACAAGACTTCAGAGCTGAGTTAAGATTCTTATGCCACTCGTAGTGAGAATCTCTGAAGGAGGTATGGTCAATGAAAGCGGTGGGCTTGCCATCATCATCAAAGGCCGTAGCGAATCCAATGTAATTCCTGGTTTCTCCCTTCTGTCCTAAGGCTTCCTTTTCGTACAAATTTTGGTCGCCTTGCCATCGAGATAGATCCTCGAGAATGAGCTTGATGAAGCGTCCGAGATATTCGGCTTCTCGAACTGAACACGAGAAGATCATGGATCGAAGTCGGTTGGCGTTGAAGAACCGCTCATATAGAGAGGAAAGCTTAAAATTAGGAGCTCTGTTCTCGTGGAGAAATTTAATCACCCTGAAGCAATACTCCGTGTCAGTTGCCGAAAGAAGCATCCGAGGAAGGAGGCACTGCTCAATCAGTGTGTCAGAGATTGCGTTGACGTCCGCTATTGCGCCCGGGAACCATGACTTGGATTGCTTGGCAAGCCTGAATCTGGTCTTCTGATATCTCTCCACATGGGCCTTCATTTCTTCTCGAATGGAAGATGCCACGTCAAGCAACGCGCGCTTCTCCTTGTCTTTCTTGTTCATGCCATTCCTAGTCATGTCAGAGCGGTCTTTCATGACATCCTCTGCTGCTTTGTTCAGTCGGTCATGTTCAGCCATGTAGTTGGTTTGTGGAACGCTGAGATCGCTGAGCTGGAGAGACCAAAACATCACAAAAAACTCGGGTGATAGACGCGCCCAGATCTCTGGAGACAGGATTGGTTGGATACCCTCAATAATGGGTTGCAGAGAATCTAATAATGGATCCGATTTTCGGGGAGTTTGCGCTACTGGTGCAGCACTGCCATTGACTGGGGTATCATCCAAAACCATCTTGTCATTGACTGGCGCAACAGGTTGAACCGAGACATCCTCTTCGGTCATTGACAGATCACCCTCAGCATCCGTAGCTGGGAGAGTAAGTTGACTTTGATCATCCTTCACGGAGCCAAGAGCAGGAGACTTCGGATTGCTCATACGATATGCTAGGCTCGCCCGTCCAATCATAAAAGCAAAGCTCACATCGAGGCCGAAGTCCTGAACCAATGCGATAATGCCTGGTATGAGACTGTCAAACTGGTCCGCGCTCAGGTTGCTTCGTAGAAGATCTAGGTATTGCATGAAAGCCTGGTGTGCGTCGTCCAGTAGACTGGAGAGGTACTTGATGTGGGCTTGACTCTCCGGTACCTTGAAGACTCCCGACTGGCGATATTGCGCAAGGTTGATTAACAGTCCTCCGGCAAGCTTAGTGTCGATTAGGGCTTGCATCAACCTCTTTGCACCTCTGGTCGATTCGAAACGCCGGTCACCCAGATGGATCAACGTTTGCCGTCTAAGTACTTCGCCTCCAGTCATGGATTTGAGTTGAGCATCTGTGAAGTCGGCATCCGGAACCACGCCAGCCATGCTGGAGATCAGCTCCCTTAGCAGAACGAGATCGGTAGAATTGCCCTTGAAAAGCTGGTCATTGACATACTGCAGAACTGGTGTAGGTCGCATGTTGTTATAACGCTTGAAGACCTGTCCTGACAGCTTTGACAATGATTTCAGCCACTCGCTGGTGTAGAGAATAGAGCCTGCCTGGGTTCGGCTTCTGTTACCACCCAGGGCACTCATCAAGGACCAGACAAGAATATCATATCCCATATCAGTGAAATAACGCGCGCATTCAACGAATGCAGGAATCAAATTAGGATATGACTCCAGCTGTTCGATAGCTGTGTCGAAGACAACACCAGGAGAGGCAAACGCCGCCTTGGCGAGCTTCCTGGACATCGTAGAGATGTTTTGAGTTGAAACCCGCTTCAGCACGCTCAGGGTCTCTGACTTGGTCCGCGCAAATGCAGCTCTCATGGCAGGCTGCCGGGAGGTTGCTCCCTTGTACCATTCAGCATACATGTTGTACCGTACCGTAGTAGGGTAAAGATTCAGCATATTCCAAACGGCATTAACTGTAGCGGAATTAGAGCTGGTAAGACTCAATGCTGGAACGATGAGGCGCTTGAGAAGGTCTTGCCAACGATCACGATTTTGTTGAGATTGGTCGGTTGCCAGACTCTTTGTACCAATGACCGCAAGCTTCGACAACAGAGCTTCGTCTTTGCCGATATTGACGCCGGACAGATTCATGAGCGTACCGCAGAGTGTGAAGACATCATCTACAGTCTGGCAAACTGGCACATTATCCGCCCACTCATCCCAATAGCAGCGGTATGGTGCGCCGTCTTTCTCGCCATCAGGATGTGGCCATCGCAGTGGTCTCTTGGACGGCACCGGAGTGATCTTGATGCTGCCCTTCGGGACTGCGCTCTGGTCAGACTCGGGAAGTTTCTTGAGATTGGTGTCAATAGATGCCCGAGTCGCAGGCCGACACTCGCAATAGACCTTCTCTAGGGAAGAGTGCAAGAGGCGGTGAATATAGTTAAGGAGCTTCGGAAAAGCCTCAGGTAACCACGGAAAGCGGCCCAGGATGAACAGAGCCTCTGGAATTGCGCCGACTGTCAAGAGCTCCTCGAGAAGCTGAACCTTCTGGTAGATGACCTCCACGGGCTTTACTTTTGCGGCTGCTGCGGCCGCAGCTGCGGCTCTCATCTCGGCGTTGAGTTTGTTTGTTCGCTGCACATCTTTCTCGTCCTCAGGAAGAACTCCAAGCATGGCAAGCGCATTGGTTTTTCCTGTCTTCGCCCGCTCCTCTTCAGCTAGCAGCTTCATTCTAGCCTCTCTGACGGCCTCCATTCCGTCGTCTGCTGGAGAGACATGGGGATAAAGATCACACAATGAGATGAAGCCGATCTTGATGAGCAAGGCTGCCATGTAGAAGATGTTGGCCGGGAGAACGTCGCTATCGTCCTTAGCATCCGAATCATAGAACCGCAGTTTGAAACCGAGCAACTGAGCTGCGATTCGGTTTCCGGAGGGAGGTAGAGTTCTGGTGTTCACGATCCACTGGATCTCCGGGTCGATGTCTTTGTTTAACTCCCCATTGCTCGCTGCCTGGACCATATCTTGTAGGCGTTTCAGTTCGTTGTTGGCGACCTGTCTTCCACCCAACTCGAAATAGGCATCCAGATGGACCTCGCGAGCTCTCTCCCAGAATTGGACATCGCGGAGCCGGCGTTGCTCGACAATGACAGTTTCGTCCTCCTCGCTTGTCAGCCAGTGTGAAGACTCTGGCAATCCCCACTTTGGTAAGCCACCAACGAAAGTTGTGCCTATGGATCCAGCTCGTACTTGCGTGCGCGGCCACCATGAGCTAATTCTGAGGAATTTGACGAAGAATCTGAATTGCTTAATAAGGACGGATCCGAACACGTCAAGAGTAACGTCGAGTGCTCGTCCCACGTCCAAGTCGAATGTGCCGATAAGACCCTTCACGCGCTCGAAGGTAGCCTGTACCGTCTCGGCTGTCGGGGGCTCAGAATTGCTCGTTGTGAATAGCTCGGTTGCGAGTTTAGAGTAGCCCTCTGTTTCCTCCCGCAGCAGATTGTAGTTGGCTTGTCGGTAGAGTATATTTGTAGTCTGACGAATTCCAATCTTGGTGAATGTGTCTCGGATGAGACCTAGTTGCTCTAGAAATGCGGGCTCCAGGATTTTTCGCATAAGCATTGGGGAGATTTCGGTCGCAACCATGAAGTCGCGCAGCTGCGGTCGATAAGTGCCAGACTCTATGTCTAAGAATATCGAAACCGTATCGAGGAATTGTGTATGGGCGTCGAAAGCAGCCAGATTTGTGTCCGCATCCTCTGGACGAGGTCCCACGATATCCTTGACAACGCTGCCAGCTTCCGCCGCCTTCAAGCGGTAATCAAGCGTGGACTGCAGGAGTTCCTGGAAGATTGTGGAAAGTTCGGTGAAGTCTTCGTCATCGCGCGACTGTGATCCATGATCGACTACCTCTTGCCGGCCTCCAGCGCTCCAATTTGAGAGCCGAGAATCAGTTATAACATCGTAGCAATAGCCTGATACGATTGGAGATCGGGGAGGAGACGGAGGCGCCATGACGGTCGGTGCCGTATTGATGGGAGGCGGTGCGGTCTGCGAAGAGGCGCTGGGCGGTCGCTGCACTGTCGGAGATACGGGATTGGAGGAAGCTGAGAAGGAGTTGCCAGCGTTATGATTGTTCTGGCTCGAATCGCGACGGTCGTTCCGTCGTCCATTTCTGTTGCCGCCACGGCCTCCGTATCTCGGACCTGAGTCCTGATAGTTCCTGTCGTGCTGTCCTAGATTCGTATCGCCTGGTCGATGTGGTGACGGTCGGCCGCCGCCAGAATCGACGGAAGACCTCTCGGGTCTCTTTCGCTTCGGAGGCATCGTGCGATCAGTGGAAGGAAGGTCGCAAGGTGATCATGAGTGAGGATGAGTAGCTTGGTGCTGAATCAGTGTGCGAGAAAGCGCAGGTTTCTACGATAAAAGGTGGCTTGCTTTCTCCTCGGGTGAAAGTAAGGTTGAGGTTGAGGTTAGGTGAGGCAGGATCAAGAAATCCAAGTTACGCAGGTGGGAGAGTTGTAGATGGTGAGGTCGAAGACGGGGTAATTGCGCCGGAACAAAGAAAATGAAATCAACGGACGATTAAAAAGACCAAGAGAGGCCAAGAAACGTCAGTGTCACGGGGAAAGAGTGAATGGGAAGGCGAGACAATAGGATGGATTGTCGCGGGGCTATTGTGCTGTCGCTTCTGAAGAAGCAGCCCAGAGCAGACCTCGCGTGGGAAGAAGCTATTCGTGTTTTCCCCAGGCACACGGTTGACTGCAGTTGCAAAGGGACCCACCCGCCTCAGCGTCCAACCCGGCAAATGCCGCGAGCCTCAGGGTTAGGGTTGTACCGGTTCGATGACACTACTACCTAAACGGTGCTAGCGCAATGATGCAATTCAAGCCGAGCCCTGGCTGGTCCATTGAGTCAGACCAAATCGCTTCTGCAGACATATAGAGAGGGTCTTAGTGTGCCTTAGGGAGTAATTTTTCTTATCATACTCTGATATTCACACTCAGTAAGCTTACAGCTCAGGAAACGGCCCTGAGCACATCATTCCCCGTGAGACACTTATCGGTATATCTCATGTGGGAGCTTCAAAATGGCGTCGGAAGATCCTGTAACTAGCCCAAGCCAATCGAGCTATGGTGAGTACTTTTACCCCCTAGAATTGCCCCCGTTGGATCTCGTTCTGCGGTTCATCTCTACCGTCATGCCACTGGATCCAGTCCAGTGACTGACCGCCCCGGCTATCTATGTGGTGCTATGAAAGGAGACGAGCAAGCAAAGCAGATTGTATCTGATAGAAGAACGGTGGCTGAATACTTCCAAGAAAGAATCTCGTCTCAATCTGAGAACCCGTTCGCTGCCTTGATACCAGAGCAGCAAATCGCCATTATTCCATCATTTACTCTTGAGTCTGGAGTAACGCTTCAAAATGTCCCTGTGGCATATACGACCAGAGGCAAGCTGTCTCCTTCAGGGGACAATGCCATGGTAATTTGTCATGCCTTGACAGGAAGTGCCGACGTTAGCGATTGGTGGGGACCTCTTCTCGGTGGGCCTGGCAGAGCCTTTGATATTTCACGATTCTTCGTGGTATGTCTGAATAGTCTGGGTAGCCCGTACGGGACTGCAAGTCCTGTCACCGCCAAGGACGGTGATATCACTCAGGGGCGATACGGACCCGAGTTTCCCCTCACCACCATTCGGGACGATGTCAAGTGAGTCCTTCGTATCTCATCATCAAATTCCGTCAATTAATGCATTGTAGCCTACACAAGATTCTGCTAGACGATCTAGGCGTTAAGCAAATCGCGGCAGTAATAGGAGGCTCCATGGGCGGCATGCTGGTGCTCGAGTGGGCTTACTTTGGCAAGGACTACGTCCGGTCAATAGTGCCCATCGCCACATCAAGCAGACATAGCGCATGGTGCATCAGCTGGGGCGAGGCCCAAAGACAGAGCATATATGCAGACCCCAAGTACGATGACGGCTATTACCCCTTTGACGATCCCCCAACCACAGGACTAGGAGCAGCGCGTATGTCGGCGCTCCTCACCTACCGCAGCCGGAACTCCTTTGAGTCCCGCTTTGGCCGAAACATACCGGACCCCTCAAGACGGCAGACAATCCGGGAGAAGCCACGCCCCAGCACGCCGTCAGAGGCACACTTCCACATCCACAACGATGGCCACAAAATACATCGCCCTGTCTCCTCCCGCCACAACAGCCAGTCCAGCGTCGCAAGTCCAGCAAATGGCAGCAGTCCTGCATCGAACAGTGTTCCAGGAGACGCGGCGTCAGACCCGCAGTTCCACGGGCCAAAAGGAGGCAGCCTCACCGGCGGCGAGAGCGTGCCCACCTCGACGTACTTCTCCGCCCAGTCCTATCTGCGCTACCAGGGCGAGAAGTTCGTCAAGCGCTTCGACAGCAACTGCTACATCGCCATCACCCGCAAGCTCGACACGCACGACGTGTCCCGCGACAGGGCCGCAAGCGTGGCCGAGGCGCTCGCCATGATCGAGCAGCCCGCGCTCGTGCTCGGCATCGAGAGCGACGGCCTCTTCACCTTCGCCGAGCAGCAGGAGCTCGCCGAGCACATGCCCCACGCGCGGCTGGAGAAGATCGACAGCCCCGAGGGCCACGACGCGTTCCTGCTGCAGTTCGAGCAGGTCAACCGCTACATCCTCGAGTTCCTCCACCGGGTCCTGCCCGACATCATGAAGAAAGAGGGCGGCGTCGTCGTCACAGAGAGCTCTGTCGGCCAATTGACCAAGAGCAGTACCTTTGGTGAGGCGGAAGTAGAGGACATTACGGCGTGGTGAAGCTAACCACGGACTGTTTCCATCAAGCCACTACAGTTGCACCTTTTCCTTCACGATTATGAGCAGCCAGCACACAGCACATCCTTTCGAAGAAATTTAGGCAGGGGAGAAGCCATCTCAGTGTCAGCATCACACTCTACCCCTTGAGGTGGACATTTCGCCCAGGTTAGGGCACGGCGGTAAGGAAATGGGAGGAATTGTGAACAGGAGACGGAGCGATACCTCGAATAGTTTTTGCATACGGACGTTCAACTCGTCCCTAGAATAGATAAATGATTGAAAGCGGGATAGGCGATTATGCCTTGATGATCAGCAATTGCTATTACCTGCAGTCTCTTGGTGACGGAACAATAGACTCACTTAGCCTTGTATGAGACACACTTCTATCCAAACATTCAATTACTGTGGATATAAGTGTATGGTAGGTAATTATGTATTCATTGACAGGACTTGAGCCATGCACTGCTGTTCTATCATGTCACCTACAGATAGTCATACGTTCAACCATGAATGAATATCAAAGAAGTGGTATCCATGTCCGTTTTCTCCCCGAACGCCAGAAGATGTTAGTCCCCAAAACAAGAATGATGCCGCCGTTTCAATGCTCGCACGCCGTCATGTAGCAAAATCCACGTCACTCCACTTCAGAACGCAGAACCCGGCTGTGGCGGTCCTCCGTGCGGTGGTTGCCTTGGTCCCCACAGCGCCTCGCCCACCACCGACTGTGCTGGATCTCTGGGGTTCCGCGTCCGCGTCGGTGAGCCTGACGCCGCCTCCCATTCTGCCTGTCCAGGAGCGCCGTAGTACGGGTCCGACGGCGGATCGTACCGGCCGTCTCGGTACGGCGACGGCTCGTCGCGCCTCCTGTTCGCGCTTGACGGGTTCGGCTGCGCGTTGGCGATGAGGCCCGCGCTCTCTACGCCATCGCTATCCGACCGTCCGCGCGAGGGATCGTTCTCCGTGTTGTACATCATGTCGAACTTGCTCCGCCGGAACTCGGTCGCAATCGGCAGGTGGTCGGTGCTCTTGACGCCAGGCTTATGGCCGCGGTAGGCCGTGTCGACGTTCAAGCGGTCTCCACCATGCTTCTGCGGCGACATGTCGTCCATATCGAGGCCGGTCGCCGACTCCTTATGCGGCTGGTAGCTGATGTCTTCCTTGCGGTGCTTAACGCCAACGAACAACCATCGGATACCCCGCCCGAACGCCTTGACAACATCCCAGACATTCATAGCGTCCCAGATGGCCTTGAGACCAAGGAAGCCACCAGCCGGCGCGAGATGGGCATTCTCTCGTGGTGGTACACCACAATCCGGACTCGGCACCGGGTAGAAACCGGGCTTAGCATTGGGAAGATAGGGTCGGTAGGGGAAGGCCCAAAGATGCAGAATGGCAAAGAGCGCCATCTCGAAGCACAGCAAAAGCGAAGGGATGCCGACTTTGATATCGGGGTATGCCAGCACGTCGTTAGCGTGCACAATATCCACAGTAGACGAGGTGCCGACAGATATAGCCATGGACTGCCAGAACGAGAGGAAGATGACCAGCTTGATGGCCAAGACTTTCAGAAAGGGTCGATGCTCGGCGAGCGGCTCTCGCAGCTGGACATAAAACTGGATAACGCAGTACATTGCTACCGTGACGGCCACTGCGTCCAAGGCTGCAGTCTATAGTTTCGTCAGTTAAAGACAACTCAACAAGGGAAGAATCGAATCTCTAGCCTACCCAAATGTGCCCAAATACAGGACTGTTAGAACTCTCGCAATAACGGCCAAAGTACTGCGTCACGACGGCAGTGATGGTCATGGCAACTCGGATGAAGCAGTAATGATAGATGCCGATCCAGATGATATTGAACCAGGTCAAACCGCTCTTTGGCGTCCTCCATGGGCCTCTTTCGCCTCCACAGCAGGCCTTGAACCAGTTCAGCGGCCAAACCCAGGCTTTCACCGGCTGCATCATCCGGAAGAACTCTTTCTGCTCGTGGACATCAGGGGCGACATAGTGACAAAGAAGGGCGAAGAAAGACGAGATGGCGAACGCCTCATAACAGTCGGTAATAACCTGGAAGTAGATCGCATGCCAATAGAAGCGGAGTTGTAGCCAAGATGAAGTTGCGTAGATCGGTACCATAAAGAGGATCCGTATGATGCTACCGCCAAGTTAGCTATGTTATTTTTTTTTTCCTCCTTGCAGAAGAATCTAGGGCTGAATGTCTCAAAGGACAGGGTGGGACATTGTATCAACAGACGGAGCGCACACTTACTGTTTCTGTTCCCGCGGTTTCGTGTAGTGCAGCGCATGCATCCATATCAGGTACAAGCTTAATACGATTGCGACCAGCGTTCCGGCCGCTGCGATGATGAGCGCGAGTTGATGGAAGGTCAGTGGACCGGCGATTGCAATCTCTGAGGTTGGTAGAACTGTTGCGACAACCGTTAGCTGAAGAATCCGGACAGCATGTTGAAGAGGGAAATGGCAGAACGCACTCCGTAGATCCTCCAACGTGGAGTTGCAGGTGAGATTCATGTTGAAGGTGTCCTCTCTCGCGCAACCATCGACTTTCGAAAAGCGCAGATGTTTCTGGACGTCTCTTCACAAAGACCACTGCGTTGTCCAACTCGATGACTCGTTTCCGTTATCGATTTGAGATCCTGCTGCAAGACCGTCCCTTTGTCGCATATAATCCCTATTCAATCCACCCGAACGGCCCGCGCGTGCGCCCTGCGTCTTGTAGGTAGTCAACTCGTAGTTCGTTGGCCTTATTCCTCCCACAATCGAGTAGTTTTGTGAACAGTCGGTCTCCCAAACAATCTCCTTTTCTTCGAGTTCTGGTGTGTCTTGTTCAAGATGGACCCCTTCTGAATTGTAACACTGTGAAACGTGCGAATCGGCGGTCGTCCAAGCGGATTGCGGCGTCAACAAGGGAGCGAGACCCCAGTTCAGTCGGTGTCTTACGTCGCCACGTCCCGTCGTTGTCTGTCGGTATCGATAACTAGGCTCCTAGGGTGCCAATGTCGGCCTGTTACAGACAATCTCTCTGGGCGAAGGGAAAGCAAGATAGTGCAGAAAGAGACACGCGATAGGCAAAAGTGATTAAGGAATGATTAGAAAAGGCGGAGATTCTGTCGTTTCGTATCGTATCGCCAGTCAGCTTTTTTCGCATTGTCGACATGGAATTCTGCCCCGTAGGATGGGAGAATCGGCACTCAGCCCCCCTGGGTGCAGCGTTACGTCGTCCAACCACAGGGAGCTATAATGTTAATGGGTGCTATACAACACACCTTGTCCAGTCAAACGTCAGTGTGCATTTGCATGTGTGTGCGTGTGCGTGTGGCAGGAGGCCTTCCACCTTACGCAGTTACTGTAACAGCGTCGTAGTCTACTGCATAGTAGCGTGTTGGAGGGGGGCTTGGGAGGCTTGAAAGGCTTGAAAGGGGGGGGGGACCAACCCGCGCTGGTTCCTGACAAGACCAGCCTTGGCATTGCTTAACTCTGCGGGAGCGGGCTGACGAATCCTAGGGGTCCATTGGGGCCATTGGGGTCCTCGGCCACTGGAGATTGCAGGGTCGACACAGCCTTTTCGGCTAACCTCGCTCAAACAGCCCTCCCAGAGCCACTCAGAGCCAGTCATCAAGCCCTCTCGTGGCATGCTGGTGCTGGTGCTGGTGCTGGCTGCCATGATACAGCGGGGTCAACCGCACCACCACCCCCATTAGGTACATGCGCCTCACAATCAACAAGGTTGGGTTAGAAACACTGAGCGAGGCTGAGCATCATCAACATCAACTCTCCTTCGTACCACTCTCGTTAAAAAGAATGCCATTTTGCCCACAAACCATACCGGTAGTCTTCTCGATTTTATTTCCAATCCCTACTAACCGATTGTCAATCCACCACGTCGAGACACATCGAGACACACAGCTATTTGGCCTAAAGTATTCGTCTCGAACCCACGAGACAGGCAGGATGAAATTCGCATAATCATCTCCTAGCTGGTCCCAATTCGTTGAAGCTATCGCATGGTCTACGACAGCACTTCGCCTTTTGGATTCATCGTGGACATCTGAATCATCAATGCGAGAGGAATTGGCTTGACTTGTAGCCGTTCTCAGCAGAGATAGACTCACAGTAGGAACTCAAAGCTCCCAAAGCCGCCCTGTCACCCGACAGCTTTCATGCCAGATGGGATATCCACCTGACTCAAGATTGTTGTGAATCGACCTTCTCGAAACAACGCAGCTGAGCTCCGTCGACGATAAGATTAACATCCAGCCAGACTGCCGTTACCTACCAAGAACGTGCACCAACAGCGAGTGTAAACCGTTCCGTCACGATACTTTCACCCGTCCGTCCACAACGCCGAGAAACACCCACGCCCAGCTGAAGCCCTCCTGCACCCAAGAGGCGCCAGAGCGCCTAAGCCAGTTTTCCACCGGCGCCGGGTCGCGCGTTTTATTTCCCTCGTCGCCCCGCGCCGCCCCATCGCCGACACCGAGAAGGCCCAAAGGCCGCAGCTCGCCTCGCCCTGCCGGAGCTTACTGCAATAGCAGAGCCCTTCAGCTTGCGCGGTCCAGCTGAACATGCACACGCCAGGCCAGGCCATCACCTTAAGATTACATAGCGTCGTCATACAGCCAGCAGATTACTCACTACTAAAAACTATCCGTAATAATGAATCTGAGATGGTTCTCCTTCCTTCCGTCTCCACCAAGATTCGGATCTACATACACTACACTACAATAAACAACAAGCAAAAGAGAGAGAAAAAAATCTCCCACGCGACACGTACCCGTTTCCTAGTGTTTGTTCTCTTCCACAGTGCAGTACAGTACCGTACAGTATGACAGTATTGACAGTAGCACCACAGTAGATCTGAAACAACAGCCCGATCATAAACACTCCGTTTTGGCACTAACTACCACTACCTACCCAGGTAGCCCGTATGGATACATACACAAAACCGCCAAAATGACATCAAGCCCGCCAGAGGATCTATCATCCGCGCCCCGCGCGAGAGTGCGATCGACAGGGCGCGCAGCCAGCAGCCAGCACCCGCACCGTCCGGCTCGGCTAGGTAGCCGTGACGAGAGAGAGAGAAAGAAAAAATAGGGTGCTGTAATACGGTCATTGTTGTAGCTGCCGCCCCCTGATTTACCCTACGAGACCATCTTGTTGCCTCCCTCCCCCCCGGCCGCCCAGTTGGTTGGGCCGCGCCCTGCATCGAAGCGAGGCCGATCATCATCGCAGGGTGTAAACTCCTCCTCAGATTCTGTTGTCAGCCTAACATTATTGATTCACGTGTGTGGGATACATCACACCACGCATCCTGCTTATATGTCTTATATAGAGATAGTCATGCTTCGGGCACAGACATAAACCTCATCGTATCGGTTGCTGGTGAGATATATCACACACAGATGAGAACATGTCGTCACAAGGTGCGAGTTTAAGCAAGGGAGGTAGGTTTGGATGGAATAATCTACACATTTTAAATCGCTCCAGAACCAATGAGGTGAATCCCCCATCAGCAAACCCGGAAGCCGTCGCTATTCCACCTATGGTAGTATCATATATCGCTAGCCGGCCAGTGGTGAACAACCATTCTGAAGTCTCGATGCTCGTGTTCCTGTTATGTACAGTCCCTCGATTAGTTTCTTGACCGCGCCAGCTCTCGGTCCCTCACTTGCTCCCTGAGCCAGCGAAGGTCCCAAATCAAACACGTGAGAAAGTCCGAGAAGAGGGATCCCTCCCCAAAGTTTTATGATACAAGTGCGTCGCTTTTCTTCTCTCGCGCGATCCCTTCTAGAAACGCCCCCCCTTCCGGTCGATCTATTTTGTCGACCATCTCCAGAACAATGTAGCGAGAATTGAACATTATGACAAGTCTGATCGCCTCCGCCCGTCGTGTGCGAGAGCAGAGGAGGCAGACTTGCATGCTGTGAGCCCTATGATGCCAGAATCAAACCCTTTCATTGTTGCCGAGGAATGCGGTCCACGTCCGTGTGTGTAGTGTCCTGAAAACAAACGCCATCCTGGTATCTCTGTAAATGCATTGTGTGTGTTGCGAAGAATCCCAAGGTCGATGAAAACGAGCAAGAAAATTCGTGTACGTCGTGAAAAAACATCTGCGACTGTCCAAAATTGCGACAGCGTTTAGATATCCGCGTCTCCGGAAAGACAATTCAATCATCGAAATCCGGATCTGGATTTGTCGCCCTCAAAACCCTAGTAGGATGGTGAACCTTCCGAGAGTAATCCTGGTCGTCGCGCAATGTATTCACGCTATCGTGGCTCTTGTTTTCGCCGTTGTACATCACTCCTGTCGTGTGGGGATCCATACGAGGGTCGATGGGTCTCAGCATTCCACTCCTCCTCCTTCCCAATTGATCGGTCTCGTAAACGCCTGGGTTTGCGGAGCCCACGGGGCCGAATATAAACTGCGGGTTGTCGCCTGATGACGGTGACTTCGGTGTCTGCGTCATTCCAGCAGAGCTGCCTCGGTGAGACGGATCATACATCGCCCCAGCTTCCTCTTGGCGTCTTCTCCTGCGACGCAGGCACCAGAAGATAATACCGCCAACGACGGCAACCGCCAGAGCCACCAACCCCACAGCCAGGCCTACAGCACCTCCGGTGCTCAAGCCGCCGCCGCCGCTTTTCGAGGATATGTTCCCTGTGCTAGGAGAACCAATGACGGCCGTCGGCGTAGCCGTGACGGTTTGAACTGTACCTCCAACAGTAACTGTCTGGACGGTGGGTTCCGGAGCTGCTGTTGTTTTTGCTGTTGTTGACGAAGTCGTCTTCTACAAAATGATGTCAGCAAGCGTCGGGTATAAAATTGTAATAAGAAAAACCCATGCAGCGCTCAATAATAACCAAACCTGGGAATCTGAGAAAGAAGATGGTCATACAGAAGAAGAAGTACTACTAGTTAAGGTTGAAGAAGAAGAAGAAGGTTCAAAAGTGACTGTGTTCTGCACAGTCTTAGTCTCAGTTTTGATTCCCTGGGTCCCAAAGCTTGTTAAAATATATGTTCCCCCCATGTCATACGAAGGGACGTTGACAACGTAGCGGGGGGAAAGAGGAGCGTGCTATCTGTGTGGGTTATCTGAAAAAGGGAAGTACTTACT